CCATCGCGAGGTTACGCGCCAACTGAATAACTGCGGCTTTTGAAGAGTTGTATACCTGTGTTTCAGGTTAGTCGTAGGAATAAGGGGGTCGATCTCGATTTACTTACAGGCGACAGGAGCCCTTTATTGGCGATGCTGCCGGACATGCTTGCGATGAAGCACATGCTGCCGTGGATCTTATACTTGAACATCTGGCGTGCCACGCTCGTAGCTGTCATCATAACACCCGTGTAGTTGATATCCATCATTCGATTTACCTCATCCCTCGTCCTAGCGAAGGCATTAGCATACTTATATTCTTTACCTCATGCGGGTTCAAACAAACCATTCGATAGCCGGGGACAGATGCTGAACACCCGCAGCCGCAATAAGGCCATCTAAACGTTCGTGCTTGTCCGCAATGGCTGCGATAGTTCGATCAAGCCCCTCCGTATCTTGTACGTCCTGCTGCTTGTAGTGAAGAGAACCACCGAACTGATCAGCTCGTCGTGCCGCTTCGTTCCAGCCCTCATCTGCCTCCGGTTCGCGATCAAAACAGTAAACTGCAATTTATCATGTAAGTACCTATGTTAAAGTTGCGGAGGAATTCTAAACAAAAGTGCAGACATACCGTTTCCTCCCGTCTCAGCTAGCGCCTCTGCCAATGATAACCCAAGCCCCCTAGCGCCTCCTGTTACTATAAATACTTTGCCGCTGAGGTCAAAATCCGCTAATCGCATCTGGCCGATATTTTCGCTTGGACTCGGCGCAATTCCAACCGTCGGATTTTCCCTCGAGTCAGGCGGTTTTGGGACTGCATTGGTTTTGCGATTGAATTCGGCCATGGTGCTTGAGGTTGGCGTTATCTCAGATGGCTTCGATGAATGAATCGGTCTAACTTGTGTGATAGGAATAGTAGTGAAAGTAGTTTTCGTAAAGGTAGACGATGCGCGAGGGCACCGCCTACTAAGAGCTCGTGCGCAGAGAGACATATTGTTATACGTTTTTTTAGTAGTAAGCCAATTGCGTGAATGGAAAGATGAACGAATATCAGTTGATTTACATGAGCTGCAGGTGTCCGATATATAAAGTAAGCTTGGTCTTAAGGCGTCTATCTGATAGCCGGATAGGACGGCCTGCATACGGAAATGTGCAGTGGTCGTAGCTCTACTACGCCAGCTTTCCGATACGGGTGTCATCCGCGTAATGGCGTAAACGGTTTTCTCGCTAGAACTTCATCTTGCTAAAACGGATCTAAGTCCCGAGTAAACTCCAAGCTAGGCTGATCAGTGGCTCTAACAGATTCCATCTCCATCCTGACTGTGTCTCGCCTAAACGAGTTGGCCTGTAAACCGTGTATATCGGCCAATCATCATCGATAGAAGCTACCCCCACGAGATTTACGTCAAGAAGAAGACGCAGTTCTGACGTCTGACAAGAGGCAAAGCATGGAATTCTGTTCAATTCTTGAAATCCCATTAAATCGGATCCGTTTTCATTTATTCCCGTCTCAGGGTCCACACGGGCTGTCAGAACCAACGTGTCGGGGCTTAACCGATATACAAGTGCTCAGACGTGAAATACTATGGAAGTGAATGTCAATGACGTTAAGCTAGGACAATACCGAATCCCAGTCGAATCTTCTCCAGTTTCTATATCAGATAGGATCCCTACAGCTGGTAGAGCTTCTCAGCCAATCGAAAGTCATGCTAGCTGATATGTAGCAGGGAAGTGTGTCAATTAGGAAGAGATCTTCAGCACCTGATCTTAGCGATCCCAGCTGGGCGTTTCCAATGGGGTCGAAAACGTGCGTCATTTCGCCGGAAGAAATGCTCCTATTGTAAGAGTGTCAACGCAGGTTATGAAATACCACGGGTCGCAATGTACGAGTTGCATATAATAATTCTGTATTTGGTATAATATCGAAGTGTAAGATAAGAATGAAAAAGGATGCATGGCATATTCACCACGTGTAATTCGCTGCCTCCCAAGCTTGTAAACGGCGGTAAGAGGGTGATACGTAACGCAATTAAGCCACGATGGGGCAACTGGTGATCAGTTACCGAACGGTCTTTTACTGTGTTATGGTAAGTTGTTATTGTTTTCGTTTTCGTCAGCTTTACATCACAACGTTGGCAAAATTTGTTACACGATGACTTCAAGTTTGTATTTAGGATTTTTGGATTATCGCAACTCCACTATTAGGAATATCCACTGACCCGCCTATTAAGGTATTAAGGTAAGCGGCTATGTACCACTAGACTCAACTATTCTCCGAGCTTATCAAAACGTTACATCATGGGGCTCTATTTTGTACACCTCCACTGTTTTATTATCGTGAACATGTAAATGCGAGAAAAAATGTTTGAACTTAACACAGGAGGTTCATAGGATGAAGAGCTAATTAGTAGCAATGCGTGTTCCCGGAAGTATGTCCGGCGAAATGGATCCAGCTCAGATCCCGGTTTGATATGACGGCGACTTATTTACTGCGAGGTAACGATGCATTGTTTGGATGGAGGCCGTAGTCCGAGGACGTGCACGGCAATAATTCCGGAACGGAAACTCCGGGGCTATTAGACTCAATATTTGCCACGACTCTATATCGGACGGCAGAACTCCCGGGGGCAATGAGGTATACAACGGTGATACCGAAAATACGGTCCCATGGATCGAGTGCACACTCCCGTTAGCAAGTGCAGGAGAAGGTTACTTAAGACATTACAACGATAGATATATTTAGGGTGCATTAGGATAATCTTGTCCCCAGTAAGGATATACATATATAACGCCAGGGCGTACACGTTCCCTACGTAATCAATATATCACGCCGGATATCAACACCACCGCCATCAATTTTGTTCGACGTGAAATGCCACAACTTTGTAAGAGTCGTACGGGACCAGGTGGATAGAAGGGTGAATGCCAAGATATAGGTCGACCGTAAGATCCAGACATGAAATGACCGATTTCCAGGCGTCTAGAGGCAAGTCGTCAATAAACCAATCTTCGTATTGATATCACTAGTTTTACCGCCAAACGCCACGCAATGCCCGCGTTATGAATCGACACCGTACCGATAATGCGCTGGTATTGAATTGTCCTTTCCTATCCGTATTACCGCCTGCCGCCACGTCCGCCGCCCATCATACCGCCCATTCCCATACTTTCCATCATCTTCTGCATGTCCATACCACCGGGTAATCCGCCCCCGCCACCACCTCCGCCAAACATCTTCGCAAGGCTCGCCATATCCGGCATACCACCAGCACCGCCCATACTTTGCAGCCGCTTCTGCATGGCAGCCATCTGTTGTGCCTTGTTTCCTCCTCCCATTGCCTGCTGCGCCCTCTGCATGTTTTTCATGCTACCGCCCATCTTCTTAGCCATGCCCGCCATCATTCGCTGCTGGGTGAGCAGGTCCTCGACTTCTCTGACGCTAACACCGCTACCGCGAGCCACCCTCGTCATACGAGTTGGCTGCTCGATAAACATCTTGCCGTCACAGTCGAGTTCTTTCTCAGTCATGCTATCGCATATGTAGATCATGCGTTTTAACCGAGAGCTCGACTCCTCGTCATCCATACCTGCCATTCCCGGGAGATTAGACATACCGGGAATCATACCGGCCATCTTGGATAGAGGTCCCATTTTCATGATGTTGCTGAGCTGGTCTCGGAGATCTCTTATTGTGAATATACCTTCCGTTATGTGCTTAATTGTCTCCTTTTGGTCGAGCTTCAAAGATTGCACGTGCTCTACTAAACCTGCCATATCTCCCATTCCTAGTAGCTTATTCACAAACTGTTGCGGGGCGAACCTTTCTAGATCCAACATATGCTCTCCCGTACCAATGAAGACGATGGGTGTATGTGTTGCGGCAACAGCGGAGATAGCGCCACCTCCACTCGCGTGGCCGTCCGTCTTGGTGATTATGATGGCTCCGAAATCTGCTGCGTCTTTGAAAGCCTTCGCCTGCGCTTCAGCTTGTTGACCGATAGAGGCGTCAAGGACCATGATCGTCTCGTCTGGTTTTACTGCTTCTTGAATATCTACCATTTCCTGGAACAGTGCTGATTCCTGTCGGTGACGTCCGGAAGTATCCACGATGATAACCTCGAATCGTTCTTTCTTAAACTTCTCTACTCCCTCCCTAGCGACCTTGGCCGGGTCTGTCTCGGTTAAGGAACCGTAGTATGGAATCTTTGCTTTGGTCGCATTCTGCTTCAGTTGGTCGAAAGCACCGGCTCGGAAGGTATCGGCACAGACCAAACATGCGCGGAAGCCTCTCGCTTGGTAATGTCGCGCGAGTTTCGTACATGTGGTCGTCTTTCCGGCACCCTGTAAACCAACGAACATGATGACATTTGACTTGCCTTTCTTAGGCTTGAAGGGCTCGGCATGGGGATCAACGAGTTTGACCAACTCGTCAAAGACGGCTTTTTGGATTAATCGTTTCTTATTAACGCCGGGTGGGAGGTCCTTAAAATTGACTGTAGTACTAATCGAGTTTTTCAGTTTGCTAACGAGTCGCACATTAACGTCGGCTTCGAGTAGGGCACCGGAGATCTCGTTAAGCATAGCTTTGAAGGCCTGAGATGAATATTAGCGAATTCGGCCCATTCGATCGCATTGCGGGGTGCGACACCGCAATAGAATGGCGCATACCTTTTCGTCGAGGTTAGGTGCGCGAGTAACATCGTGTAAGGCGCCACTAATGCGGCGACCAAGATCTTGAAGAACCATGATAGGTGTTGTCGGCTATCAAGTCGTTGCGGATGTAGGTAGCGTAGGAGTGGTGATCCGGGCGAACGTATGTAGGATATGATTGATTGCAGATGTGATCGATTGCACTAGACTTTATTGATCAAGTGGCTGACGTGACACCAACTGCGGACCCACAGCACTGGAGACCCGCCCGACACCATTTTCGGAAAATCTAGATCTTCCGACCCCACATTCGTTTACGGTTAGGCAGAACCTAACTTAGATTACATAATCCGTACATACCTGTATGCTTATCACAACCGGAGTTCCTATTCATCCGCAACCTCCAAGCAGATGACAAATATCATAAGAGGTTTAGAACGAGATTCACTTAATACGCTAATATGTGCCATAAGTATTGAAATATTCTACGATTGTGCCTAGGCTACGAGCCTAGATACACTATTCCTACCGGCCTTAAGAGATTTTAAGAGCCACTACGTCCGGTAAATCCAATATGGCCATGTTAACGGAGCTCGAAACACTCCATATCTCCATCTCCGTACGTAGGTTGAAAAGCACGTAAATGCATCTACTAGGAACTCGTTCTATATAAAGAACCTCTTTCCTTATCAGCAGGTAAGTCTTAACACACAGTAGTTCAACTAAACATATCCGACCCCAGAGACCACCTTACAACAATCAGTCAACCATCAAATCACAATATGCCAGTCTTCGACGAGGCAGCGACTAGCGAGCAGGTCATCGAGGCCTTTGCCTCGCAGATCAAAGGTCGCACGTTCGTTATCACAGGTGCCGGCCACCCTAGTATCGGGAGTCAGATTGCCGTCTCACTTGCGAGAGGTGCCCCTGCGCACATTCTAATCGCCTCACGCACGGCCAAGAAGGTCGACCCGGTACTAGAGAAGATCGCCGAGATCGATGGTTCTATCAAGACAACCTTCGTCCAAGTTGACTTAACGGATCATGAGTCGGTAAGGCGAGCAGCCAAAGAGATACTGGCGGCAGCGCCCAAAATCAACGTACTCATCAACAGCGCTGGTGTAATGGCTATCAAAGACTACACTTTGGATAAGCAGGGAATCGAATTGCAACTATCAGCCAACCACGTCGGTCACTTCTTGCTAACGAACCTGCTCGCACCCGCACTCATCGCTGCTGGTTCCGAGCCGGGTGGAGCGCGAGTCGTCAATCTCACCAGCTCCGGCTTTTTCATTAGCCCCTTCCGTTTTGACGACTGGAACTACTCGGGTGGTAAAACCTACGATCATTGGACCGGGTATGGCCAAGCGAAGACCGCAAACGTTCTATTTAGCTATGGCCTCAATAAACGGCTCGGCAGCCGTGGCGTGACCTCTACGGCTACTCATCCGGGCTACAACAACGACACTGAGTTAGGAAGCCACCTTACTTATGAAGACTACGCGCAGATACCTGAGGTTGTAAAGCGCAATACAGGTAAAGAGTGGGAGTGGGAGTCTCCCCGATCAAAGACATACACGCAAATTGCTGCTACGTCGCTCATCGCGGCTCTAGACCCTGAAATTCCCGCCAAGTCGCCGGCTTACTTGATGAACAGCCAGATCCACGAGGCCGCCCCATACGCGACGGACCCCGAGAATGTTGAGAAGCTGTGGAAACTGAGTGAAGAACTTGTCGGGCAGAAGTTCGAGTATTGATGAGTTGCATAAGGGATGATTTGCCCATAACATCACCAAAGGCGAAATCAGCATGAATAAAAATATCAATTCGATTGAGAAATCTTTAGTTCCTTGTGAAACTTCCCCAGAAATTTCCAACTGACATCTGGGGTAACCGGGGATTCTAGTTTCCGGTTAATCAAAATTTGTGACACTACATTTAGAGGCTACATATATTATACACCCCTGCCCGGTAAATGGTAGATTTACCGGACACGGTTCTCCTAAGCGCCACCGGCTAATTAGGGGCTATAGTAGGGATTGGAAGCCAAACTCATTATTATGCCCATCGGCTATATTGGCCTAGGTAAATGTTTGTTTATTGAACAGATTATAGTATTGAGTCGAGATCGTGCGACTTTGGAGTGAAGATGATGAGGTAGGGCACAATACGAGATAACTATAGAAGGCATAACTTTAATGGTGGCTATCGCAAAAACGACGCCGTAATTGTTAACTAGCAATTACGCCTTATATGTGACAGTAGCTTATTGAAGTATTTATACAGATTTATAACGGACGGGGAATCAAAGATGCGAAGTACATAGTAAGTCAATCACCCTGAAGGCGAATATTTCATGGGTAAATCAAAATCATGAATGTAACAATTAATTCGCCTCATAATGCCGCACCCTTACGCCAACGAAGAAATCCTTTACCATTCTCCCTTCGCCACCTATCTTCTTTTGTTTCAATTCTCTTCTCTTCGGCGTTATAGTAATGATCGGGTTTAGAAATAAGAACACGACATGCGTGAAATGATAACTGCTCAACAAATGTAGAAAGTGTTGATGATACGACGCTCCATGCAGACAAATGAGAAGTTGAATTATAGCATACCCGTTTTAGAAATCAGTGTAGTATATTACTCGGCCATATGGAGACCCTTTGATACTGCGATGCTTCCTTGGACTTGGCTCAGCTGGCTGACTTAGGGGTTAGTCAGTCTCTTACATCCTAGGCTGTAACTATAAAAAACAAGGCCGTAGCTGAAAGCTTCTGATATTGTGACTGAGCATGTATCAATGCAACTCTTCGGAATACTACCTAGCGAGATTTCTTCATATGGACACCGGTGAGTCGAACCATTCCATAACTATTGGTTCGCTCTCTGGTTGTGATGGATATTTTAGGTAGGTACCTAAGGTAATCAACTCATGCTCTTGTTTAGGATCTTGGTTAACATCTAGACAAAAGCCTTCAGTACGAGTAATCGCCGAGACAATCGTATTTCAACTGCGCCCCCTTCATAGTAACGGCCGACGTGTTGCTTTCTCGGCCAGTTTGATCTCCTTCCGCGTCTAGAAATAACTAGATACGATAACCAATTGGCTAATAGTTACATTATATTCGATTAAATGAGCTGGGAGCAAATGGCAGGCGTTCTATTCATAAAAAGGCTTGCCAACTGCTTTTTACAGCCAAGCCCCGCACCGGAGTTGTATCCATGGCTCGCACATTCGGAGGCAGCCATGTCTTGGCTTCGGCAGACACTGACATGGTTACATGCGATATGAATACGCGCCGCGGAATGAATACGGTGGCTAAGCGCTACTCAACGTTTAATTGGATAGATGCGAGACGTCCGGCAGTTATGGTAGTTCAGAAGTGCAGCATCCAGTAATGTAATATAGCTTTGAGACGTTCTAGGCTAATCGAATCTGGGGTAAATAAAATGTCCAGGGACTATTAAAGGATAGGATATCATCCACTCCCAAGTTTGCGTGAGTTCTAAGTAGACAAAATCCAAACTGTAGCCCGGATACATCGTTTAACCTCTCTCTTGTATTCAATTCAGCTACATTTGGACCAAAATCAAGTCAAGATGACGACCAGAGTAGGCATCCTAACTCATTCCGACGAAGAGAAGGGGTTGAACCGGTCGGACACGACCGTGACGATGCCGCCGGAGCTCTTCGAGAAGGTAAGCTACCCAGTGTTAGAATTATCGCTTCGTCGTGCTCATGCTTCCAGCTCTACCTTACTCCCAAAGTTCCTCAGGTGGGCGACTACAACAAGCGGTTCGCCAATCCGACGCCTCTTGGCATTGTCGGGTAAGTCTCACATAGGCTTGGGAATAGATCTACAACAACAAGGCACACTTTGGTAACTAAACAATTAGATTCGTCATTTCAACCTTTACTTTCTCCATGACGTTGATGGGCTGGGGAGGAGCTCAGGGAGCAACACCTGTGGTGTAAGTGTCTTCTCCTATACTCCGTTTCCCCGTATTTTACCGGCCCCACAACGTATACCGTCCGTTCAACGCGGCTAAATTGTTTTACCAACCACTAGGGGAATATTCTTCTTCGTCGGTCCCATCCTGCTGCTGGTCTCGATGGTCTTCGAATGGATCATGGGGAACTTCTTCCCTATGATGGCCATGGGTCTCTACGCCGTCTTCTGGTTGTCGTTCGGCATGCTACAGCTGCCCACGCTACAACTAGGAGAGCCCTACGCGACGGCCGGTGACCCGACCGGCCAAATGTCACCAGAGTACAACTCCGTGCTTGGGATATATCTTATCGTCTGGGGCTTCGCTCTGTTTACTTTCTTCCTTTTTACGCTCAAGGTCAACCTGGTATTTGCTGTTATCTTTGCCTGTGCCACTTCAGCAGTTTGGACCTTGTCTAGCTCGTATTTCAAGCTGGCAGCGGGTAACTATGAGGCAGCAGCGAGCTTGCAAAAGGTTCGTTATTTTTCGTGTCCGTGAAACATGAGGACCGCATCTAATTTATCGCATAGGCTGGTGGAGCTCTGCTGTTCGTCGTGGGAACATTAGGTTGGTATATGTGCGTCGTCATTATGGCTGGTGAGATGCGTATCACCTTGAACCTCCCTCTTGGCGACCTTACTCGGTTCTGGCCGCGCACGGATGTAGACCTGGCAGAGGCCGCTACGCATCGCGACTGATGGATACGACAATCGAAAGCGGGAATATAGAAGTACCGTATGGCAATTTGTGTTATACGTGGGTGTCAATTATTAAATTCCCCTCTAGGTATCGCATGTACTCTGAACTCTCTGAAAGATCATGGCTCGTTTCGTTACTGTATGAAAGACCTTTACTTGGATGGCTGATCGGGGTGAATAAATGCGAGATGAGGTGTGAAGAATAGTTTAGATATATACACCTATACGATACCGAAAGCAATATTAGTCGTCTCTACCTCTTGGTAGGTTACTCGGCTTTTCCGTACGTTAATCAACCGTTACAGCACGATTATTTGTTCTCACAACTAGAACATTAATATGTCGTCTCGAATTTTATTACTCTACTTCCTCGCGCCTTCAACACCAGTCTGCTCGTCCTTATCGGCCCTTTCAGTTAGACAAATGCTGAATATCTTGATAGTGGCGTCTTATATGAAGTTCCGCTCAATGAGTCTCCTTTGACTATCTAAGAATGATGGATATCTATAGATCGGACTAAAAATTCGTTCTAAGCACCTTCTCCAACCCGACAACTACCGACAAGGTCCCTGAATACGCCAGCAATATACCCCTTTCGGGGTTGGAGACAGACGGTGGAAGCGTTTTTCGCCACTCCCTCGGCGGGCTACAGCACCATACGCTTTTCTATGAGGTTAGATCTTAATGATAGCTTCTAGGGAACCGAAAGCGGGTTAGCACGGACGCTTCCTTCATGATAACCCATACAAAAGGCCATAACGGTGCCCCCGACGGGAGTGGGGCCGATGTCTAGTTAAATATCGGGAATTTCAACCGCGACTTCGCCGTCGGCGGGCATAACTCCTTCACAGACGCCCCACTCCTTACTCAGATATCTGGAAGTGGTGTTCCACCTAACCTTACGGCGCAAGGGTTACAACTGTTCAGAGAGCACTCGACAATATAAGATTTTTCAAGCTACCACCCAACGGCGAAAATGATGGTATTGATGATGTCGAGGTGGTAGAATGGTTTGGAGTTTCGTTAGAGAACTGATTTAAAGACTAAAAGTTTTCCTAGTATAGCTATTGTTAAAGAATGTTGTGAGGAGTTGCTCGGTGATTGGTTTAGAGGCAGCCCAAACTACCGGTTAAGTCGTAAGAACTAACTATGAGAAGAAACTGTCCAAGATCTACTAGAATATCAATACCTAGGGTGTGTTCAGATTTGGGTAGGAATGTAATCCAGGTTTATAGCTCATTTACCGGTTCATAGATCGTGGACGGTCTGACGAAGACGGGTATGTAGATCTCATGTAAGCAAGGATTTTTCGTATACTAACACCACTTGTACGAAAACCGATGAATGAATAAACTTAGGATCTCTCTAACAGGTAGTAGGTATGATTAATATGGTGTAGATCTTCCCCAACTCTAATAACCAAATCCGGGTTACGCATATCAATGCATGGATTCCGTCTCACGTAATCTATAACGCACCAGTAAACAGGACGGGTGTAAAGCATTCTATCGCAGATCAGTAAGATGACGACAACTATACAGAGCCTATCCGGGGTATACACGAAATGTACAGCAACCCAGCTCACCGACAATAACCACGGCTTCGATTTATTTACTTAAATAACGCATCGAATTTCCAAGAAGAAATCTCCGCTACTCTCTACATACATGTGAAATATCCTCCGTTTAACGATGGGCCGTCCTAACGTGAAAGAAGATGCGCAGCGCGTCTTTGACATTCTAAAAGGGGGTGGTATAGCAATCTGCCCTGCAGATGTCGGATATGCCGTTATGGCAACGAATGCGAAGTCTCTTGAGAAAATCTTCCTGACGAAGCAAAGAGGAGCCCATAAGCGGCATGCTGGGATTGGGTCTTATGCTATTCACAAGGAGGTACACATCATGGAACCTCTACAGCACGAAATCATCGATCATCTGACACAGGATCTCGATATTCCGGTTGGTGTCATCGCGCGGTACAAGCGCGATCATCCGATGGTCAAAAATATCGATCCTGTCACTATGGAGGCATGCGATGTGAACGGGAGTCTTTCCATTCTGGTTAACGCTGGTGCGTTCCAGGATGCGCTGACAAGTTTGACCTTTGCCGAAAACATACCACTCTTGGGCAGTTCGGCGAATTTGTCGGGCACAGGTATGTTCTTCAATTAGAAAATTTAGTCTGATGATATTAATGGAGAAGTTACGTAGGGACGAAATATCGCGTGGATGATATCAATAAGGAACTCATTGACATCGCGGATATCGTGATCGACTACGGGCTGTTGAAGTGGTGGGTTCACGGCCGGAGTTCTACGCTGCTGGATTTCAGCGGCCCTTCCGTGGAGGTAATCAGGATCGGTGCTTGCTACGACGTGATCAGGGACGTACTCAAGCGTCGATGGAATATTGAGCTTCCAGCAGACCCGGGAATGGAGTCACTGAGGTTTGGACACTTGAGGAATTTGGATCCGGTCAAGTCGCTGCAGGACTTGATTACCCCTATTCAAAAGTAAATCGACTACAGGCTGGAAGCAGTAGTACTATCAAGCACAGCATAATCTGGTTACTTTTTGATAAATGTTTGCTTCGAATGGAATCATATGTGACTTAAAATCAAAATAAATACTATTACCTAGGTACCTAATTTTATCAACCACGGTGATAATAAAGAATTCTCGGTCCGGGACTTAGGGGTAGGTTTGTGGCTAAGTGTGGCTTTATAAGGGCTCCGTCTTAGTGGGGCCTTCGTCCCCGGACCGCACCTCGGTCGATATTAGCATTTACCGAAACTTAATTCGATACCCCGAGGGGACTAATGACAGACCCACAATTATAAACCACCCCCCGGAGAATGTGGGTCTTATTGCGATTGTAACGAAGTTGAGTCCTCAAATAACATAACCAGGCGATAAACGACTAGTTTCCACGGATATTGGCGGTGGCTATATACGATATCTGGAAACAAAAACGTATAAGAAGTCTAGGTAACGAATTCGGAGGAGTATAGGTGAATTTGTTGAATGAACACCTAAATTTTAATGTAAGTGCAGGCAAAAAGCATGTGAAGAGCATACATACACCTAAAAATCTAAGGGCGATTCAGCTCAGAGTTCCACCCCGCGACTCCATATCTAGGCTGTGAACCATGGTCTAAGTATTGTGCAATACTTTTACTTGTGCTATAATACGTTCAAGGCCATGGGGCCCCTTATTACCCCACAAGACTATCTCCGGTCTACGTCGAAGTATTTAGATGCGGTGAAGGGGAAATACCCACTCGTATTGATAAGCTTTTCATATTCTATAATCTATTTGACGACTGCGGTAACTCCACATCGTCTAGACCGCGACCTAATGCCGATGCATTACAAAAAACGGGGCGTCCGGACGCATGCCAAGGCCGGACTCGCGTTAGGTGTAGCCGGCGTCGGCGTGTGAACCCTATGATTGCTTTCGGGGTTTCCTAATTCAGTAAATCCGCCCCAACACTATCGTAAATGAGAGAGAAATAAATCATGATGGATTGTAGCTGACATTGGTGTTCGTTCTGTTGTTCTGTGAGGTTATCGTTGTACGTCCTTACTTGCCAATCATCATTGACCAAGATGATACGCCAAAAGAGCCAAATTTGCGGCAATAAGCTGATCGCTATGATCACGCTCGTCGATGCGCGTAAGGAATTTGCATATTTCTAAACTTTGCAGAGCCCGGCTGATATTTGTGACTCGAAAGTTTCAAGTTGTTGGTTCGGCTACGACCAGGTAAATTAAATATTGAGAGCTTGGTGAGCAGGATAGTCCATTCTGACTTACTGCAGGGCGTATACGCTGGAGTACTGGTATCAGAAGATTTCAAGGAACAATTTCCTCAGGTTCTTGACGCCAATATATCAGGCATCACGTCAAGTTGCTTCTTCGTAAGAACCGCCCTATTATTTTCCTGCCTTTGGTTTCAGAGTGATTTTTGGTCACCAAGCAAGACTGAACCCGTACAGATTGGAGCCTTCATAGGTTCAATGGCAGCTTTTATGCTTGGCGATAGACTCGGACGAAGAAAAACCATAGCCTGGGGTTTATTGTGCAACTTCCTGGGAGCGATCCTCCAGTTCACCGCGTGGCATCTGCCCCAGATGATCATCGGGCGCTTAATAAACGGATTCGGCATTGGATTAACATCAACCACTACTCCGGTATATTTATCCGAGTGTGCGAAATCGCACCAGCGAGGCAAATTAGTCGTCATCGGCACCGCTTCAAACGTAACATCGTTTGCGTTAGCCAACTGGATCGCCTATGCCCTATACTCTCAAAATGGACCGTTTCAATGGCGATTTCCTCTCGCGTTTCAAGTAATTTACTTCTTCATGATAACGCCACTTCTCCTTCTAGTTCCCGAGTCGCCGAGATGGTTGTTATTAGCTGGTAAGGAGGAGAGTGCTCTCGAAGTTCTTAGCCAACTCGCCGGGAAAGATATTCCGATAAATGATGATACCGTCACGGGAGAGTTTCGCTCTATCAAAGTCGCCATAGACCTCGAGAGAGAAGACCGTGCTCCACTAATAGACGTTCTATGCTTCCGCGACAAGACACATAACTTCCGCCGCTTGATACTGTCTTGCGGAACTCAGTTTATGCAGCAGTTCAGCGGCATCAACGCATTAGGTACGGTTCTTTCTTTACCAAATTCTGAATGACTCTAATATTTCGATATTAGGCTTTTATCTACCCACGCTTTTAGCACAGAACGTCGGTTTCAGTCAAGAAATGAGCCGGTTGATTGCTGCCGTCAGCGGTACTGTTTACCTCGTCTCGGCGTTCGGGAGCGTAATTATCATCGATAATCTTGGAAGACGAAAGTTGGTGCATAGGTATCTAAGAGTTAAAAACAGACTGCTAACGTTAGTTTAGGATGCTACTATGCGGCTCTATCGCTATGGGCATATGCCATCTGATTGCCTCCCTGTGTCTCAGATCGAGTGAGCTCGATATTTCCAGGCAGAAACTCGTTAGACTATCCCATCCTACAATTTTGAACTGCGCTTACCGTAGCTATAGATGGGAAACGTAACTACCGCGATGTTCATCGTTTTTCACGTATTTTTTGGTCTAACGTGGGCTTGCGTGCCTTGGGTTTATTCTGCTGAGGTCAATTCTCTAGGCTGGCGCTCGCGTGGCGCCGGTGCCGCAACAGCGACAAATTGGCTTGGTGGATTCGTGGTGACTCAATTCACCAAAGTAGGCATTGATAACTTAAGCTGGGCCTTTTACCTAAGTAAGTGCTTCGTCTTTCAAAGCCCTGATGTGGTTACATGAAGGTAATGCTGACTGGAGGCAGTTTTCGCTGTCTTCTGCTTCTCGTATTTCCCAATAGTGCTCTTCTTTTACCCCGAAACCTCAAATCGTACTCTTGAAGATATGGATTATATGTTTATACAAAACCCATCTATATTCGTATTGGGGAGGCCTGAAATGACTCAGCGAAGACGGCCGGCAACTTTCGCTACGGCAGAGGCCAACCGCATTGCCCGAATGCCCTGAGTTTACGAAGGGATATTGTGTCGCTGTTGGGATAGTAGTCACGTACACAACCAATTAGATAGCATTCTCCCACATTACCTTAGGTAATCTCTCTTTCTTACATAATCCAATCCAGTTAAGTCAGTACAGCATCACCAGTCATTTCGTCGTTGTGTTTCCTTTCGTACGATGCATCGTATTGCGTAAACCTTGCGTTCCGACAGTCGCATTTTTTTTCTATGGGAGTTGGGCCCCCTTTTCCTTCCCAATTGGACCAATTGGACCAAATAGGAAATTAAAAATTACTTGAGACTTGTCCCCAGTAGATGCTGAAGCCTCATATTCCTTGAGAGTAAGATTTATCCCCTAGCCACGAGAAATTTCTAGAAGAACGCGGACATCGTGTATAAATGAAGTAAAAATAGCCGACGTGAAATTCGGCTATGGATAGGAACCAATCGCAATCATTAGGTATGACTCGTTGTCTCCCAAGATGGATGTATGTCTATTATCCCCGTAACCTCGTAACATTTAGCCGGGACGTAAAGGAGGGCTCACGACGTCAGTGACACTATTTGGCCAGACCTCGACGGCAATATATAAACCGGGCGACGACATTGACAAGCATCGTGAAGTCTATTGGCATTTGTCACCAGGTTGAAGTCGAACTTGAAGTTGTGAATTACTTATTCAACCATTCAATTTCTTCTACGACATTACCCAGGGCAGCAACAGAAGCCCTAGCCATGCACGCTACGACCTACTTGGGATTCGTTGCTATTTTAGCCATCTCAAGGTTTGCCGATGCGCGACCTATGAAACACTACGAAGGGTTAGCAGAGACCTACATACAAGCTTTCGGGTCGAATATGATAGCCAACGATACCGATTCCGTGGCCCAACCTTCGTCCGTAACGCCTACCTCAACTCAGACAGAATCGGCGTGTAAGCCCTTCAAGATGCCAGCAGTACCTCCGCACTGCCTCATGATGGGTGGTGAATTGGCCTGCCACGGCCAGTCGCTGTACTGCAGATACCCTACCGATTGGGGCGTTGGTTATGATCCGGTTGGCGAGTGCTGGACTTGTTAAGTCGCTAGTTCAGGGGGGATAAAGAAGCATGGATATGTGGAGTTTTATTGAGGCTTAATCTGCTAAGAATCACGTTTCGGTCGATGACGTCGAGTAGGAATATCCAACCCCTGATTTCGACGAGATCGAGCAATCGGCGAATACGGCGAATTTCGGAGTTGGTGGGGATTGTTGGCGTTGGAAGATCATTGATTAATACATAGGTACACTTATTAAAATAAAGGACGGAGTAAAAATTGCATAGTGTAGTTAAGAGATGTATAGCTCGAGCATCATTATTAACCCAGATGAATGAAGTCAAACAACTTACGGATCCTAGTCCCCGGCCGTGAGGCACAGTAGGGTGGATCGTGTACCTTGATGGCCGCAGACATTGCCGAGTGTGGTAACACACCCTTCATCCATCCGGATCATCGGTAAAAGATCTGCACAGTACCAAAGATCAGAACGTGGGGAAGCTGAACCCAACATAATAGGATAGCGCTTAGTTGAGCCGCTTATAGCTTACCTTGACATCCAGAAAGATCGTTGGACTCGGGTGTATTTCCGTTTGCTATGGGATATTATGAGATTGCTGTGGACGTTATTATGAATATGTTAACTCCGTAGTAGGCACAAGTTATGTAGATGACCTCTGTCATTATTATGGTTTTATGTGATGTCATAGTATTCTAAGAGAAGATTTAAGGGTTACGGGATCGAGAAGCAGGTACATATAGGGCTATTATATAGGTCTAGACAAATCGAGTCATGTGACACCCCTCTTGAGCTCTTCGAGCACACTTATCGCTACCTACATACCTAGGTACCTAGGTAGGTATCCTTCAAGAACGGTAAGTAGACCAGCCGCTAAACATACGATCTTCTTGATTTGGGGTGAACTCTTCGTAACAAGCACTGCATTTAGAAGTCAGCAATAGAGGCTAATAGCTGGCAGGTAGACTAACTCATCCGAGTAATCCATATAATTATGTATAGGATCAACGCCACCGCCAGGACAGCTATCCCTCCCGATTGGACAGCCGCTAGACGCCGATGCTTGAGGAGGAGTATCATTTATAGAATCCCCTGGACTCTGACATCCTCCTTGGAAAGTATGATAGAGGTTCATCCAATGACCAACCTCATGTGTGACAGTACCCCCTAAATTATATGGAGCGGCGCTACCCCCGGGGACGGATTGCCCTAGCACGGTACATCCATCGAGGTAGAACTCGGTAGATCCATCAGCAACGTTGTCTGGGAAGTAGCAATATCTAGCAAGGATATTAATGATTTCTCTCGCACAGGATCGTAAGGAAAGACTAGGGGCTTACCCGAGCAATCCACCGCCGAGATTGCCTAGGAAATAAATATTGAGGTCGGAGTAGGTGCCTTTGCGAAGCGCCCTCTTCATTGCAAGTTCATTCCCGTCCGCAGCCCAACTGCGGTTTATGGTCCAGTCCGTGCTAACCAGGTTGAACGTAATGCCATGCACACCATAGGCTGCGTTCATAACATCAAGTTGATCGTCAATCATTTGTTGCTATATCCGATTTAGTAAGTGAAGCGGCCACGACAATACTCTACTACTTACGGTAATATAACCATCGTCGAGAGATGTGGATGACGCTACAACGTGGAAGTAGGTGTTCACGCTGAACGATCTGAGGGCCCGAGATTCGCCCTTAGCACGCATTTCCTGCTCCTTAGCAAGCATAACTTGGGAGGCGGCTATTTGAGCTTCGGTAGGCTCAGGGGTACCGCAAATCCTCGTAGAGTTTCCGTCTGCTCGCGGGAGCACATAATGGGCAGCAGCTGTATAAGCCAGCAGGGCTGCAGCAGTGACAGACTTAAGCAACATCGTATACTGAGGAATGGAGACTAGTATTATTGCGGATGAAAGAAAGGTCTAATAGGACATATGGTTGGTAGAGTATCAAGACATCAGTTGAAAGCTCCTAAGAATATCTTATAGTCGTTGATACCAAGCCAGACAGATACACTCTCACCAAACTCTTCATATCTACCTCGGTTCCGCGCGAAGCCGCTGATAACTCTGTTACCTGCCTAATTTGCGCCATCACGTATCTACTCTAGTTTTTCTTGCGCAGAGATTTCTGTAATACGAAATCGTTGGTTCGTTACGTGACTCTCAGCTAACCAATCAACCACCACCCCTTAGCATCTGACAGCAGAATTAGTCGAAGTCTACTTATGGTGTAGGTCACGGTAGTTCGCATATTCAGCTCTGACGTCCATGTAAAGCTTGAAGATAGGCGGTCTCGACTCCAAGAGAGCCTTACTCGGAAGAGTAGGTTACCACTGGAAGTTCTTAGAGTGATAGTGGGCCATCTATAAGGAGAAGCTGGATGAATCCCTGCCGCGCGCCTGACAATTATTGGCATAACCAAAAATTCTGCCCTATCAGCTCAAGTACCGAAGATAGTACGCATAGGGATCGGTGAGGGAAGCTCGTAGATATCGGCCAGGACCAACTACGGCCTCTTGGCGGAGGGGACTCTGATTAGAAGTAAGTGCAGTAAGCTACAAATAATTCTTAGGTGAATGTAGTATTCTCAACGCACGCACGCCGCCTGACATGCAGAAAACATAACTGCCCTTCCTGTCACATACCGAGTCGCGGCCGTCCAATCGGCGGTAAGATCCATATTAATGCAAGTCACCCGTCTCGCTGCAGAAGATAAGATTAATAGCCCAGCTAACGCAAATCTGATCGCTTGCCTGTTACGGTTGTTACGTAGAACCATTACCCTGGTTATCAACACCAATACCAAGAGGATGTAAATGAATTGCAATATAGGTCTTGGCTACCTATCCTTCAGAAGATGATAGGGTATCAGCAGCTTTATCAAACGACGATAGGTAAAAGCTGCTGTGGCATTCTTCAAAAGATACCTTGGATGCCAAGCTGCCAAGTTGCCAAGTTGCCAAGTTGCCAAGAATTGCAACGTTAAAGCTTCAATAACAGGCGCATTATCGTGAATAACTATCTCCAATTGTCGTATTGGACTCTATTTTACGTGGCCTGCTTCCAAAATTGGCTGACTGAAGTTCGTTTGAAAATAGCTGCGTATAAGCAACATGCTACACAAACACTTCTGATATCTAAGATAGCGACTTCGGGCCTAATAGTATCCGCGTTCGAATACTTCTTGACCAAGTCATACAATCACTAATCTTCTGTTTTCATAATGGCATTGTAATATTTTAAAACTCCTCCAAGTACAGCGTTGACATTATCTAGTGATGCTTATTTACTTGGCTAAATCCATACACGGAGATATCAATATCCGCGGAGAGCATTAGATGCGAGAGATAGGTACATCTTCCGGGATCCGCGGCAATGATGCTATATAACTATATCTGACCCTAATACTTCTTCTTCGCGCGCTTTCTTATCAGGTCCTTACCGTTTGTTAATCTCTGACTACGATGTGTATCTCAGTGAACTTGAGAAAAGTGAACCGATGGAAATCGTGCCGGCCGATGATGACGTAATCATAATTATGGATCGCGGTTCGGGTTCGGGTTCGGGAGGTTAAATCTATTCCGACGAGCTCCACTCGTCCCCGAACACGACAAGCCCGTTTGTAAACTTCGAGCATCGCCATAATAATATTCCGTGACTTTGGGGCCTCCGCGTATAAGTAATATTCGCCGGTTGGTTTTCTCAGACCGGAATTCCGGCAATCTAGTGATGATTCTCGAGCCGCGAAGATCAGCGAGTTCAACGAGTCAATTAATAGCTTAACCTGACTTAGATCTAACTTAACTTAATCTAGGTAGATATATCTATTCAAATCAGGTAGAAAATATTTTTTATTTGTTCAGCGAACAGGTAAATATGAGGGTATATAGGTACCTACCTATATATATCCTCAAAAGGCGGGTGGTAATGGATTTGAGGTAGGAAATTTATGTGGCTGGTGTGGCTTTATAAGGGCTCCCAGGTCAGTCCTACGATACGGTCAGGTAAACCTCATTTTTCAAATATATTTGACCTGACTCGGACAAGGTCAATTCTTTAGTTATTTGGCCTGACTTGGCTCATCGAACTCGTTGCCGTATCTTTCACCAAACCCATCTTATGGAAGGTCTACGAAGGGAACGTGGGTAAAGGAATCAGCAAATTGAAGTTATGTTTCTCCAAGCTGAGCTCTTAGTTAGTACCTCACTATGTTGATTTGTTATGAGGCTGACAAAATAAAATAGTTAGAAATGTCTTCGCCCCAGAAGTCCCCGGCGCGCGCTGGTTCATCCCAGACACCTCGAATCTCCGCCGACACAAAGCGGCCGATGGTGGGCTTTATGCTAGAGTTCGACATTATCTTGACGCTAATCGTGAGACTTAGACTCCATCTGGTTCGGGCCCTAGCCCCCAAAGAGCTCAAGCTCAGCATTCGCACCTCCCTCTAACGATCGAAAAAGAGGATCTGGACTTCCACGGGTATCCAAAGTCGTGGTTATACGACCCCGACAAGGCAAGTCTCCACATCAAGACCTTCTACCAGGATATGCAAGAACGAGAGGCTGCATATGCCGGAAAGGGCCCCGGAAATGGCTTTATGCTCGCCATTGACCAAGATGGGGACCCCAAATTCCACCATCGCCAGTATCCGAGCCCCAGTCTCAACGACCGCCCCTCAACTGGCTCGGCTTGGGTATACCTCATAAAGGAGAATCCTGATACCGACAAGCCTGAGTTTAAGCTAGTCACAACCGATTGTATATCGGAGTATATAGTAAAGGGCTGGAAGCTGTGGGACCATCCTGAGCGGCCGATCGACCCACAGAAGAACGATATAGATACCCGCAATGTGGAGCGAGGCCGCGATGTCCAAACTACCGACAGGCCATACAATAATACCCTGAAACTTTTTGGCCGGGATATCGAGGCTTCCAAAGGCCTTGATAGTAAGTCGGATTGGAAGCCCGGCCAGCCTTTTGGCCCTGGGGACACGGCTAAGTCCATCTCGAAAGTAAACGACCTCCAAACCCCAGCCCAATCGAACGACCAAAGTGCTACGTCATTTGGGCACTTGGGCTTTCATCCTCGCCCGGCACAAGTTAGCGCAGGATTGGGGGGGTTATGACAACTACTACGACTGGGAATCAGCCGGTCGTCATGTAGACAAAACAAAGGTCGAGAACAGAGGCGATCCAAAGACGCTAAACGGCATGGTCTTTACCTCGCAAGACGATCCTAACCGCCGCCTAGAAATTAAACTTACGCCGGAAGAAGTGGAGAAATGGGATCCGAAACGCCCAATAAAAACCCTATGTGAGGAGGTCAACTCAAATGATAGCCAATCTCAGGGGCAGGGACGGGGATGAGGTGGAAGTCGGGGCGGAAACCGGGGCGGGAATCGATGTCGAGGCAACTCTAGAAACAATGATCCCTCGTTTTGGTAAATTAGACCCTTTGGAGAAGTCCAAGCCTGCCAACCTCGAAAAATAGGACACAAGTCCAGCTTTATATTGGAGCAATCTAGGCAACAAAAGTCTACAAGGTTCACAGATGCGAGACCCGTCCTTTCAGTTTCGACAAAATTGGGCGCAAGTCCTTTTTATTTCAACAGGGTGGGTTGGAGTTCTCGGAGGTCATGACCACTGGCTAGCTGAATATGTAGAATACTATCACATACAATCTGTACAAACGCAGTGATATGGCATAACGGAGCTTACCTCTAACTTCACACATTACCTTACATAATTTTGGTAACTTCCACATTCGCGATGCAGATCTTTGCGGGGCACTAGTCGAGACAATCCGGCACGATGTCACAGCTATACGTATTCAGAAGAGGGGCCGGATAAAGGATAAAGTTGATCATATATGCCGAAGGAGTACTGCTTGTGGAAGAGCAATACAACAAAACAGGTATGCACCTCGTTCTATATAGCCGAGGCATGCATGTAGTTCTAAACCTCTATCTTCCTGTCGTCGTGACGGAATATTTATATTTATACAACACTCTTTAACAGTCAGAGAGTTGTGCTTCAGACTGCCAACCTCATTCGACATATTACCTGCCTTGAAGAAACAGTGATGGCCGTCGCAATCTCTCAAGTGTCCTTTGAGCATCACAGAGTAGCTCTGGGCATTGGAGAGGATTCTCCTCGAATATCATGGCGGTTCGAGGGTCAGGAGCAAGACTGGAGGCAAGGCGGATACAGCATTGAATTATCCCGACATAAGCAGAATCAAACTGGACTATCCCAAATTGAGTTATTTCATCACAATTCCTCAGATTCTGTTCTTGTTCCTTGGCCCACTGTCTTGTTAGCATCAGCAGAGTCTGCTACAGTTCGTGTGAGAGCATATGGCGAAGGAGATCATCCTGACACCCCTTGGTCCGACAAAGTCAACGTGGAGACCGGACTTCTGGATCGGGACGATTGGTCAGGGGCTCGGATGATAAGTGCAGACAAGGAAACAGAGAAAAATGCCACCCACCAGCCGTTACTCTTTCGCAAAGAGTTCTCAGTTAATAGTACTAGTGTGGAGAAAGCACGATTGTACATTACGGCTTATGGCTTATACGAAGCACAAATCAACGGGAAAAGGGTCGGTACTAACGTACTTGCTCCGGGCTGGCAATCTTACAAACATCGTCTAGTCTACGATACTTACGATGTCACAGACCTACTACTCGCCGGAGATAATGTTCTCGGGATAACAGTTGGCGAAGGTTGGTATGCTGGCCGCCTTGGATTTGGAGCAGGCAACCGCAATATCTGGGGCGATACTTTAGGGGCTATGGCCCTTTTAGTTACTACATCCAATGGAAAAACGCGAAGTATCAAAACAGATAAGTCTTGGACATCGAGTACAGGTCCGATCGTGACCTCTGAAATATACAATGGAGAAGTATACGACTCGAGGCTAGAGCAGACTGGGTGGTCAACCCCTGGATTTCTTGTCCCGGACACTGCAAAGTGGATTGCAGTGAAAGAGCTTGAGACACCTTACGGAATACTGGCTGCCCCTGACGGACCCCCTATCCAACGTATCGAAGAGATCAAGCTGCGGGAGATATTGACATCTCCCACCGGAAAGACTATTCTTGACTTCGGGCAGAACTTCGCTGGATGGCTTAGGATTGCTGTTAAAGGTAAAAGAGGAGAGACTATCAAATTAGTGCATACCGAAGTCCTAGAAGATGGAGAAGTAGCGACTCGACCGCTTAGAAATGCTACTCAGACAGACTACCTTACGCTCTCGGGCGAGCTTCAAACTTGGGAGCCAAGTTTTACTTACCACGGATTTAGATACGTCATGGTCGACGGGTGGCCCGAAGACGATACTCCGCTAAACAGCGATTCGATGAGCGCGATAGTACTGCATTCAAATATGGAGGAGACAGGTGCTTTCGAGTGTTCAGACGAACTCCTAAATAAGTTACACGCAAATGTGAGGTGGTCTATGAAATCCAACTTCATGAGTATTCCAAGTGACTGTCCCCAAAGGGATGAAAGACTCGGATGGACGGGAGATAGCCTCGCGTTTGCTCCGACAGCCAATTTTCTCTACGATACTTCTGGTTTTGTATGTTGCGTGGTTCCTTGTCACCATTTCCAGAGACCAGGGCTGTTCAGTACTGACCAAAAACTGGCATTTTAGTGGCGAGGTTGGTTAAAGGATCTTCAGTCGGAGCAGGTAAAAGGTTAGTTGCCCACAATCCAGGCCTAGATAACCTCATGTCGACTTCCCTGATTATATTCTGAAATTACGAAAGAAAAATAAATAAAAAGGAAAGAATAAAATAGCCATCGCTAACGCTTTATGCTCTAGGCGTTCCGCCGTTAGTTGTCCCCGCAGTCCCCGCGTCAGGGCCACCAACCGCTACAGCGATTTGGGGTGACGCTTTAGTCGCTAACCCTTTCAACACATACCGTGCCTCTGGAGATCTTGATACGTTACGAGAGCAATACACTGGCGCAAAAGCATGGCTTGACGAAGGCATTCCTAGAAACGAAGCCGGCTTGTGGAGTCGTTCAAACTTTCAGCTAGGTGATTGGTTGGACCCCAAGTCTCCGCCAGACGACCCGGGCCGCGCCACTACGAGCTCTACATATGTTGCTGATGCATATCTCGTCTACGTAACCGGACTGGTTGCGGAGATGGCCTCGGAGCTTGGGCTTGACGACGATAAAATCCGCTTCGAGAAATGGGCTGAAGACCTCAAGACGGCTTTCGGAGAAGCATGGATAGGTCCCCAAGGTATCGTCGCCAACGAGACGCAAACTGGCCTCGCGTTACCGCTATACTTTGATTTATTCGATAGCGAAGCGCAAGCAAACGCAGCGGCCAGTCGACTGGAGAAAATTATCGTAGATAATAAATATCTAGTTGGAACAGGTTTCTCGGGGACGCACTTGCTCGGCCTTGCCCTGACTAAATACAACCTTACCGATACCTTCTACAAGATGTTAAGCCAAACAGCGGTCCCCTCTTGGTTGTATCAAGTAACGATGGGAGCTACGACTACGTGGGAGAGATGGGATAGCCTCCTCCCTGATGGCTCGCTCAATCCCGGGGAAATGCTATCCTTTAACCATTATTCGTTTGGCTCGGTAGCAAACTGGATACACCAGGTTATTAGCGGCCTGGCTCCAGCGAGGCCGGGATGGAAGACAGCCAGAGTGAACATAGAGCCAGGTGGAAACATAACTTGGGCTAAAGCCAGTTATTTAAGCCCTTACGGCAAGATATCGACGGATTGGAAGATTAATGACACCGGATTCCACCTGGTGTTAGAAGTGCCACCGAACACGGACGCGGAAGTAGTACTGCCTGGCGAAAAGCGCACTCTTTTAGTCGGAAGCGGTCGTCACAGGATTTCCGACCCTACATTTCATTTTTGACTCGTTATGTTGGGAGCCAAACTCGCGTGACGTCTTCGAGTCTTGCATTCATTTAGCATCAGATAGGGGCTTACCATAAATAATCCTATCCTAGCATATTGATGGTAGTGGTGAATTCGTTTACACCTAGTTGGCGCGTAGTACAGGAGCAGAACTAGATTGTCCCCTAATAAGAAAAACACCTCAGCGAGTTGAGTCTGTTAGGACAAAACTCGCAACTCATATAGACGTCACCCGTTCCAGTCATCCACTCAAGTTTACCTGTGCAAAGTAGTCTGGTCAGAACCGAGTGCGTGAATATCCAGGTATAGGTGCTGTTTAATCCCATATTTCAGACACTAAAGTCTAAAACGAAGTGACTACCTACCTTAGGTACTCATACTAATAAGGACGCCAACTTGATATATAACAAATGGAAATCTCCAATGACACCCTTCGAATACTACCAGAGCAGTTCTTCCCCTGTTCCTCTCAACCATCTCACCTCTCCAGATACGTTCGATCCTGTCTAAACGGCCATAAAACGATCGAAAACGAAAAAATAAAACCACCTAACAAGGTTAATACGGATATTGCCCTCTAGCGGGCTCATCATGGGGCCCAGCATCGATCCTGGGAAGGGTGAAACTCCCCAGCTTCATACCCTGCCTCTGGAAGTTCAGGCGATGATTCTTAGCAGTATGGCACCCCAGCACTTTCGGAAGGCCTTCTTCACGTGCCGTCTGGTGTGTCGAAGGCTCAAGGAGGCCACAGACCTTGCTTTCAGGAATAAATTCGTCCCCTCGGTCCGCTTTTCGATTTTTCTAGATGAGGTTACCGCAATCCGTAAGGCCGGGCATCGAATAGACTTTGAAGATTATTCTATCGAAGTTACTTTGGATTTTACTTCATTTTCCGAAGATAAAACTCAAGCTATCTTCTCTTATGGCCCTAATTCCGGTGTTGATACATTTGACGATACCGTATCAACAAGCGACGCAGAAGTTCGCATCGGGCCTGTTCGATTTTGGCCACTACGTCCTATCTGTAAGCTTCTTTGGCAAGGTACTATGGAGCGTTACCAGGTTCGAACTACAGAGGAAGGATATCACAAGCCTCGTCTCCATGTCGCTGGCATGCTATTCGAGTTACCATATATGGACGACATCAAGTTTGACCCTGAAAAAGTCGAGCTCAGAATCCCCTGGGTCAGATTTGCGGCTTGTTTGTTCCCTAGACACGACGTGTTTGGGAGACAGCTCAAGCTAATGGCATGTCAGGACCTTGAGGCTACCCGCTGGAAGACATCAAACCCATCCGTAGAACAAGGGTTACGAATTGCTTTGCGTTCGAATGTCGTGCGCGCCGAACGATTCTATACATGCTTCGAAGCGGCTTATTGGGAATATTCACGCCTGTTTCCACAGGAGTCTACCTGGTACTGGAGTCCCTTTAGGATTCCTAGTCCCTCAGCCTGGTACCCAGAATGGGCCGAATACGTTGGAATCAGCTTGACGGCTTATTGAATATGATCTGGCGTGAACAGACATCCATTAGGTTAATATCTAATGCCTCTTTGCCCCGTATGTATGCACGATAGTATTAGAGACGATACTACCAATGTAGTTTCATGATTTACCGTATCTTCTAACAGTATCTTCTAAACCCTTTACCGCTTCAAAAACAAAATTTGTTGTGATATGCGCATAGACTGAAAGTGGGAATAGGGGTAAAAACTGGGTCACGCATACAGCTGATAATAAGTCTGACGGGCCGTTAGCAGCGCTAAACATTTATGGCATTTGAAGCCAGCGTCCAGGGGGTTAACATCTTTCCCTCTCCGTCTACCTCTAAACCGAAACTCATCACAAGCAAGATACTCAAAGTTCGATAACAAAAACCATTCGACCGGCTTTATCATTCCCACATGTTATAATAACGAACGAACTACCCTTTCTCGAATTATACCCTCCCCTCCCTCTCGAAGAACCCCACACGCAAGATGTCCGGCATCGACTCCCCCGAAGTCCTAGCAGCATACGACGCTGTACGCTCGGACAAGGACGCGACAAACTGGCTACTACTATCATACGCTAGTGCCGTAGGCGACAAGTTGGTGCTCTCGGGAACCGGCAGCGGGGGACTATCGGAGGTGGTATCGAAGCTAGACGACTCTCAGGTCAATTACGCGTACGTACGAGTCGAATACAATAACGACTCGGAGAGCAAGCGTGTCAAGTTCGTGCTCATCGTATGGATCGGAGAGGGCGTCAAGGTGATGCGCAAAGCTCGCGTGTCCATAGAGAGCTCACACGTGAAGAAGGTGCTGGCGCATCATTCTATAACAGTCGACGCTCGTGATCGAGGCGACCTTGACGAGAAGGACATCGTGACTAGGTTACGGAGAGCCGGCGGTGCTGATTACAACGGCGGAAGGGGCTAAGAGACATTAGACAGACGTTTGGAGACGATCATATACGGAGTTAAGGGGTTGAGCGAATAGACGATGTTAGGGGATGTTGGCGTGTTTATCTCGGTCGCATATATATACACAATAAATGGACAAGCATTTGGTTCTTGCTTAATTTAGGTATCTAACCCTTGACGGGTTCTCCGTTCCAGCCGGTAAGATTCACTACATCCGGAATCCTCCCGCTGCGTACGATGGTCCAGATGATATCCTCGTCGCTGTCGTTCACCTCTTGGTGCTCCATATACGCGGGGATGAGGGCAAAGTCCCCAGGTTCCAAATCTACCCTCATTGTCCCCCCTTCAGACACGACGGTTCCTCGTCCCTTAACAGCGTAGACTATGGTGTCTTGTTCTCCGTGATGATGGACCGCCGAGGCAGTATGTGGTTTTGCAAGCATGCTGGTGGCGCAGATACCGTCGCATTTATCAACTATGGCATCGGAGCGGATCATTCCATCTGTCTGCGCTCCCGATGTTTGAACATCCGAAGCCTTGATGGATTGGACCGGTTGCGATGGTTCGGGATGAGACATGATGATGGTGGAATTGGTTGATGAAACTTGGACGATACGAAATCTATAAACTTTGAAGTCGAACGAATAAGCCACTGACGTTGTGAGAGCTACTTGGTGACACATATATGTCGACGTTTCTTTTGTCCTATTACATCATGTCCCTCCTAATATACATGTGAATAAAGTACATGTAACTAGGTACCTCCCAGTTATCTATACAGTATACAACTACCGGGTAAGTGGCTTAGTCATAATGATAACATTATGGATTTATCGCGGCAACGCGCATTAGTGGGATGGCGGGGCAGCCGGGGGGCAGCCGGGCTCTCACAATTCATCCACCTCAAGTACCTCTTAGGCTCTTACACAGCTTCTTACATTAGCATCCAATGAGCCACCAATAAATCATCAACCGAATAAGCATCAACCCCGGCAATTCGTAATATCGCATCGTGCCATTTCTAATATGGATATCTCAAATCCTCGTCGCATATTAGCCGTCTCCTTGGCAGATTCGACTTACCACTTAACCAAGGTAATCAAAGGTAAATTCATATAACGTACCTCTTCTCTTATACAACCCAGCCTATCATTCTCCACACACGAATTACCTCCATCATTAAAACTAACCCTCGGCCAGACCTCACCGGTACTCATCCAGAACAGACCTCAACGTCACTAGCCGGTTCATCACACAGCCTCTCTTTAAAGACAGCATACTACACGGCCGAAGTGCCCATATGGTTAGATCTCATATCATCACCGTCAGAATGGGCCGACTCTTTCTTATCTCCCGAGGCCAAGGAGGTCCTCGAGGTTCTCGGCGGAGTCGTCGTAGTCTTTTCGCTACCACTCAAGTCGCAGACGGATGAGGTCAAGGCGGCGCAGGAACTCATCCAGAACGTAGGCAAGGTTATCAAGGACGGGCTTGGCGGCTGGTCGTGGGACGGAGTCGGTCTGTGTCTGGGCGTTGGAGAAATAGACGATGTCGATGAGTGGGAAGATTGCTGCGCCGAGTGGGGGTTGGAGTTCGTACAGGTCAAGAGTCAGTCCGTGGCAACACGAAACGAATTCGGCGGTACGTTTTGCGTCTGGTACACCTGTATCCAACAGGATAGAGAATCCAAGGTAAGAGACTAATTAAGCATGCAGAAAAAACCGGTATCCCCCGTGCCCTAGAAGCGCTAGAATCAAACGACTGGTCTCACACATCCGCCGACGACCTCGGGTCTGATTTCGACTTTGAGACGGAACTAAACATCGAAAATAACGACAATGGCAAAGACAAGGATGGGCCTGATCTCGACCCAGAAAACCTCGATTTTGGTTTCGATCGCGAGGACTTTGCCGGTCTCAAACAAGTGATATGGAATTCCGGGAAAGATGAGGACTTTCTTAACGGAGAACCGAATACGGACACCAGCAAGAAGGACGACGGGGAAAATATGGATGATGAGGATATCAGGAAGATAGAACGCATGATGGTTAAGTTACAGGCTGTGCGCGATACGAGCGCCGGGATGTCGGAAGACCAACGTAAGCGCGTAGCCGCAAAGGCGGTGGCCGAGGTTATGAAAGAACTATGAATACTAACTAGTTTTGCTTGTTCGTATCCACACGGGATATCTGCTGGGGATGTGGACTCCTACAGATACTTATAGGTATATAACGCACCTATACTAGAGGACTAATACCGTCATAAAGGTGTTCTGGCTATACCAATGATTCTAATACTCTTACGAACTTATACCGTATCCAGCATTGGTAAGAATCCGAATATCGAGGAGTCATTAATCGCAAAGTCCCTGTTAGTTACAGGCTTAAGGTATCTGCAATATACGATAGAGCCCGTATAAATCCTCAAAGATCAGCATTTAGTCCGGAAATGTTTCACGAAGTGCGTATATAAGTTTACCCCTAAGCCGAGTTCTCAAATTCCCTTGGCGGGTCGTAACTTGGATGTATGAGATATGTTATTATTTATAATAGCAACTGGCTTATAGCTCTCATACCGTTTATTAGACTTATATGAAGGGCTGTATTAGTTACATCACCTTCAAACACGATGTGTCTAGATGATGTAGCCACGCACTCACTTTCCGTTAGCTATACCCAAGCCTATTTTAGGTGTGTGGTAATAATGCTGCCCGAGTTAATATTGTATTGATTAAAACTCATTACCTCGTATGCCTTTACAAGAGCCGGCCATCGCCATATCAGCACCCCTAATATCACTCACGCTGTTTCTTGCTGGAAAGAGAGTTCTTAAATTTAGCCGTGGATCTTGAGTTCATTCACACTTTTAAACCAAGGGGTATGAATCGCGACACTGCGGGTGTTACTAATAATATTAGTATTGTTTCAATATCCCCTATCTACACTTAACGTAGGTAGTCTATAAAATGACGTCTCGATTCTTGCCGTCACCAGCCCTATATACTAGAACGACGTAGTATTTATATAGCAACGTAGGATGCCTTTTCATACGACACCATGCGTATCACAAACCCGAAACCGAAGTTTCTACCTCACTGTTGAACGAGGTAGTTTCAATCATCCATTGTTAGCACCCATTTATAACTCCCTTGGTAGTTAAACCTTTGTTATGTCGCTGGGATTCAACTATGGAAGCTTCACGATTAATAGGATCCGCCAAGAATATCAAACGCGCATCGACCGCGGGATGATCCATTAAGCCAATGTTGCCTTCGGTACCCACTGATCGTTTCATGCCCCTGGAACGTAACCCCAGGCCGCTCGACCACGTTCTTGCCACGGCTTAGATCGGAGCGATTACCTCTCTTGAATCATCTACGGTGTCGCCGGCATGAACCGTCCGGGGCTAACGAATCGTGTTTATGCCTCATAAGGCTGGCGTCTTACGGAACTTGTGATTACAGTAGACGAGGAGGGAGTGGATTGATTGACTGAATATAAGTCGATATCGACCGCCTTCCGACCTATACATAAAAGACTATGATGTTAATATCAGGCGCAAGACTCAAACCACTTCGTAGAAGCTTGAGTTTGTTTCCGAGTGGGCGTATTTTGCAACATCTTGGTTCCAAAGGGCAAAGGGCACAGTCCAAGAAGAGGCTTTGTACAGAGCGAACAAAAACGATCGGGAGGCATCCTGAAATAGGCAAGGTGCGATAAAGCGCATGACGAGGACCTTGCCTGTTTTGCCATTTCGAGGGTACCTAGTCCATGATACCGATTCTCTTAATAGAGCAGTCTAAGCGGGGACGTCTACGTGACGCCGCAGGCCTACCTTGTCCGCGAGGCGAGAAGCTGAGGCCACGGAGCCGGGATGGCGAGCAATTTTGCTCTTCTAAAACCTCCGAACTATTTTCTAGAATGTGCAGATTCCATACGATATGTACGTAGATGTTCAGCACAAATGGGCCGATAAATCTGTAACAGCACGGCTCTGCATACGATAAATACATGTCATATCATCCCATGCCGCAACCCGTATACATAGTAGTGGAAATGAGAGCTGACTGAGAGTGGTCAGATATCAATTCGCCCATTAATTTGATCTTGCGTAAAGGGCTGTACGAAGGCGTTCTTGGAGCGTCTCTACTGGATTTACCTCCAGTAAGCTGCAGCTACACGCAAGTCTGCGCAAAAATACGCGGCGAGAAAGGGCCCCTGGGTTCGCTAATTATCAGAGCGATCTTTCATGCGCTTACGAGGATGTGATATAGACTGTGCTGTGAAACGATTGGCTGGCGAGGCTAAACCGAGTATATCAACTTCATGCATAATCTGGGGACCGGGTAGTGCTACGGGTTGATGCATGAAGTCGCGAGTCTTAAGGACATGCATCTATGCCCGAGATGCTAGGTACTCACCCGAAGCGTTTATACATGTTACCTTAGTATCTAACCTGTGGTATTCATAACCAGTGCTTAATGCAAATCGGGCATTTTGTCGACTGTTCGGTGCCATGTTTGGATTTAGGTAAAAGCGTTACTGTCCCTCGAGGATTTCAGATATTGTTCTATCTATTGTTGTTTAGTACCCAACCTATGCGTTAGGACCCTGTTGCGAGGATGAAGAAAGCGGGCGGGTGAGATACGCTAAATACCGATATAGCCTGGTATACTCATACTATGGTGCTGGCCGATCTTTAATACGATCTGTTATACGATCTCTAGATGCATCTATTTGTGTTGGAAGCCTTGGCTTAACATACGATGTTATGAAATACCTAACCACTATGCTCAGGTCAGCAAGCGCGGGTAGAACTCCTCGTGTGCTTTTCTACCGACGTACGCATGGCTTAGCTCCGTCCGCTGCCGAAAGACCGAAAATTTGTCAAAGATTGCTCGATGTTGTACTCCGTACGCGTGTTCAGGAAACATAAAACGATACCAGCCGAAGCCTTAAGAAACTAGTTCAGGCCGGGCCGTCAAGCTAACCAATCGGGAGAGGGTCAGCTTGATAGACGCCCGCGTGCACGGTGCACGATCGGCTGGACAAAAGTAGAAGGCTGCATTCTCCTTTATGCGAGCTGTGGCTCGATAACCGGGCAAGGGTAGTGGAATGCGCCTGGTAACGAGTTGGACGCGTCGCGGTGCTTTTCCGAACCCACTTACGAAGTACGCCATGTAAAAACGAAAATATACTCGATGGCATATGTTAGTGCGCTTTGCACCAAGATCCGGGCTTGACTAAACATCTTCATGGATCTTCCCTTTACACTTATAATGCTCTTTCCCGTCTGTCGCATTGGAGGCCGAGACTAATAACCTGTTTCCCGTAACATAGATAAAAAGCCCAGGCGCGTTTGTGGAGGGTAGGGCATTGGAGGATCAGGTGCATACGCGGGAGGGAATGTATCTTTTCTGCAAGGTACAATACCGACGGGACGCGTGACGCCCTTTGCTGGTTCGCGATTCAGGGGTAGCAGCGCTAGTGCCAAGTACGCAACGCTAACTTGCAAGGGGTCGCCTTGCGCTTATGTGAGAGACTATGTACCTAGATAGTATGCGTACATATATCTCGATCCGCCTGGCACTGTGCTGAACCGTGAGGATTAGGTTGTTCTTACGATCCGAGTTGTTTCGTTTGACCGGGTATGTTAATAAGAGATGTCTAATGGTATGGTTGAATTTATATGTAAAGAAAAGAGCATCGATGATGAGGCTTATTCTTTACAGCCGTACACTATGTCTAGCTGACCCCCTGAAGGTTAAGAGCCGAGATCTACCGCGTTTCTCGGCTGTAAATGTCTCAAGCCGCCTAAACCCTAACCTCGCTGATGCTTGGCGGGTCCAAAGTTCTTCCTTACCGGGACGCGAGGGATTCGTAAGGGATTTTTATCCTGCGACTTAACCTTCTTTGGCGGTAAGGTAAACCACCAGCCTTCTCGGGGACGGATCCTATCCGGATGAAGAAACGCTGGATGAAGAATACGCTGTTGGCCGGACTCTTACGTCGAACCTGCGAAGGAAACGTTGCAGAATAGACAAGCCGTTGGTATCGCCGATGCGCATGAAGACGCTATGGTTAGTTTCATCGAGATGGTTGCTTTAGCCTGTGTTCGACTTAGGTGGCTGTAAAGGTTCTCGAGAGTGAGTGATGAGCGCTATATTCTTTAGTACTTTTAACACCGATCTTCTTCGCGCATACCTATGCGACCCCTCCAACAAGAGGCCAAGACTTGGGAATCGCGGACCATGGGGGATGAACGGATAGGAGAATGTGCTACACAGTGCACAATAAATAGCGGCACACGAAGCCGACTCCATGCTACTGCAGGAACACGACGGATGGTTGTGCAGTCCCGCCGTGTTACTGGCTCACCAATGCAGGTACTGATACCCACACAGTCCTACTTCTCATCAAGATCTCTTCCCGAAAGGAAATCCGAGGGAAGAAAAGGTCATCATCTTGGGCAACGCATAGTGCTATGCTATGTTATGTATTTTCTTCTAATTCTGATGACGTGCTGGCTGGCTGGCGGGGAAAAGCATGGACCATTCCGTAGTTCAAGCCACTAGTTCCTTAAGAGGGGCCGCGGGCTGTTCGGACGCGGTCAACCGCGTGAGTATCTTGTGAGTATCTCGACTGTTGCGGAAAAGTATGCAGGGATAAGATGACTTAGGCTGGGTGCTACATAGATCCCACCAGGCTTTAGGATCGGTAATCGAGCAGGCCGAATCCAGAGAGACTATTCATATTCCTGGCTGGATTCCGTTGACGACAAGAATAGCCATGTATGTATGTATGTAGTAGTCTGTAGTTCTTGGGATGCTGAGGGGCGAGGCGATGACTTTTATCATTCTATTGGGTATGTGCCAGGCGTTTGCGCTGGCTGGTCAGCTCAGCTCAGTGTCAGGGTTGACGACTAACAAATGTATTCTTGGCCCTTGACCCCCCTTTTCTTGCATAACAGTCTTGTCGTTCGTGGGGCGATATCAATATGAGGGTCTCTCATTGGCTCTAAAACATACGCCGTCAAACAAACCCCCACCACCACTGGGATAGATAGGATGGATCGTCATCTAGGTTGTTCAAGGGAGGACGCTTAATCGTGCGTTTGATTTCCAGCTCGAAGTAGCTCAGCAGTGCATTTTTGGTAAGTATCTCCCGTTACCTGTGCGGCCAACTACTTATTCACGTGAGACTGCGTGGGTCGAGTTTCTTTTTTCACTCTCCCGACCACCGCTAACATAATGGTAAAGCTCTTGGGGAAACTTTAGTAGATCGTCCGAATCCGAAACCATCGATTTGGGGGCCAAAGTTTCTATGTTAGACAGGCGGCTCGGGGAACTGTCGTACGAGTCCCGTCCTGTCGGCTTAGATATTCGACCTGGATTATCCTGCGCGAGGACAATCGCAGATCGGCCAGCTTACCTTATGTAGGTACCTACTTATGTACTGCGTGTTGCCAACCTTTAACGCCGTCCATTAGGCCGCTGAAGGCCTAGAGCTGGCACGGCCATGTTGAGAAAGACCGTGGCGCGCGCCTTTCGTGGTCATAGGATAATAGTTCATTAGACTCACCGAGATTTCGGGTGAAGAGGGCGAAAATAGAGCAAGAGGCATTGTGCTCTAATATTTAATATGCTAATAGGTCGTTAGGTCGACGTCGTATTCGAGACGCTTTTCCGTACGTTGGCTGATATGTACACCAAAGTCGCGGCGCACGTCAGCGTGGATGTCCAACCTCTTTTAGCCGGTACCGTAGCTATTATGGTCCACCAGTCAGAGTGTTTCCCTTGCTCTCGTGCGCAACCCGGTACATAGTAGAATATATCTACCGCACTGTCTGGATTGTCCAGGGGAAGGACACCTAAAAGTTAAGAGTGATAACCATGTATACCTCCTACCTATGTATAAAAGCGTTTGGAAATATTCGACTTTGAGCGCATAGCAGCTCGCGATGTCGAACTACATCTGTCGAACGACTTGTAACCAAACGGGCAGTGTTCGACTCCTTGGTAACTGTTTCTATATTTTGTCATACCCGTCATACAGTTGAAGTCATCGTCAGGGGTTAGTCCCACAAACGTGTTACCGGACTTCCAGGGCCTTTTCAATTGTCGTGCTCCATTTAGCATCTACTTTAACCCACTTTAGTGAACGCGACTAAAGGTCTCCGATCATCCACTCCTGACCGTTTAGCCATCTGACCAGTTAGTCGTCTGTTTATTCGGATGACATACAGCGTTCGTCCTCGTACCGAGGGGTAATAGCAAGATTAGATCTGGTTCGCATTTCCGTATAGCATTGGCATTGTTAAACGATATATTATAACTTGCACCGAACGCTAGAAAAAAAGCGGCTGTCTTCCCTATTCTGCGCGGGTAACAGAAAGACGGTGTACTCTTTGCGCGAATATGTGGGAGAAAATGTGTGTGCGTGTGCGCGTGTTTGTAGAAGGGCATCAGTCGAGTTCTGCGATTGGGTCTTGAAAGACTTAAAGTCTCCATATCTTCTCGTCTGATAGGTCGTCTGAACTTTGGTCTGTAACTGCGTAAATGCGCTAGCTACATTCCATACTGTATTAGGTCAAGTCGGGCTAAGCAAGCGTCACGTATCAGAAACTAGCCCGCTTGCCCAACCTAAAGCATGCTCCCGCGAAACCGCATCATACCCTTCCACTTGCCTCCACCACTTCGGATGTACAGTATATGCACGGTATCTAGCGTACATATGTACCTTGCAGTAGCCCCACCTAGATTCTTTTTTTTCTCGGTTAGTACCTGGTCTTTCCCCCAAATCCCCCCAAGCATTTGGGCTGCCTGAGCCGTAGTGTACTTTACTAGCTAGGCTGATCCCCGTCGTTCTGCTGCAGGTCCAACTCTAAGTACCACATAGTACCAGATACTACTGGCTGCTACTTTGGCGGTTGATGCTAGGTCGCCCTTACTATCTTTTTTTGACTGTCCTCCTATTTTCCCTTTTCCCCTCCTCCCTTTTTTCGCCGTCCTCTCTCCATCTTCGTCTTCTTCCCCGTATCGTCACCGTTGTCGTTGTCGACGAATCTTCCGCCTTTTCTCCCCCCCTATTCATTATTTCCTTTTTTTCTTCGAACCCACGCTCTCTTTCGTCTTAGCCATTACGGACACCGTCACTCCTTTCGGGTCCATTTCATTCCTTGGGCTTAACTTTATCAGTTACCAACAAGATCATTACCCCAGTCAACTCGCTACCGATCATACTTACTACTAGTAGTAGTATTGTGTATCGACGGACTTGTATCAACTCGACACTGCGCTGTAGCTATAGCTCCGTGCTAATCGTTCCTTATTAACTGTTGTCAACTTTTACATATTTCAAGACCTCATTGGAATAATACTTTCGATCTACGGGCGTGCTCGGGATAAGCCATCGACATATCGCGTTTGAACCCACGATTTCGAGGTCGATCACACCTAACTTATTTATTAACACCGACGCTCCTTTTGAGTAACTTACTCGTCCGAATATGGACACTCCTATCAAAGTAGAGCAGTCGGGCTCTGCGGCCCCAACTGTCGCAGCCCAGACCTATTCTACTCCAGAGGCCATGTCGACGCCTGGCACGATCGACGCGAAGAATAGCCAGTCGCCTTCGCCGTCTTCGGCGCAGTCGACCTCCCAGTCCAATGCCAATTCGAGGCGGCCGCCTCGGAAGAGCACCCTGACGCAGCAGCAGAAGAACCAGAAGCGACAGCGCGCGACTCAGGATCAGCTCACGACGTTGGAGATGGAATTTAATAAGAATCCTACCCCGACCGCAAATGTTCGGGAGAGGATAGCAGAAGAAATCAACATGACCGAAAGGTCTGTTCAGATCTGGTTCCAGAACCGGTATGTATGAGCACCAATATTTATCAGGAACCCACGCTCATCCCCCGTAGACGCGCCAAGATCAAGCTTTTGGCGAAGAAGAGCCTGGAGACAGGCGAAGATATCGATTCCATCCCCGAGTCGATGCGAGCCTACCTAGCCATGCAAGCCATGGAGTCCGGAAAGGGTCTCGGCGGTCCTTACATGGGACGTACCGGCCTTCTCCCGTACGGATCGATGATGCTCGGCGGCGAGCAAGGTGGACAAGGGAAAGTCCGTAAGTCGCGTCTCGACACCCGCGAGCTGGTTTCGTTTAACTAATAATTCTAGTCATTCATCATCTCACGTGTCGGTCTCTGAGCATTGGAAAATGGACCCGCGTCGGCCAGAACACGATGGATTTGATCATCTTCTATTCCCCCGAAAAGTGTACCATGACTTACTACATTAATAATGACCAGGCGGGATACAAGATCGAGTACAGCTTTAACGCGATCAAGAACATTTACCTCGAGAATCCCGAAGGCGATGCTACCAAGATGGGTGGAATCGTCATCGAGCTAAACCGACCCCCTAATTTTTGGATGGACTCGTCCCCCAACTCCAACGGCTTCTTCCAGTGCAACGACTTTACGGAGGATCTCCAGGCTACCCATTGCCTCACTCACCATCTCGGTGGTAACCCCAAGGTCCTTAGCGGTCAGCTAGCAAAACTCGCCTCTCTCGAGTCGTTCACAAACCGACACAATCCCGGCCCTTACGACATGAATCATGCGATGTCTGTCTCTGCCCCTGTGTCTCCTACGAACCGCCCGTCCTCGCAGCCCAACTTCGGCCCGCCGCACGTCGGCATGTACCAAGAGTCGCAATGGGGAATCAACCCGATGCACGCCGGTATGCGCGGTCCGGGACACAAGCGGCAGCGGAGCAGATCGGTGCCCACAGCTGTTGACTTTTCCATGTTTCAGAATCCGATGCCTTCGTTCTACATTCAGCACCCGGGCGAGAATCAGCCTCAACCGCACAGCCCTAACATCTATGCACCTATCCCCCAGCAACCTAATGGTCTTAATAATGTTAACCCTAATCTGCGCATCGATACTCAGGCTACGTACGGTATGGATCTGAGACAATACCCTCTGTCTGCCGCTACTACCGCCCCTTCGGAATACTCGAGCCCCAACTACTTCTCGCAGGGTCCAGAGCACACGCCGTTACCCGCTTCAAGTTTCAATACCCCTTACAGCGGCGCATTCCTCTCGCCGCTACCTCAGATCCCTCAGTCCGTCTCGCCGTTATCCTATACTAGCCATGGCGACCCCGCCATTGTTGAACAATCACCTCCCCTCTCCATGCTCCCACGACCGTCTTCCGCTGACCTATACGGTATGGAGTCCGCTATTTCGGAAGATGGACATAGCCTGAATGAGATGTATTCGAAGCACACCATAAACATTCCCATGCACCCTCACTCTCCTGGCTTCGTGGAGCACGGCCAAGGTGATCTGGATATGAGCCAGCTCGTTCAGTTCGACACTGTCGACCCGTCCAGCTTGTCTCCCGAGAGCCTTTCGCACCCGCAATGAGCTGATAACTAAGTCGACTTAAAAAGGTTCGAATGGTTGAAATATTGTAGCGTGTGATTGGTGTTTCTGGTCTGGTTTTATTCTCCTCCTTGCGGCGTTGCGGAACTTTATACCTCTTGCGGTTTGGTGGTTTTTCATATTCCCATCTCGAGAGTACCCTTCTTCCGTTGGTTGTTCGGCATGAGGCCTGATTCGATTCTTGTCCCATTTCATACGTTCTGTCGGCCCTAAAGCTCAGCAATGACGATGCGTGCCTTCGACATTTGATTATGCGTGTCTGGCACAGCGATCGTACCTTCTATTATACTTCACAGCTGCTTCGTTCCGGAAGGGAAATCCCCTTGCCTTTATCTTCCAAATGGCCTTTTCCGCTTGGATTAATACCGGAATCTCGGATCTAATTCAACTTATCCACAATCTGCTTTGAAATTTTACAACTTGTCTGTTTTCTTTTCGCATTTATGAAAATAAGCGATGTCTTTTCTGGCTGCAGGGCGAACAAAAACAGATGAACATGGAAGAGCCCAGGAGGCTCGGGTTCGCGGATAATAATTTTTAAAATATCTGCCGGGGACCAGCAGCCAGCTGGTCCGCTGGAGCTTGTTGTCGGTTGGTATGCACCAATTCCGAGCGTAATGATGATTGATACCTCGGGTGCGGAACGTCGGGGTTGAAAATAGTCTGGGCGGGTAGTATACCAGATATCGACGGCGTGAAGTCTGCGGCGAAAGCCCTGACGTCGTCCGATCTCGACTATGCTATGTCAAGATGGATTACTTGACTAGCCCTAGTAACTCGATGAAGATGAAGAGATTCCCTGTTTGCTGTATTTCCTTGTCACGACTTTACGGCGAGGGCTATAATACATCGGAATATAGATAACGTGAATTTAACTGCATTTTTAAAAGCGACCCAAGTTTGCAGTGATGAACTATCGATTTCGACACGGTAGATGTGCGTCGTGCCCGACTTTTACCTGGAGCTCCCTAAAGACACTCAATACAACGAGATGGTTGGGTTGGTTATGAAATAATATACCCCTCGACTGATTCCTGTACTATGAGGCTATCCTCATGCTTTGCAGCGTGCTTTTGTTTTTTATGTTTATTGTGTTGATAAATACTTTTTATTATCTATCTCCTGTGATCTATCGTCTTGACGTTCGTAAACATCATGATTCTTTAGTATTTATGAACATATCACTCTTCCAACCCCGTACCCTCAGTCTCCTTCGGGGTTAAGCCGTCACGCAGAAGCTCACCAAACACCCTCGTCGTAAAGTGAATCGTACTCACTAGGGTCACGACAGAATTGACCTCGGCCAGAGGCCTTGCTGGCTGTATATGGGTTTTATTAGACTATCGTCTATAATAGTGCCATCTGGTTCATTTGGCCAGATTCCATTCTCCCAAGGTAGCTTACACGATCGGCAACTATATCCGACGAAATTCTAAGAATAGCGAATTGGAGGTAGCTTCAAAATACGCCACATCCATAGTATCCGGTTAATCGGCTTCGAATTGAACGGGTCCTTATGGTAAGTAATTGAGAACGAGTATGTGATAGCCACCTACTTATTAAGGAACTACTTGGGCTGATAACGAGCCTTTGCGATGCTCATGGTTTATACTTGCCGTTTGACACTCTAGATAGTTGACTTATGGTATAGTGAGTATGCAGGGTGTATCATGGCATCTTCAAGCTTGTTATGAGTGAGCCACGTTTCGTAGTATCTACCAGTCGTTGTATAAGAACAAACACTTCCGTTATCATGGTTTAAAGGCCCGTTTTCTCCGAACTATGCCGAGAAACCGAACATTCGAGTGGTTAGACTAACGGTAATACGAATTGGGTTTTTATGCAACGATGTTCTTGTCTGATGTCAGCAATACATACCTCGCTTTTGAGCTTCCAAAACTGTGACCAAACCACACGATAGGTTACTTGGCTGCCCATAGTATAGACTGCAGGTAATCCATAATCCTTACTGATACGGAGAAAACCAAACCCGCGGGATTGATTATGTTCGACGCATTCACCTGCTTCGTACTCGTATTTATATGTAATGTACAAGCTTTCTCTACGGTCTCGACCTTTACGTAGTAAAGCGCTCTTAGAAAGGTTTCACGGCGGCTTTAGGTGAGATCTTAATCGATCTAGCTCGTGCGTCCTTGAGATGGGGTAAGACCGATCACTAGGTTTTAACTAGTTCAATAATAACATCCTCTACGGCCGTTAATGATGACCTTTTGAGGATCATATGTAGTAGCCTAATAACACACGATAAATTACTCTAACGGGAAGCGATGGATTGCTGCGCCGTAAAAGGCAGCTTTTCAGCCCCTTGGGAGATGATGTCATTAGGATCGGTGTTTTTTTAATAGATAGAATGTTGGAATATCACCACGAGTTTAAGTATTTGGGTAATAATGATGATGGAGATATGTAAACGAAAAATTGCTTATATGTAAACGTGTTCACTTTCATGCCATCTCGAGGTCCGCGATTGGATGATCCTTTTTTGCGTATATAGAATCTAGCCTCTTATAAGAGAGTACGACGCATTTCGAGAGCTGTCACAAAATATCTGCATCTGCTAGGTTTACACTAGTAATTATCCTAAAGCTTCTCGAACAGGGATATATAATCTTTTGCTTAATAATGTCTTGCGTGTGGTGGTTTAAAGACAATACAAAGTAGGACGCTTCTGTCTTAATTGAGTCCGAATCGGACTGGGCTTTCGGACTGGTTTTGGAGTCGACGATAGCTGTACAACTGTACATCGTGGCGCAGTGAATTACGTGCCCCGCGTCAGCGCGTACGTACATACATGAGGGGCAGATGTCGTATATTCTGGCTAGGTTGGTTGTCTGTTGGTAATATTATCATGCTATGTTATAGAGACTTTCGAATATGTCGAAGAGCAAAGCTTAGAGCTACATAATACATACGTGGAGGCTATTACTCTCCTCCATTGGTATTTGATGACCGTCCATGCTCGTCATCGTGGTGTCTTAAAAGGCTATTGGGGGTGGCGCAGTTGTTCTGACGCTTGTTTCGCTTATACTATGCAGTATTTGATCTATGTAAGTTGCTACCTCGCTCGATAGATGGTATTCTACGTAGGTATGTATAACTATCGTAAATATCAAATTCATGTAATAAATCCCAAGCTTTATGGCTAAATATCTAAAGAGGTAGTGGCTGTCGAGGTAGTATTTCACGCACATATGTATCAAGTCTACTTCGGGCTCTTATGTACGATACAATGCGTTGTTGTAAGGCGGGGTATCCCGGTCTTTATGGTTTTTACAGGGATAAAATAACCCCGTTCTGCCCGTTTTAATCCTCAAGGGGAAAAGCTTAGCAGGAGGGCCGGGTTGAGCTGGGTTGGGGCTTTGCTTTGACAGGTCGATCATCCACAATTCCACCTTTCAAGTTTTAATTTTACGACAAGTCTTCAACTTTGTCATGCAAGTATACATAATGTAAGTAAAGTCGCACAATATCATCCAATAATAGTCGATCTTCAGCCAGGAGGAGGCACTAACTAGGTTAGATAGGTACCCTCCAGTGGGCGCCGGGGGACTTGCGTCTCTCGTTAATGCGTTGGTCGCTCTTCTCCTCTTTGGTATCGGAGCCGGGAGCTACGGAACACAATATTTAAGTTACGTTGTACCCTATGTAGATGGCCAGGGTAGCTTCGTTGATTCGTGGCTCCGCGTCTTCTTGTCTTCGAGGATTCGTTAGACTTTGCGGCTATGCTCTGGGCACTTCAACGACTGCAAGTACGATTCTCCATCTGATCCAGGTATAGTAAGAGGTATTGATAGGTACGGTACCTTATGAAGGTAGCGTATGACACATCTCGCTTTGTTTTTCCCTTGTTTTAGTCTGGCTGTTCCCCCTCTTCCCCCTTCCCCATTTTCAACTATCCTGCTGAATAACAGAACTGCTGGGTCGCAGTCATTTGTGATGAAGTGCTTATTAGCTTACCTCGTATTTTATACCACCGACCTGCATCTGTATGATCGCCCAAGCGACCCTCCCCCCATTGCTTTATCTAGTCATAGTACCGACTTTTTATCTTTTTATCTACAGCGCATAGACGCTCGCCTACCTTTTAAGTTTCTATTTTGCCTATTCCTATGAATTCTACGACAGAACTGGTTGGGTCTTTGTATATAACCGCCCAATCATAACCTGCCGATGAGTCCACGATCCGAGAGGCTAAGTCTTAGTTGGCTCTATTGCTGCGGGACGGATCTCCGCCGTTAAACATCACCTGCATTGTACTTGACAGGTCTGGGCAATCTGGGCGCGCCTTGGCCCGTGGCTCGGAGTACATGATATGCCCCGACTAGATCATGTCGAACTATGATGACCCCCCCGAGGATGCTGAGACGCCGCCGCAGCGTTACTTTCCTCTACGCTCCAGTATTAGGTCTGAAACCCCTCGGGCCCTTGACGAACGACAAGCTCTTAGCAGCTGGCGGCCGAGACGAACGAATACCGATAACTCGGCGAATCGCGTGCGGTTTTCTAATAATGTTCCCGAAGACGAAGATGATCGTGGAATAGATGCTTCTATTTGCACTCCCCCTAACTTACCAATGGACCCCAACGGCTCTTCTGAGGCCCATGCCTCCTCGTCGAACTCGACCGGTACTCGAGGCGAAGGACGGCATGTGGACTATATTCTCGATATCCCGGCGGAAAGAGAGAGGCGCAAGGATTTGAAAGATAGTGATGGGAGGAGCCAAAACAGCGAAAATGATACTGATCGGCTGAATTACTATAGCGCGTGGGTTAATAGACGACGAAAACAAGCACGAGGACCGCGAGCTAGGTTCGAAGCGTTCTTTAATGATCGCTATCAAAAATGGATTATCGAAGGGCTTCTGCGCCAGAAGCCTCTCCCAAAGAGTCGCGATGGTCGTCACATACCGATCAGCGGGGGAGCTGTCCGCAAGGAGCCGCTGATTGACGAACGGCGTGGTAACCACTATATCTCGAATTTCATACGCTCCAGTCGGTACACCAAGTGGTCTTTCATGCCGAAACAGCTATACTTCCAGTTTAGCAAGTTGGCTAATTTTTACTTCTTGGTCATTGCTATACTGCAGCTGATACCGGGTCTGAGTACGACGGGTTCGTTTACTACCCTCATACCCTTACTCGTTTTCGTCTCCATTAGTATGGCGAAGGAAGGGTACGATGATTATAGGAGGTACGTATTGGACAAGACGGAGAACCTAGCCCCCGCGTGGGTTCTCGATCCCGACGGTACAGTCAAAAAGACGTCGAGTAAAAACCGGTTGGTAGGCTTGGTCGAGAAATACCGTAGTAAGGAGCGGGAAGAAGAAGAGGGAATGGCAGAGCTGCAAGATATGGGAGAGAACCGGGAAGAATCGGTGTGGGCGACCATCCAATGGCAGAATATCCGAGTGGGCGACATCGTTCGGCTGCGGAGAGACGACAGCGTACCTGCGGATATCATTATCCTTCACGCGACCGGCCATAACGGAGTGGCGTATATCGAAACGATGGCGCTTGACGGCGAGACAAATCTCAAGAGCAAGCAGGCTTCTTCTTTGCTCGCTAAGCATTGCGACACGATTGAAAAGTTAAAGAATTGTGAAGCTGAAATTGTGTCCGAGGATCCTAATGCCGACCTGTATAAATTTGAGGGTCGTGCTACTCTCAACGGGGAAACTCGTCCGCTCACCATGAACGATGTCGTATATCGAGGTTCGATTCTGCGCAACACTGACGAGTTGATCGGTTTAGTTATAAACACGGGCGAGGAATGCAAGATACGTATGAATGCGAACAAAGACGTCCGCGCCAAAGCTCCCAAGATGCAAGCATTACTCAATAGGATTGTTTTCCTTCTCGTTTTGGTTGTCCTGACTCTTACTATCGGTTGTATGGTTGGCTACTATATATGGCAGGACGCGTACGAGAACCACGCTTCCTATCTTCATGGTGCCGGTGTGCCTTTCGAGCAAATCTGGTTCGGATTCATCATTGCCTTCAATACCCTCATCCCCTTGTCCCTGTATGTAAGTCTCGAGATTATCAAGGTCGGGCAATTTTTCCTACTGGGCGGCGATGTGGAGATGTATGATCCCGAAACCGATACGCCTATGGTTGTCAATACGACTACCATCTTAGAAAACCTGGGCCAAGTCAACTATATCTTTTCCGACAAAACTGGGACTTTGACAGAGAACAAGATGAGATTTCGGAAGCTCAGCGTTGCAGGGACAGCTTGGTTGCATGACATGGATATCAAGCGAGATCAGCTAGAATACGAAGCCAAGATATCCAAGATGGATACTAAGAATCCAAACCGGCGTACCAATGGCGAACCAGATACGAATGCGATATCCGATAGGGACGAACGTATCGAGACCCCGCTGATTAAGAACCAGGATCAGTCTGCCTGGGCCTCAAAAGCTCAGTCGGGACATTCTCCGCCTATACCTAAGACGGAAGCCTTGATCAGGTATATCCAACGAAACCCGAATACGACCTTTTCAAAGAAGGCCCGGCATTTTCTCCTCTGCGTGGCACTATGTCACACGTGTTTGCCGGAAGTCAAAGAGGACGGTGAAATCGCTTTCCAAGCTGCGTCCCCGGACGAACTTGCCTTGGTCCAGGCTGCTCGAGACCTAGGTTACCTTCTCATCGATCGTCCAACCCAGTCTATCAAGCTCCAACATCAAAATCCTGAAGGAGAACTTCTTACCGAGACGTATGAGGTACTGGACGTGATTGAGTTCAGCAGTAAACGGAAGCGAATGTCGATCATCATACGCATGCCGGACAACAAAATCTGCGTGTTTTGTAAAGGCGCCGATAATGTCATCATCGCCCTTTTGCGAAATGCTCTCCTAGCTAAACAGAAAGCGTCTACTGTGGAACGGAGAGCTAGCAAACGGAAAAGTGTAGAAGTTGAAAGGGCTATGAGCCGTCTAAGCGGAACGTACAGCCCTAGAACTAGCCTAAGCATAAGCAAGCACAACAGTGTCTTCCGAAAAGGAGGTAGCAGTCGACGTAAATCTGTCGAAGCGAATCGCCGCTCAGCCGTTTCAGATGACCTCGACACCTGGCTGACGAGGCGCGAGACGTTGGATTTGGAGGATGCACCGATATACGATATGGATGCTGGTACTCCCCGGCAATCTATAGCTCTCTCCCCCGTATTGGTTACAGGGGATAGCGAGGTTTACGATGGAGTTGTAGACGAGGTTATAGCCGCCGATGATGGTGCCATCTTTGAGAGGTGCTTCCAGCACATTGGCGAATTTGCCTCGGAAGGCTTGAGAACCCTCCTTTTTGCATATCGTTACATCGGCGACGACGAGTACGAAGAGTGGAAGAATACTTATAGAGCCGCTACTACGAGTCTGGTGAATAGGCAATCACTCATCGAGCAGGCGGCCGAACTTATCGAGAAGGATTTTAGTCTCGCCGGCGCTTCTGCCATCGAAGACAAACTCCAGCAGGGGGTCCCTGAGACGATCGAGAAGCTTCGTAGGGCAAATATCAAGGTTTGGATGCTGACTGGGGACAAACGCGAAACGGCGATCAATATCGCGCATTCCGCAAGGTTGGCCAAGCCTTTTTCCGAAATCTACATCCTCGAGGCCCCCGCGGACGAGTCGGAGGAGTCGGAGGTGCTGCGTAAGTTGAAGGAGAAGATAGAGTCGATATTGGTCGATGTCACTCGTGGTATGATAGCTCATTCCGTGTTGGTCGTCGACGGGCACACCTTAGGTGAAATCGAAAAGGACGAAGCTTTGAAGATAATGTTTTACGATCTCGCTGTTCGTATGGATTCTGTCATCTGCTGCCGAGCTTCGCCGTCTCAAAAAGCAGGGTTGGTACGATGCATCAGGGAAACCGTACCGTCCTCGTTGACGTTGGCCATCGGCGACGGATCCAACGACATTGCCATGATCCAAGAATCTCACGTAGGAATAGGCATATCTGGTCGCGAAGGCCTCCAGGCTGCCCGTGTTGCTGATTATTCTATCGCTCAATTCAGATTCCTTCAGCGACTTCTTCTCGTCCACGGCCGATGGATGTACTTGCGCACCGCAAAATACATACTTGCGACGTTCTGGAAAGAGTTGGTATTCTACATTATTCAAGCCCAGTATCAACATTGGAACGGCTACACGGGCACGTCGATTTACGAGTCGTGGAGTTTGACTGTGTTTAACGCACTCTTTACATCTCTACCCGTCATCCTGCTCGGTATGTTCGAGAAAGATCTCAAGGCGGAGACCCTACTCGCCATCCCCGAGCTCTATTCGTTCGGTCAGCGGAGCGAGGCGTTCAACCTCAAAAAGTATCTGGCGTGGATGTTCACGGGCGCGGTCGACACGGTCGTCATCTATATGATGGTCTGGGGCTACTACAAGGATATTCTGTTCACCGAGAACAATTCGCTCTTCCCGCTCGGACAGTTGGCATTTACCATTGCTGTGGTATTAATCAATATCAAGATTCTGTGAGTTACTCGGCCAATTTGTTCTTCCTTTTTCTAACGGATTGCAATTTAGGATATTGGAATGCCATCACAAAACGGTGATCACATTTGCCGGATTTGCCCTTTCGATCGTAGGCTGGTTTCTTTGGAATTTACTTATCGGAGCAATCCATCCCGTGGAGATTGGCCCGTACGTTGTGCGCGGCTCTTTTGTGCACGAGTTCGGGAATAAGCTGGGTTGGTGGGCGGCGGCTGGTGCCACGATAGCTGCCGTAGTCGCGTTTGAACTTGGCCTTACGGCGTTTCAACGAATTTACTACCCGCGAGACCAAGACATCTGGCAGGAGATCGAGAGCGAGGGGGGAGTTTTAGGCGTTTTGAAAGAGCACGCAGCTGAGGAGGGTCGCGCAGCCTCTCCTTCGGGAGATCTGGAGGGTCAAAGCAGTAACAACGATGACGATTCCGAGCAAGGGCGGCCTCTAAGCCCCATCGTAAGCGAAGGTGCGTCGAGTAGGAATAGATTGTATGACTTATTTACGACGTCTAGCTCGGCGCAGCGAGGTCGAAGATCACCGGATGACGCTGGTGCCTATGGGCCGGAGATTCATAAAAGGAAACGAGTACAGACGGCATGATTAGAAACGAACTGGTTGGAAGTGTTTTTTTTCTTGGTTTCAGCGGAATAGCGGATAGGCCCTAAAAGGTTGTTTTCTTGGATTGGGCTAGCCGGCGTTTAGGCTTGAAAATGGGAAATTTTCTAGCATTATAGCATATGGATTGCAATAGGGTCATCGGCCGGGACAGAAAGCAAGGCGGGATTTTGGCGTGGACTAGATACCCCCGGAAGCGATATGAACACAGCTACGTTACGTGTATTAAATATATGGAATATTTACTACTAGCCTTACCGTCCTATGTAATGACTTGTAGAGATTTGCTTTATTTGGCAGGCAGAGGCTGTAACTTCGCCGATATAAACAACCACCACCAGATACTAAAGCAGTAATTGTATAGACGATTTGGTTTGAAGACGGAGATACTGAAGAGTGGTCGGTCTTTGAACATCTAACACCCCGCTAGGTATGACTATACATGTTGGGGAATTCAATCTTGCGGACTGGGATAGGCGTGCTCGGAACCAATAAGCTGAAAGCGAATGCGAGTATAAAATCTACTGCATCCTAACCTAGGGCATATTAAGGTAGACATTCTGGCTTCGATGGGTTTTGAGCGCTGGCCTGCGAATAGCGCGGGACTATCGGGTAAGTGGATCGATCAACTGGGGTCTAGATACCTGCTGGGTAGCCTTCAGATCCTTCCAGGTATCGAAGCAACGAAGGGGTTGCTACGATATATGCGTTTGGTTGGGAAATTGATTCCACTAGGCTTTTAGCGGTGTGGAATAGGAAACGGTATCTGGACTTTTGGTGGGATTTTGGCAGTTGTTGGTTGAGCTGGGAAATATCATGGGTCCGAGGATGAATTTTCTATGGTAGATCTGGGGTGCGAGGCGTTGTTGGTGAATGGTGGAGACGGTAACTGGTATTTGCACTTTATATCGCCTTATTATCTTTGCTATATCCTATGTAATACGGGATAGCTGGCCTATTGAACGTTGCTGTTAGGCTCATCCAGCGATATGTCAGTTTTCAGACGAAAGGGCCGTTTTAGTGATAACAGGGGGTTGTGTCAGGGTCGCATCGTCGGGTTTTGTATGTTACAGCATAGGTACCCATCTCAGCTTTTCTATCCTCCTCTGTTTCGATTAGTTTAGACACGCCCTACTAATGCCGGTGTCTAAACCCTTTGTGTCTTTTTCTTAATACTATAGAGTGTAGGAAGGGCGGAAATGGCAATTCAGAAGGTTACAGGCTTTCAGGCCCTTCCTCCGAAGACTTTTGGAGCTCGAAAACCCCAGGACGGTGAGAATCACACACAGAAGAATCACCCCCCTAAGCCCGAAAAACGACAGAACGAGAAATCGGTACGACTTCTGGAATGGGAACATCTCCGTAAGTTTTCAGCGAATTCGATACGATGTCATTTTGTTAATTTTACTATACAGCTCCTTGGAAACAGTGAGTGACCCACGTCGGAACCACGAGGTTTAGTGCTTACTTGCCATGAAATCAGGCGCGGCTGTGAGCACCTACGGACCGGATATCGACCGGAGTGCGCTTCGTTATGGTCGTGTTTGCGTAGCTGGTTCTATCTACACAACGAGACAGGTCTGGCGGTCGGCTTAGTAGAAACCGGCGCCGTTGCTAATAGATAGCAGTCAACATTTTCACCCACGTAATCGGCGCCATTATTTTTCTAGCTTTACCCCTATATGTCTTCAGGACCGAGATCCCGCCGCGCTATAAAGTGGCGACTACGGCCGATATCATAGTCTGCAGTATATACTTCCTAGGGGTCGGTGTCTGTTTTACACTCTCGACTATGTTGGTCTACTTGCGAAGAATATGTGATGATAAAACATAACATCTAACTGGAGCTTAGGTTTCACACTTTCATGTGTCATAGCGAAGCCGCGTACTCCCTCGGTGTCAAGCTGGATTACCAAGGCATCATATTATTGATATGGGGAGCAAATATAGCTCTTATTTATTATAGCATGCCATGCGAATTGGGGAATAAGATCGCCTATTGGTCTTTTAACACCGTTCTCGCTGGATTATGCTCGTACGCAACGTTCCATCCGTCGATAGGCGGAGCGCAAACGGGACGTGCGCGCGCCGTACTCTTTGCTACGTTTGGGTTTTGTGCTGTTGTCGCTCCGAACTTAATCGGGCTGTTGAAACACGGGTTCGACGAGCAGAGTCGTCGGGTTGGGCTTAATTGGATAGCGGCTACGACATTGTTCAATAGTACCGGTGTAGTTGTATACGCCGCCAAGGTCAGTAATAGTTCGTGCTGGGAGATGAGTGACCATTGACAGATATCTATGCAGTTCCCGGAACGGTGGTATCCTCGAGTGTTCGACATATTCGGCGCGAGTCACCAGATCATGCATGTTATGGCAGTGTCGGCAGCCCTTGCATTTGCGAAGGCTATGCTGCAGGCCTTTGATCTTCACCACCAAAACCCCCGAGGATGTGTAGGAGACGCGTCTTATTTACACCCGACGTAGATTCACCATGTTGTTAAATAATAACTACGAGGCCAACCTAAAGTCAAGCCTCTTGTTTCCGGCATCTTGGTGGTCAGCAAGGTAGACCAGTTTCTCCTCAGGAGTCATGGCATCCCATCTGCGCTCCCTCACGCGGTTCCGCCAGATATAATATGTCTTTGCTAGCACATAGAGCACCAAGTTTAGACACAAGATACCGATCAATATGCTATTTCCTCTCCTATATAGTGGTGCGTCGTCTGCTCGGTAGATGTTCGAAGAAATGATTACTCCTGCCTGAAGAAACATATTGTATAAGGCAACGCCCAAAGTCCTCGATCGGACGGCATTTGAGTTTCGGGATACCCATCCGACTTGCACTGGGTGACCTATAAAGGGTGAGCACGTTCTAACTCTTGTATGAAAGGGGGTAGGGGGTAAGGGGTAAGGGGTAAAGGGCTATATACCAAGGGGCGCCGCTAGCAATAGTGAAATCATGGCCCATGTTAGCCATTTCGATACTCTAGTCGTATCTACGACGCGTAAGTATATTAAGAAAGGTAGACACCAGAACTGGAAGATGGATGCGCATGCAGCAAGCTGTCCTGTGTATTCTGCAAGCGTAGCTAACGCCATCATGTTGAAGACTGGGATGTATCTTAGTAAGGTTTCCCCAAGGGAGTTGAAATGATGCTCATACTCTTTAAGACCAGGTACGGGATTGATAAGAGATTAGTCTGGAAGGTATCGAAACCAAGACCTCGTAAGGAAAGGCTGAGATATTGTTGTGGCGAGAATGTTGGAATGTTGAAGGTAAGTCCAAGGCCATAGAGTGGCCTAACTCACGTCAGTAACATACCACATCTTATAGGTCATAGCTTCTTACCAGAGGTCAACGTCCGTTAAGCTCTTCCATAGTAACTTCGAGGTGATGGGTTGTCGATTATGCATTGTACCTTTGCTTGGGTCGTCTCTTATAATTCGATTTACCATGATGGTTTCCTCGCTGATAGATGTTAGTATCCACTACTTCGTGAATCTTCGCGAAAAGGGTAACGAGTGTCTATTTCATACCGTGGCGTGAACCAGCCATCCTTTCCTCGCGACCAACTTGATGTCTGTGTCGGACCCGGCGGCATCATAACATAGGATAAGAGTCCAACAGTCCCAGTTATGAGCCCCTTACCACATATTAGTTCGCGATTTAGATTAACATCATTTAATCTCACCTCGATCAAGAACAGCCATCGCCAACCCGAACGACCCTCTACGCCCCGCATATGAAGTAACCCAAACGCAATTATAGCAGCGAGGATGTCTGCTACGAACATTCCGCTCCAAAAGAAGCCCAGTCGGATAGTAAGTTCGTGATGCTTGTAAAAGTACGAGAGATAAAGCACGCACTACTCTCCCACGTTATTTAGTGGAAAGCACGTATCCCTCAGACGGGCGGTGACATACCTCCGGGATAAAACCTCCTTGTAGTAGAGCCAGCAAAGCGCGGCAAGTAAGAAAAGATGCGCGGCCATTAAGGGCGAACTGAGATGCGGATACGACTGAAAAGAGCACAATTTGGGATGGAACCCATCGATCAGGTCCAAGCCACTTCGCTAGGAGTTGCGCAGGGAATTCTCCAGCTAGGAAGAACAGCGCGTAAAGGGTATTACCCAAGTTATAGTCTTTCTTGACATCAGTCCCAGAGATTACTCCAAGCGTATACAGAACAAGTTTGCATACCGTTTGTGCTTAGGTTGAGATCATCCAGGAAGTTGTCGGTTAGGGATTGCGCCAGGTTAGCCCTATCCAACTCCATGGCCGTGAACATTATTGCTGTCCAGGTCATGATACGCCAGTCAATCTTCCGTACGACTTTATTTTCTTCTCTCCAAGTCCATCGTGCTCTCGTATCAAATCGATTTAAGTTTTCCCTACATCTTGTCAACAAGAACTTAAATTTAACCAAAAGGCCCTATTACCAGTCATCACGAGGCTTATACTGGAGTGCCACATAGGGGTTGTCGTAGACGCTCGGCTGTTATCATCAGTATTCGCGGTCGCTTAAGGCTATGTCGTATTTAGATACCTGAGTCGCAATATCGTCGAGGCTGCACTGTTTCGTCTTCTGAAACCAGAACTTCTTCGTGGCCTCAGGTTTCCCTAATGGAGGAATTGCTTCTGCTATCCTCTCTTCACCGGGTCCAAGTTCGGTATCATCGGCTAGGATCGACTTTTCAGATATCTCTACTGGGATAACAGTAGCCATTATAGATTTGAGGCTCGACACTGAGACCAGGCTGACTGAGACTATTAAGAAGCCCTGGGTGTAAGACTGGTAACTGGGTACCTAGGTGGTTTTAAACATCTAACAGAAGGTTCCATTAAGAGTTACCCCGGACTCATATGTACCCCAATATTCTCATTACTACATTACCACTTAGCTACCTAAGTTAACTCGGAGATATACATCAATATATCGCATATTCGCCGTCAACATCCTAGGTATATGAGAATGCGGGGTAAAGGGGCAAGATCCGGCAGAGGTAAATAGCTGTAGTTTGGTTACTTGCTGTGCCGCATACTGAAATCCGAAAGAGGGACCGTAGAAATGTTTATGATGAATTTAGTAAAGCCTAGCAACTTGGTTGCAACGCATTTCGGCTCGCCAATTTGACTTCGAACTGTCTGGCGTTAATTATAGACACGCAGGTAGAAAAGAGGAATCTATCCGGCTAGTCCCCGATCAACATACCCTAACTTTTCTTTAATGCAACTACAATATTCTAGGAGCTAATGAGAATATATCATGACCGGATTCTAGTTCGATTTGTCGGATGCTAGTTGAAGAATACCGCTACGGAACCTTTTGAATACCTACTATATCGCTCTCGAGTAACTAGTTTTAACCTACAGAGCTGGATAGTAACTATGAAGCTTTTATCTTCTCTCCTTTTTTCATGTTTGGCCTATGGAACAGCAACATTTGGACCAGCCAATCAAAAACCAATAACCCTTACGGATGGCTGGACTGGACAACAACCACAATCACGACCTAATATTGTATTCATCCTCACCGATGACCAGGACTTACATTTAAACTCGATTGAGTATATGCCGTTCTTAAAAAAACATCTAATCGAGCATGGCACTTTCTATAAAAGACACTTCTGCACGACTGCGCTCTGCTGCCCTTCTCGCACGACTATATTCACCGGTAAAAACGCCCATAACACGAATGTTACCAACGTCGTTCCACCGTACGGTACGAAACCCCAAACGGAAGTCCTGGATCATGCTAACCAGTACTAGGCGGATACCCTAAGTTTGTTAGCCAGGGGTTGAATGATAAATATCTTCCAGTCTGGCTCCAGGAGTCGGGCTATGAAACATATTATACAGGAAAGCTTTTTAATGCGCACTCGGTTGATAATTACCATTCACCTCATGCTGCTGGCTGGACTGCTTCTGTAAGTTCAGTGCTCGACTGTAATAACTGGGCTCTATGCTAATCATTAAAAGGACTTCCTGTTGGATCCATTCACATACTGGTATATGAATAGCACATATCAGAGAAACAAAGACGCACCAGTGAGTTTTGAAGGACAACATAGCGTTGACGTCCTCGCGGCGAAAGCACTAGGGCTATTGGATGAGGCATTCGAAACTGGGAAGCCTTTCTTCCTTGGCGTTGCTCCAGTCAGTCCTCACGCAAATATATGGGCTCCTAATTTCAAGGATGGTGGCCATGGTGACTTAGAGAAGGTCGAGTTTTCACCGCCAGTGCCAGCTGAGAGGCACGCCAACCTATTCGAAGGTGCTAAGGTCCCGCGGACTGAGAATTTCAACCCGGACAAGCCATCGGGTGCTAGTTGGATTCGAAAGTTACCGAAGCAGAGCCAAGAGACAGTTGATTATAACGACCACTTCTATCTCCAGAGACTTCGAACCCTCCAAAGCGTCGACGAGATTGTGGATTCGCTTGTTCGGCGCCTGGACGAGCTCAAAATTCTGGACAATACGTACATAGTCTACTCTACAGATAATGGTTATCATATCGGCCAGCATCGGATGCAACCCGCAAAGCAATGCAGCTTCGAAGAAGACGTCAATATCCCGCTTATCATTCGGGGGCCTAGAGTCCCGAAAAATGTGAGTAGCGATATCGTAACTGCTCATACTGATCTGGCGCCTACCTTCTTAGAAATAGCAGGCGCTCCTATGAGAGACGACTTTGACGGGCTCGCCATCCCGCTTACTGAAGAAAGCCTCGCGGAAGCAAAGGAGACACGTCATGAGCATGCTTCAATAGAACACTGGGGATTCGCCTCAAACGAGGGGCAGGTACTTGATTCATACCCGAGACTGCACACAAATAATACTTATAAAGCTCTTCGTGTCATTAGTAAGGCGTACAACCTACACTACCAGGTGTGGTGCAACAACGAGCGAGAGCTGCACGACCTAACAACAGATCCGGGACAGATGATTAATCTCCTACATCCCGACGAAGACGCCCCAGAAACCATAGCTGGAGCACCCATCGATAAGGTTGTTGCCAGACTGGATTCTTTACTCTTCGTCTTGAAGTCGTGTAAGACAGAGACCTGTATCTACCCATGGAAGGCGCTTCATCCGGCTGGTAATGTTGCCAGTCTGAAAGATGCGCTTTCCCCGCGGTTCGATGCCTTCTATGATGAAAAGTCGAGAAAGATCGAGTTCGATAGATGCGAGATGGGTTTCATACTTGATGCCGAGGGGCCGCAGTTCGAGAGCGAGAGTATTCTCTCTGGTTTTGATCCGAACTGGCACGAGTGGACCTAGTTCCTTCAGAGTAATACGAAGGTTACTTTGATATTAGGGGGAGATAGTGCATATAACCGGGTAATCATTCATCGTTCCTAGTAGTCGTGGCCGGTCGCCGACTTGATTCTCAACCATGTTAAACCTAAACTCCTATACAGGCCAGAGAGTATGCTGATAAGATATACTAAAAAAATTATATACTTGAGATGATCGCTGTTTAGTGATCATTAAACCCTATTTACACCATGGTGGTGGCTAAGGTTAGGAGAAGTCCAAGCTTATCGCAGCTTGCATGCCATCTGTTCAGCTCCTGGCCGCGGTCTGAGTTATGAGGACTTGATCGAGCATCTACTAGATCTCCAAAGGTCCGTAGCGACGAGTTATTCCGCTCAAGATAAAGTACGCGGGCAGCTTCCCACTGGGCTTGCGTCCTGGCACTCCAAAGCGAGTCCGGGGAGGGGAGCGGAAGCGCGCGGTAATTGCTAATGCTGGGACACATAACTCCGAACTTGACGTCTATCACGCGACTTAAGAGGAACCAGGTGACGGCACATCTAGATCGCAGTTAGAAGACATCAGATCCCATCCGAGGAGGCTAGCTAAACATACCTTCGCCGCGACTCGGTGTAAACCCATTCTTCCCAGGTCACGGTTGGATTATCGAAGTCGCTGACGGGGAACCATATCATCGAATCGAATTCTTTGCTCCTTTTCCCATAAAGCTGCTTAAATTAGTACACACACTTCATGTATAGGAGCCATAACCTACGTCAAAGGTCATGAGCATCTGAAGACGGATCTCGGGCACTTCTGGGGTGGCGTTGTTATCTAGAGCGAACATGATCATATATATAATCTGCGCGTGCATCGACGAGATCAGATCGTTGAGCGAGCACGTCGGTAGGATGCGGAGGAGTTGCCGATTTTCTTCATTTATCATCGACCATACAGATTCTTTCATGGGGTCCTGGCGTCTGTTGTATAAGTTCACTAGCGCTGAGCATTTTGCGATGTCTCGAGGAAGCTCGGATTGAAACCAATAGCCGTGGCTATACCACGAGAAGCTCTCTCTGCTGAGCATCATGAGGGGCAGCCCTCGCATGGTTTCAAGGATGAATTTGGCGCTGTGCCAAGCAACTGGGTCGGTACGAAGCTCGATCAAGGTCCGAGGCGACGTAGTAGGTAGCTCGAGGCTCGCTGAAGCGCCGAAGCGGTATGCGAGCGAATTGCATTCTACATTATCATGATTCTCTGTCGATTCAGATACGGTCTTTTTTGCGCCAGCGCCAGCAACACGCGAAGGGGTGAAAGAGGTCTCGTAGACACAATGTAGACCCTTGGCCTTGCAGCGCGAACACTCGGTCTCGAAACTACACTTCGCCTTTGCAGAGTGACATTCTTTACAAGAACGAGGTCGTTTCTTAGGGCGACTTTGAGCCCTGCGGCAATAGGCGATGTGCCGCTTATAAGCGGATTCTAGGGGATATAATCAATACCACATTCCGGCCGGAGTTATGGAGAAGGGGGTTAACCTGTGGCGATGGGTTTATTACACAAGTTGCAGAAGTGTATAGATTCTAACGGTGTGGTGTTGACTGACATCTTGAAGATAGGAGGTTTAGGAAAGATGTATTTGGGTAATATTTTCGGTCCTGTACATTTGTTCATAAGTCATCCAAGTTATTATAAATTTACGCCTCTTATGCTTAATTTGTCAGCATCGCCGGATTCTATCTCCACTTAAGTCTGGTAATCTGGTTGGTGTTGGATTACGCCGGCAACCCTCACCTGGGGTTATTTATTCCTGAATATTGTTTTCTTTATTTAATTTTTAAGAAGCTATTTAACACCGATTCCTCGAGTGTGGTACTGTTATATCACATAGCTACCTCCTAAGTATGCTTAGGTAAAGATAGGGAAGACCAATGCAACGATCCACACATATACTATGCCCTAAGTTCTTAAATGAGAAAGTCATTTTTAACATACATAACTACGTCTTAACAATTACCCCAAAAGTTTTATGATGTCCAACAAGAGTTGAGAGTTCAGTTATCTCTACCTTAGACTGATTAAAACCTCGTAAACAGAAAATATACATGGCTCAAGGGTAATTTCTCATTTCGATGTCATATAAGTAGGATCGACTCTTGTCAGATATCTCTATCTGTCCGATACCTTATAAAATGTAATCTGTTACCAAATAACCTTTTAGTAGTATAGCGGTTTGTTCGACAACTCTTCCCTTTCTTCGTATTAGTGTGCATTCAGTAAGGCGAAGGACAATTGCCAGCCTTGTATTGCAAGCATTATAGCCACTATCAAAGTAACCCATGCAACGAGCGCGATGATTACGATCACAGAAAACCAGGTGCTGACAGCTACAAATGCAGGCCAGGTTTCATCAGGCCGCGCAGCCAACACGACTTGCATCGCAGCGAGGATCAGAGAGAAGGCAGCAAAAACAAATACTAAAGGAGCCGCGAATTCTTGTATAAAATATCTTGTTTGCCAAAACCGCTCCCGATAAAACAGTCGTTGCAGTAGACCGCGGTGACCTGGTACCTGGGGTTGCAGAAGCCGCACAGCCCAATTCAGCCGTGACAGACGAAGCTGTCCGAACCTCCACCGCGGCGAAACAACCGTGTCGGGAATATCTCGAAACTTATCAATGAACCGAGAGAAATCGCCATACGTCATCGTTTCCGAAGCGGGAATCAGATTTTCCTCCCGTGCAATGATGAAATCGGAGCGGTGGCGGACAAGATAGGCATACGATCTAATAAATCCAAGCGCCGCAGGCCGGCAAGTACTGGATGGCTTAAGGTGTTCCTCCCAGAAATCGTAGCTTAATAGTTCAGGTGATAGTGGTTTTATAAATATAGTGTTATAATACCATACAAGGTGTAAGGCTGGGTCTTCGGTAATACATATTCTTCGTTCTTTTACTTTATGTTCATGGATAGGGTCAATATGTGAGCTGCTTTTGCGAGCGAAGAAGTGAAGGCTGGGGTACATCTTGTCCAAGACGGGACAGTCCAACTCTTTGGGAAGACGTAAGGCTGCGTCGCATGAGATCCACGTATCCGTCAGACGGTTATAAAGTTGTTCTTCGTTATCGAATGGTGGCGTTTCCATGATGATTGCGTTCCCCAATACCGATGCTGTCTCTACGTAGATGGAGGCTAGCTTATTCGGAGTATGTTAGGAGGCCATATATACCTACCTCCTATGTCAAAATACTCTCTTGTCCCTTCGTTATTATATTAAGAAAAGGTTGGGCAGTTTTAAGCTAAAACCTCGAGACTGGCGGTGAAGAATGGCGACGGTAGTAGCTGAATGCATAGTGGCTAAAAACATCGAGTACTATTATTTGATGATTGGAAATGCAGCTTCAGCTGTCCACCAAAGGCCCTGATTAACCCAGTCAGAGGCACCTCTGGGGGCGTGGCAATATGCATTCAGCCCAGCACATAATACCTAACGTATCTTGCTGGGTGTTTCTTGATAACTTCCCCGCCCTTCACTTGCCAATTCCTACTCAACACCCATACCTCAAACCAACTACGGAGTATGACAGCAACGTTGGACATCAAAGTACGAGTTGTGGACTGGACAGATTTGATCATAAAATTTAATCGTAAGCTGTGGGAATATGCCTAATGTAATACAGAAAAATCCCATCCTCGCTAGTTCTGGCGAGGAAGATCTTAGGTATAATGAATCCTGGCTTCCATGGCATTCCCAAATCCTTGTTGTCACGACCCTCATTTTCTTCCTCGAAGTAGGACTCTGTTGGCGACTGATGGCGATTAGTTTCTACCTTACCTATTGTTACTTTATTTATATCTACGGGCTATTCTGCCAGCCGCGCTGGTCTCATACGTTGAAGGCAACCGTACATTCCGTTGTCTTTGGGCTTCTAGTGTCCTGGTGCATAGCGTCAACACCGCTCCATGTAGTCACACCAACCTTAATAGACATTTAGACTCCATATGCTGTACATCCCATCTTCAGGAATACGGAGATTATTTATACCGCCGGACACAGCACTCTGGTTGAGTTAGTCTCCACCCGTAAAGCACGCAGTCTATGTGAACTAACAAGGAGAAAGTATTATTGCCATCCATGGCCTTGGATCTAACCCCGATAGCGCTTGGACCTACAGGATGGATAACGGAAGTGATATATTCTGGCTGAGAGACTTGTTGCCAACATTCGAGGGTTTCCAGAATATTAGAGTGGCGAAAGTGAACCATCAGACACGATGGGACTCCAATGCTGCTGACATGAGATTACAAGAGCATGCATCTGAACTCTTAGACCATATCCACAGCTTACATAGAGTATTAATGTCCCCGTTGATACTAAAATGGCATTCGACGTTCACTGACGTGAAAATCGTATAGGCTAATCCTAAGCGACCTATAATCTTCATCGCTCACAGTTTTGGAGGGATACTTCTGAAAAAGGTAGGTAAATCGTTCGCGTGTCATTCTCGAGTCGACTAATAATCGTCCTATTTATCTAGGCTCTACTACTCGCTAAAGCTCGCTCAAAAGACGTCGCGACGATGACTAGAGGAATTATATTTCTCGGTGTACCTCACCAGGGTAGCAACGCTGCTTTTCTAGCATCATGTTTGTCCTGTTTAGCTTATTTCAGAGGATCATCATCCACCATGCTCGAACTCATGTCCGTAGATGGCACAGAACTCTTAGACCTCGAGTCAGAATTCTACGATGCATACGTCACCCAGTACCACTTTGGGGATATCCAGCCGTATATTTACGATATTATTGAAAAGAGACCGGAAAAAATTGGCAAATTTGTGTTAGGTTGGGTGAGTCCGTTTTACAGTATATATTTTGAGCACAAGGTGGGCTAATCTGTTCACGAGTTTAGATAGTTAAACCGAAACCTGGTCACCTACGCCATGGAAGGTTGCTCACGTTCGACACCGACCATCGAGGCCTCAACAAATTCCGATCCCACGATGACCCTAATTTCGATCTTTTCATGAGAGTTTTTGGTCAGGCGTATGATTATGCGCTACAAACCAGCGCATTCCCCTCGCTACGGGATAGGTTTCCACCCCCTATCCCCTCGAATGACAAGCCTACGTCCAGCCCAGATATAGCTGGCAATATAACGATTCCTCATTTCTTAGAGATGGCCGTGATTGATACCTCTGGATCGAAGATCGGCGTGTTTGGTACTTTTTGCCTATATGGTCTACAAGAATTAATCGCTTCTTTTGGATCTGGCGATAGGAATAGGTCTGGCTCTTACCTTACGCTGCGCGTTCCAATGCTTGCAGCATTCGGTGCCCTTATTCACTCGCCTCTTTGTGATGTTATGAAGTTGGCCTTATCCCGGATATTTTATGGCAGTACGAGTACCTTTTCTAAGGGAATACAGGTCCTTATTGCTATTATAATGGTGAGCTCCCTTCTACCTTGCCTCCCATAAAAGATACCTATACACTATTTCCCACCCTTACTAGCATGTTCCATACCAAGCGCTGAGCTTTTATCTAGATTTATATCCTCCACGTAGTTTCTGTGGCTACTTCCGCTCTAATTGCGGGTGCCCATACTTGGCGCCACATGCGAGCAACAATCAGAGTCAGCAATCCTTGCTGGCTACGTGCCTCGCTATTTATCCTACCTATCAGTGTAGTATTTCAGTACACATTCCTAACCGAGAACACCATAAAGCCCTTCTATAATTTTATATCCTTCTTTTTGGAAACCTACATCAATATGTCTGTCAAGAAAATTAGGTTACAGGCGTTAAGAAAAAGGCACTTTGGAAGGAAAGAGGAAAGCCGGTTTGGAACAAATCCACCTCGTTGAATACTATCACTGCTATCACATATCGCGTTTCCGTAGAGAGGGCTATCTCGGTATATGAAACATCAAGAGTATTCTTATAGCTATCATAAAATAGCCAGCATTATCATTTAGTATCGCACGTAAATTAGATTTATCTTGCCACCACCTCTCGCACTCTCAATACATGATACAATTTCGACCCAGCCATGGAAACCCCATTTTGACTATATATACCGACCTATGTATCATATGCCCCTTATGATAATAATCCACCTAACAATTAAAAAGGAAACGCCACGTTGAGATATATACCCTCTGTCATAAGGTGCCAAGATCCAAGTGTATCTAGATTCTACATGGTCTGATATTAAGGTACAGATCCTAGCAGTTTACTACGTAAGTTACTAGGAAATTTGGGTCACCCTGGATTTGTTCTGGCTTCATTTTAAGCTCTCAAGATCAAGGAGTACTCGGCTAGATTTTGGATGTAATCAATGTCTGCTTTGACGGGAAATTGGATGACTGCTTTGTACCTACTTAACGTATATTGATACATCTCGAGCGTTAGATAGCACTTGAGACCTGGGACTAAATAATGATGCGCCTGAAGGTGTGCTCATTACCAAATCTCATAAGAATTGGATTGCTCGGCTTGCTCTGGCTGCAGTGATAGTTCAGCACAGCAAAGTGAAGGATAAGCAGGTCTTTATTTGCCCCCCTGATTTTTGTGGACGTTGCGTCGCTGAGAATGCTATACTCACGAGAAATACTTGTATTATTAATTAGTATAACTAAGGGGTGTTGGAACTTGAAGACATAGTACCATCCTCGAACGATTGGGCTGGCCAAAGATGTATAAAGAGTCATGGTTGATGAATATAAAGAACGACGATTCGACTGTTTGATGTTCGATACCCCTCACAGTGCGACTTGCATCTTCCAAACACCCCAGCCTCCATCTGTGTTCAAGCATAAACAGGTGGCTTGGCAGCTTGGTCCTTGGTAGGTAAAAAGGAAGACATATGAGGCTCTTGTTGAGAGCTGTTACTACGATGTAGTCTTATATTAGTAGATCGCCGTAATTTAATCACTTCTCTACGAGTTTTTATCGTCTTGATTCGTAACCGGCACGTCGTTTCTTACCATCTACGCGTCGCCTAACATGCGACCTCGAAGTAGGGATGCCGGGCGTTTGCTGGTCAATTGACAAGTCAACGAGCAGAAATGCAGTAGAAATGCAGCAGGCTGGGACAGAGCTGTTCGACCAGCGCAGCCCTACCTATAAGTCGCTTCATTAATCATGCCGTCGTGACGTAATATATTGTCCAAATCCTCAGCCTCATTCGTCGGCATTGGCCCTGTCAGGGCTTCAGGCTCTTAGCGGCTAGATCTACGGCGCATTAGCGCCCAGAAACTTGCGGTCAAGTACACCTTTCTAGGCCTCTAATAGGTCCTTGGCAAGCCCCTGCAGGCCTCGAATCAAGAAATGGAGTCACTGGTTGACGTGTAAGTCACATAACCTAGTAAATATCGAAGACGCAAGCCAGAGCCGTGATCCGATCTGAAGAGACCTTATATATTAAGGCCTCGCTGCTGCTTTTTTCCTGTTACCGCTAAGTATCTTGTCAATCCTCAGATCCTCTTGGAAGCATACTTGGTAACCCTCTACGACTCTACGAGAAACCCAGCAATACTGCTTCTACCAATCCATAGTTAAATCCGATAACACAGCTTCTCATTAGCGATGGCTCGAACTGCTGGGCTCCCTCCCTTCTTCCTCATTAGCAATGCGCTGATTTGGATTTCGGCCGTTATTGTGATGGGAATTATCTCCTACTTCATCTCTCTAAACCCAAATTATGTTCCCGGTCGTATCATTTACGAAGAAGTTATCGTAAGTCCCAGTAATCTTCTAGCTCTGGGTTCAAACCAGCTAACTTGGATAACTCGATAGTCCGTTCTTACCGTCGCTTTCTTCCTGGTCTCCTTCATTCTCGGCTCATACCCGGGTTCTATTCTTATATTCAACGTCATATTCTCCTACCTCTGGCTAGTCGCAGTTGTCTTTACGGCTGAGGATTGGTCATCCGACTATGCTGGCGAGCTTGCTCATACCGTCGAGGCCTTTAGCTTCATTGCCTTGTATGTATCCCATCCGAAATAATCACTTGAATCGGTACTGACTTATAGCCTAGCTTTTTCCTATTCTTCAATGTTGTCTTTGACTGGCACTACGGCTTCCGCGGACACGTACGCAGCACATCAGCCGTGTAATAATCTAATTCAGAGATTTGATGAGATATGAGACAATTTGCGAATGATTTATGGGACTAGGAAGTCTTGCGATGAGGGTTACATGTTTGGGATAGGGAGAGTAGCAGGCGTATTCTCCAAGTAGTTGATTACACGACTTTATGACTTTAGATACGAATACCCAAGTAATAAATACTTTGTTCCAAGAACTAACAAATGTCTCCGATGTCGTGAATAAAAAGGTTCATATGGGGTACAAGTTGACTACCAACTAACGCCGATGTTAATTCTAGCATGTAAGGGAGATCACGGGCAAGAGTACGATATATAGCACACGACTAAAACGATCGATAAAATAAACAGCATCCTCGATTAAGCTCCAAGATATCTAGGGAAACAGTACTCATAGTATACAATTGTCGTATACTACAACGCCAAAACACTACCATACCTTCCTCTAAGCAATTATAACCTCCCACCATAGGAAATGGCCGAAAACAAATTATTTTACTCTTTTTCCGTACTTATAAGTCCAAAATTATCATTGTACGCGAAGACTATTCGAATCTATATATCGTCCGCGCATACTTCTGAGCGTTCTACCTCCGTGAGTAGGGGATTTTGCCTCTTCGGTCCAATATACGCTGCACTTAACAGGGCTCGTAGGGGTGGGCTTGTGAATAAACCCGGGCATCTCAATGCAAGGCACCCTTTTCGCATCCAAGTCTTGAATAGGGGGGCAGGCATAGTGTAAACCTGTATTCATCAGCTTCTCACTACGGGACTTATAATAACGAGATTGGCTCCGGTTATCACCGCGCGGGAAATCCAAATCGTACGTCTCCGTCCATAGGCCGCCTTTACGTCTCTCCTCTCGAACTTTCTCGGCAACGTCTACGACGTAGGAGACGGCTTTTTCTGAAGCTTTACGATCAGCGGGGGTAGTGCCGATTGTTTTTGACGCAAGGCGATACGCATTTTGAGCCTCTTGATATCTCTTCATAATCCATAGAGCGTGGCCTTTGTAAAGGTAACAGGTCGCGAGAGGAGGAGACTCACAGGCATCTCGGTCGCTGGCGATGATTAAGGCATCTTGTACCGCGGTGAGAGCATCGTCGAGGTCAAATTCGGATGGGTTCTTGCGGTAGTTGTCAAGCAAAGCGCGGCAATTCCGAAGGAGGGCATTTACATGATCCTTATTCTTAACTCTCTCGGTTGTCGTGATGCCGAAGGCTGGCATCTTTATGTTAGATGCAGCCATTTCTCTAGTCAGTTAGGTAGTCTTTTCTATCAGTGGGAAGTATGTTAGAATTCAGGTATTATCTACATCGGATTGGTTGGTGTCTAAATATCGAATTAATAGCATTGTTCTAAGGATCTATCCTCTTCCATTGTTTCAATGGCCAACAATTGTTTCTTTCATAATCTAAATCAAGACCGTGAGAAGCAGATAAAGATGAATTAAAAAGAAAAGAACTCCCCAGTCATAATTCGTCTCTCCTTCTCCTATGTCAATTTCACTATCCTTTTTGAACTTTGATCTTTCTAACAATTACAATATCATAATATCTTAAAAGGGGTTGTTTATTGTGAAAGAGCGCCAAACATCGGAGTTAATACTACGAGATGAATGCACCGTTATACCCGTTATCGCGTACCGATGGTGAGAAACTCGAATAGACGACGCCAAGGCCAATTAATACTCAAGTTATGCATAACGTCTAAGACTTGTAAGATCAAGCACGAAGATATCCGAGACCTCGATCCGACTGCCAAGCTTACCTGTCATACCCTCGTACGCACAGTAGGTAGTTGCGCACGTAAAGGGATGCCAAGGCGGTGCGGGTGGTTGGGAATACGTTGGACTGTACTCGACGGAACGGTCCCGCGTAACCGGCCTTGCTCCCCTCATTTATAGGCCACTGGACAATCAGCTCCTCTCCTCGGCCCCTAGATCCCAAATTCCCCGTGGGAACCCCGTACTCTATTTACCAATAGACGTCCGCGGGTATCTCCAATCATTAACTCCGTACCCCGAGAAACCGGGTGGCGGCCAAGGGTTCAGATAACGAATGGACTTGTGCGACATGCTTATGGATGGCAAGACACCCCGTGCGGCTTTTATAAAGCCTAGACTGTACCTTCATGCATATAATGGCGCCCTAGGTAGTAGACATCCGACCTGCTACCCAAACTTTGGGGCTCCGGTATTCAGAAACTCAACAATCGCAGAGCTGGTAAAAGAAAAATACAGAGTATTGTTATTCGTCCAGGTTAAGATCAGTTCTGATGGGTGACCAAATGACAGTTACCGCTCTTGCGGATATCATCAAGACGCAAGCTGAGATTCTCGAGACTAGCCTGCCGCGTCACGCTTACACTGACTATCATGGCGATAAAAGCCTCAGCATCGCGAGGTCGAAACTGCTCGAGGCCTGCGATAAGTTGAACCATCTGGTGACTGGTCCTATTGAATGGTTAGTACAACGAAAGGGAATTATAGAGCATTTCTGTAACACTCATGATCATATTCCGTTTTATCTATGGAATTACTTAGCTAACTCATTCTTAGTATGTCTTAATAAATCGCGGACTTATTGTCCGATGCTATTCTCTCACAGGGAACACTATAACTAACCTATAACAGATGTAATGGGCATCGCGCAAGGCCACCGCGTCCACGCGGCGCTGCAGTACGTCTGTCACTTCCGGTTAGCATCCTTCGTCCCGGCAGACGGCACGCCCATCACATACGAGGACTTAGCCCGTGCAGCCGGTGTCGATACCTCACAATGTACTCGCGTGTTACAGCTTCTCATGACGTACCATATCTTCCGCGAACCAGGTACCCGTATCGTCGCGCATAACCGCAACTCTCGCGTTCTGCTCGACGAGCACACCGGTGCTGCCGTAGAATGGCTAACGCAGGAGTCTCTTCGGTCTAGCGCCTTCTTTACCGAGACCCGGGCTATGAGCCGAAGATGGTCTACTGGTACGGCTGGTGCCGGTAGTAACGATATCGCCGCCCCGGCTACTATTCAAGGTGTGATGAGCAGCGCTCAACAACAGACGGCACTTGACCTCGCATGTACTGGTATCGAACAACCCACGGCCGGTTTCTTCGCGCAGCAGCGTATGAATGCCGAGACCTCCATGAAAGCGGACCGGTACGCGCGTGCGATGGCCGGTATGGCTAAGCGGCGGCAGCTCAGCGTGGAACACCTGGTCTCTGGATATGATTGGAATGCGCTTCCACCTAGCTCGACCGTCGTCGACGTGGGTGGGGGCAGCGGACACTGCTCGAAGGCGATCGCGTCCTATAACCCCACGCTTAACTTCGTCGTGCAGGACTCTAACACGGCTCTAGCCGAGGAGGTCGACGTAGAGGAGTTAGGGGACCGCCTGAAGTTCATGGCGTATGACTTCTTTAAGCCGCAGACCGTTTCGGGAGATGTCTATCTCTTGAGACGCATATTACACCACTACTCAGACCAAGATGCAGTGCGTATCTTGCAAGCGCAGCTGTGCGGTGTAAGAAGCAAGCCTGATGCTAGAATTGTGGTTATGGATAATATTGCGATACACAGCGGCACGCTAAGTACTCTCGAAGAACGTAAAACCAGGTATGGTGACTTGCCCAGCTTAAGCTGCTAAGCTAATGTTGTCTCCTTAGGACCCTTGATATCGCGATGATGGCTCTCTTCAATAGCGTAGAACGTAATCTCGACGACTGGAAAGAACTATTCAAGATGGCCGACCCCAAGTTGAAACTTGTCAAAGTCGCGAAGCCGCTCGGAAGTGCTCTGGCTGTGATGGAGCTCTGGTTGGAGCAGACCTAGTTAGCTTCTCTCTGTACCATACAAGCTTGTTTCCTTAAGCGTCATTTTTGAGCGTTACTTAGGCGTATCTGGTTATTGAGATGTGGTACGGATGTTTATGTACTTGAGGTCGGGAAGGCGGAGAAGGTCTACACTGATCATTGGCGCAGAAGATGATTCAAATGATATTAATATCTACTTACTCCTATATCAGCAGTTAAGTAACTAATAGTCGACCCTTCACTATTGGCACTCAGTCTTATAGCCCAGCATGCTCCACTCACCCGTCTTCTAGATAGCCGCATTAGACTTACGTGCTTAATATATGAAAGCCTACGATATTATCTTGAGGCTTTTATACTTAAGAGACCAGATATGAGTATAATTATGAATTTCATCCTTGATGATTTTTTTAATATCGTTCGATGTATTGGATGATCGTGGGATTGTTTATAGTCGAATATAAATGAGCTTCATAAGATCATGAAGAATCTAACCTGAATAAAGTCAGGCACACGTTAGTAGCCACGTTAGCTTTGCCTCGGGTTGTACTATGAACCGTCGTACGTTGATGTTTCGTTGCCGAAACCCATTTCATTTCATTATTCATACGCACATATCTGTAGAGGATCGACAGATCTCGTAACTCGGGTAATAGCTCAGGGTCTGTAAAAAGTATCGGATTCAGCGAACGGTGCAATGACCGAAATACGGCGCTATGTATATGGATTAATTCAGGCGTATGATGATGATAGTGTCAACTCAGTACTTACTTCTAGACAACATGCCCATTTCCTCCCACGACCAAGACACTCTCTTAACCTCGTTCAATTGCTGCTATATGACTGCATCAGTTCCGATCAGAACAACTCAGCATAGACCAATTAAGTAATGAGATCCGCCACGTTCATCGGCATCTCATCAATTTGAGTTGAGTAATACACTTGTCATCCGTTAGCACAGCACAACATTTAGTAGAGTGATACTTACGTTCGATATCTCTGAGGATTCGAACATCTTCGCTCGTGACGAAGTTAATTGCGACACCCTTCCTGCCAAAACGACCGCTTCGACCGATACGGTGGATGTAATTCTCTCGGTTGCTGGGCAAATCGTAATTGATAACTAAGCTGACCTGTTGGACGTCGATACCGCGAGCCCAAACATCTGTCGATATTAAAACTCTGCTGTTGCCCTGTCTAAAGTCTTGCATAATACTGTCCCGTTCCTTCTGGGGCATGTCTCCATGCATGCTACTGACAGTAAAGTTGGCCTCGCGCATCTTGTCGGTCAGCCAATCTACCTTTCGTCGGGTGTTGCAGAAGATGACGGCTTGAGTAATAGTGAGAGTGTCGTAAAGATCGCATAGCGTGTCGAACTTCCAGTCCTCCTTCTCGACGGCGATGAAGTACTGCTTGAGACCTTCAAGCGTCAACTCGTCACGCTTAACTAGAATACGGACAGGGTCGGTCATAAACTTGGTCGTCATGTCTAGGACATCGTAAGGGAGCGTAGCCGAGACGACAACAACTTGGGTCGCAGGGGGCAGATATCGATAAACGTCGTAGATCTGCTCGCGAAAACCTTGGTTGAGCAACTCATCTGCCTCGTCGAGTACGAGCATCTTGATCTGGCGGGTTCGCAGATGACGGCGGCGAATCATGTCCGCCACGCGACCGGGGGTACCAGAGACGATATGCTGACCATAGTCAAGCTTTCGGATATCCTCCCCGACGTTCGTTCCACCAATACAAGCGTGACATTGGACGTTCATGTAGTCTCCTAGGGCCATCACAACAGACTGGATCTGAGTGGCGAGTTCGCGGGTCGGGGAGAGGACGAGGGCTTGGGTCTCGCGGATCGCAGTATCGATAACTTGAAGCATGGAAATCGAAAAGGTAGCAGTCTTTCCGGTACCAGATTGCGCCTGGGCGATGGTGTCGCGCCCCTTGCAGATCTGGACGATGGCTCGAGATTGAACAGCAGAGGGAGACTCGTAACCGTAAGCGTAGATACCACGAAGGAGGTTTTCTGTGTAGACAGAAGATGGTTAATATTTCCTTGAAGAAAAGTTGGTGATATATAATAAGATGGATGGCCTTACCCTTCAATGACATGGACTCAAAGGTCGGGTGCACTGTGACCTCTTTTGAAGTGGAAAATTCCATCTTCTCGTCGGCGCGACGATCGATACCACCTCCTTCCGCCATGATGAATATGGAGTATGGTATATGGTATATGATATATGGAATTGATCTGTTCGCGTGGATATTGACGTAAGGAAAGGTAAAGACGAGCAGATCAATTCGCAGTTGAGGAAATTGAGGTTGAAGTTATTTAAGAATTTTATGGAGCCTTAGCAGCTAAAGACGTACTAAAATATGCAATAGCTAGAGGTGGCAGCTGGGTGGCCGACCCACTTGAATGCGCTATCTAAATGTACAAAGTACCTATCATTAGCACTGTGGCGACGTGAACTTGGGGAACGCGATCTAATTGGCCTTAAACAAATTCAACTTCAATGGAGGCTCTATCGATTTTCGACCAGACTTATTATCATTCTTCTTTTCCCATGGTGAAACTCCTGTCTTCCTTTTAACTCCTAATAATATTCCTCTTACAGTAATAATTCAATTACTACAAAGCTTGCAATAGATTTAGCCGAGTTTTACCGAGTTAAGATGCTGTTAGAAGAGCAAAGGTTTTTGCACGAGGACCTGGAACGCCTCGAGCAGGGCGTCGCGGATCGAATTGGCGATGAACCTAAACATGTTGGTTCCCTAGATTTACACGTGAGTAATCTTTTGCTAACTCTATACTTCAGATACGAGACCGTCTAGCGCGAGATCATCAAATAGCACAGTTTCTTGATCGTATATCATCTCAATCTAGCAAACTCCTATCTATCTATCGCGATGAGGATGGATCAAGATCGCGCGAGATCCAACAAATCGGCAGTGGTGATCCGATGGAGGAATTCTATAAGCAGCTAGCCGATATCAAGAGGTTTCATGCCAAGTATCCCAACGAACCCGTCGAGAATCTCGAGCGCGCGTACCGACCTAAAAAAGGACCCGATGCCGAATCCGAACCCAGCATTGTAGATACTATGTTCACCGGCGAGGAGGCATTTGGCCGTTTCTTTGATCTGCATATATGCCACGAGATGTACCTTAACCTCCCCAACACGAAAAGATTGAGTTATCTCCAATACCTGGACTCGTTCGACAACTTTGCGCCTGGTGCTGGAGGGCTAAAGAGATCCGAGAAACTGACCGAGCAATACTTCAAATATGTTGGTCAGCTCGCTCTGGATCTCGAGGCCTTCATGAGGAAGACGAGGCCGTTGGAAAATGTCGACAAGGTGATTGCCGACTTCGATAAAGAATTTGATTCCGCTTGGGAGCAGGATGAAATTGCGGATTGGAAGGAAGAGCAGAACGGAAAGCCTAGGAGCGCTACGGCGCAGCCATCTACAGCCGAAGCCGTATGGTGCGACGACTGCGAGAGAGAGTTCAAGAATGAGAACGTATATAAGGGCCATCTTTCGGGCAAGAAACATGTCCGGGCAGCAGCGGAGCGCGCGCAGAGATTACAAGGCGGGTCCGAAGAGGATGGAAGCGAGCCTCACAACGCCAACAAAGGAAATATACCGACGCTGCGACTAAAAGAGCGCGCCATCGCAGAAAGGGAATTCCGAGTAAAGCGTCTCGCCAGCGCGATGAGTACCGAACGAAGCGATACGAAAGTAAACGTCGAACGGAAGCAAGGTATGACGGAGCGTGAAAGACAACAGGAACTAGAGAATCTGTTTAGTGCTACGGCAACTACGTCAAATCCTAAAGACGCCGAGGATGGAGAGGACAACGACGACGAGGATAAGATCTACAATCCTCTTAAGCTGCCGCTCGCCTGGGACGGCAAGCCTATTCCATTTTGGTTGTACAAGCTTCACGGTCTCGGTGTGGAATTTCCCTGCGAGATCTGTGGTAACTTTGTGTATATGGGGAGGAGAGCTTTCGACAAGCACTTCAACGAGGCGCGTCACATCTACGGCCTAAAATGTTTAGGAATCACGAACACAAGCCTCTTCCGAGACATTACAGGAATTGACGAGGCGCTAAGGTTATGGGAGAAGATACAAAAGGAAAAGCGCAAGGACAAGGTAGATGACGGGAGCGTGGTGCAGATGGAAGATGCCGAGGGTAATGTCATGCCGGAGAAGGTCTACTATGACTTGCAGAAGCAGGGTCTGTTGTAAAGTAGATGTAATGAATAATATTGGCGATACTCTAGTAAGATACTTGAGACCATGGTCTAGAAATTGTACATCAAGAATATTCTCTAGAAAATGAGATGCCTCTGCTGAAGTCCCTGCTGAAGTCCATAGCCATTAATTTATCGATATATCGATATCCGTATCCCCTTATGTATCATTAAATTGGTTGGTTCGTGCAGCTAGCCTAGTACCTATGTACATTGCGTTAACCCCACACCCCACTAGTTTAAACTTTACTATTATTGTTGACTCCAGTGACGTCTTCACGGCCGTAAAATGTAAATAATGAATACCTTCATAACCTGATAACATACCTACCTACCTCTATCTATCGCAGTAAATCCAGCAGCCACCTTAAAATCATTCATTAATTAGATATGGAACTGGTACCTTGTTACGGGTGTCTATCTTATCTCGCCACTACAAATTCGAAGCCTCATTATTAAGACGCGCCGAACCGAGGAACAAGAAATGTTTGCCTTATCGAAACCCATCCCTCCATTATATACCGTCTATATATTACGTTCAACCGTCCGCAATGCCTCGTTATATATTGGCTCAACGCCTAATCCGCCACGGCGGCTGAAGCAGCACAACGGTGAGGTCAAAGGTGGCGCTGCACGCACATCGAGGAGCAAGCTGAGGCCGTGGGAGATGGTCGGCCTCGTATCAGGATTCCCTGGAATGGTGGCTGCCTTAAAATTTGAGTATGCAATCCAAGTCGGAGGGTCGTTGCGTTTTCTCACGTGTAAGCTGATCGTTCCCTAGGTGGGCTCTTACCAATCCCCACGTATCACTACATATTCCATCTACATCTCGGATATCTACCGCAGCGGGAAGGAAGCGGAATGGCCGCCCTAGACGTCCACGGCATACCCTAACATCTATACTATCGAACCTGCATCTTCTCCTACGTGTTCCTAGTTTCTCAAGATGGCCTCTAAATTTACACTTCTTCGCGCCTGAAGTTCACGAAGCTTGGAATAAATGGTGTGATACGGTAGATGAGCCTCTTCGGGATACGATCCGGGTGTTGACCGATTTCAACCCGGGGGGAACTAGTCAGAGAGATAGCGAGAGTTCTGATACCGAGAATGAGGTAGAGCGACTTTGGGGCATCCATGCTTTGCCACTCGACTACGCCCCGATGAGGACTTATGTAACGAAGACACAGTCCATCTATGACTTTGAGAGGGAAGGTGACTGCATAGTCTGCAAAGAGCACCTTGAGCCGGGCAAGGGTCTCTATGCAACCTGCCCAAATACTGATTGTGAGGGCACCGGGCATATATCATGCTGGAGTAGACACCTGCTTGGAAAAGAGGCCGACGAGGAGATCATACCTATATCTGGACGCTGTCCAAAGTGTAAAGGCGAAGTGGTGTGGGTTGATCTCATGAAGGAGATGAGCTTGAGGATAAGAGGGGTTAAGGAGGTTGAGAAGCTGCTTAAGAAACCTAGAAAGCGAAAGACACGAGCTGAATCTAATATATAAAATTGTAGTCCATTTGTTTATTCCGTCGTTATATTCGTATCCTATTTAATATGAGCAATACTAAACCCGAGCGTGTACGACGCAAAAAGATACCTCAAATGGTAGGCAAGGTAGGTATTGATGATAGAGGCGTGCTATGCCCCGCAAAAAGTAGACCCCCTTTTTACCCTTTTTATGGTTGACGAGACCCAAAACTGTTCGCTACTCGGCTACGCTGGACCTTTCCCATCTGTGAGTGCTCGCGTGGTGTTCCCGTCATGCAGGGCAGGGATATAGGTCCATATTTTCAAACGTCACTCCTCTACTATTGGTTAGTTAGACGACTCATTGGCCCTGATCCTTGCAAGTTTGTCCGCGAATATCAATTCGATTTTTCCTTTGTTTCTTTTAAACTGGCGCAGGTTGATCAACCTCGCCGACCAATTCTCCAATAGCAAATCTAGCGAGTTGATTTCGACCTTTCGGACCGCAGAATATCTCGGCTACGACTAGTGCTTAGAATCCCCGCACAACGAGTATTTATCAGATCATTGATGCGAAATAAGTTTAACAAGACGGCTAATAATATGTACCTAAGGTAGGGAGTATCATAAATGCGACATGCACGAATTAAATAGTAAAATAGAAAAGAAATTAAAAGAGAAAATGGCCACAGAACAAAGCCACTGGAATACACGCGTATTGATTACCCTCAGGTACTAAATATTCGGCGTAATCCGTGCAGCCTCGTTCCAACTCATGGGAAGCAGATGACATGCATTTGATATTATTTATCTTCCACACTGGGTCCAGCTTTTACTTTTCTTGACCGTTGGCTGTGACGTTTCCTATAGTTTTTTTTTTTACTGCTCTTTGAGCGGGTACCTAATACATCACGGATCTTTCGGTTTGATGGGGTCCAAGCGATCTCCGACAACTTGATTCCGGTTTGTCTCCGATTTCTGCGCTCGATTATAGATCTCACGATCCTGAGATGATATACACCGACAATCATAGATCCAGGCTCAGGGTCTGGAATAACACCTTACCTACTTGACCTATACAAATGGGTTGTCGCACTAATGTAATAATAGGTAGAGAATTAATACCTTAGTATCAAGTCCATAATTGTATGTAATTCATAGCGTGACCGCATGTTCATAGCTTCGGTAACTTGACGGATAGAGTTTGCGCATCGTACCATCCACCCCGTCTCTCAGACTCTTAAAGAGTGTCAGCCCGCATTCAAACTTGCTGTAAGCTGTTTCTTGCTGTAAGAGGTATATTGGGCAAAGATGACAGAACTTGCGCCTCTCCGGAGCAGGCATTAATATTCAAGCTTACATAACCTAACCTATATAAAGTTCATATATCGTCCCTTCATTATCAAAGCGAGTTAGAGTGTGCAACAGGTTATATACACGTACATGGTGGTCGGTCTAGCTCGGTTCACGAGGCGGTGGCCATAGTTCTCAAGTCGTCGTCACATGGTTTGTTTTGCTTCGCACTGGGCAAATTTATGCGGAGGGAAATGGAAATGAGAATTAAAACGAAAGGCAATGTTGGATGGAATGAAACATTCAAATGTCTGGTGTTAGGTATATATACCTCATATACAGCACTATAATATAGCTATTCGCCGGTATAAGTACCATGCACGTCCAGCGCGCCGCGGCGTTAGATTTGCAGCGGTATACCTGATGCGGAACCGTATTAGATGGGAGCTTGTGTATAAAATGAAGTCTACCTCCCGTACCCTGCACAAAAGTACGTACCCTGTAGGTACATATATGGTGGCTTTGATCCACTTTGTTCTTTAAATGGGTCTGGGCACAAAATCCCGACGACAGCTACGAGTCGCATCCACCCACACATCATATCCACTTCTGCCTCTTCTTTCTACTTTTCCCATCCTAATCTACATGTACGTATGTACTGTTCAAGCCGCGTCTGCGTGACCCCCGTCCCGTTTCTCCCTCTCGCCTCTGTTTTAAACGGAGGTTAAGAGGCTTTTGAGTAACCTGACCACCCACGGTTCCACCGTACCAAACAGACCTAACTTACCCATTCCGCTCCATCCAATCTGCTACATAGTACGTTTTCCGTTCTACTTACACGACTATTGTTCATACCTTCCACCCATATCTCCATACTTGACATCTCAAAACCAAACTTCCCTCTTCTCAATCTAATATGCAACCTTCCTCGACTCAAACCCCCCCCTTCTAATTTACACTTATTAGAAAGCAAACCTTCTTTTCACCAACTCACTGAGTGTCATATCTGCTCGGCCTTTATATTTGGCCGCTAATGATTCAACTAATTTAGCAATTGGGAATATTCGAGGTTGCGCCGTGGCCGTCGAGGTGCGATACAGACTAGCACACCGGATCGGCAGCGCTGTTTTACCTAATTTATCGTGGATCAAATTAGGATCCCTTGGTTGTGTATTCTGACCAAGTCCCATACTCACCTCACCTCACTTCTTCAGCACGTATCGCGGTTTTCCACTTCTACACGGTACCGACACCCCACACGATCCGAACAACGATTTTTGGTCGAGCAGCATTTCGCCTCTTTGACGTCAACCACCTCCTGCTATATTCAGCGGTGGCTCCATCACGACCCTAGTAGGACATTCATGCGATGCACGTACAGCTCGCCCTTCTTGTGACAGCCTCACGCTTCTCACCACTTGGCGGTGGTCGGCATACGTAGCCTACTATTACTTACTCTAGGACTGTTGGAAACATTGTTTAAATCAACATTTCAGCGCTATTCTGCGTCGTGAATCATGGTTTCCACCCCCTCCGTCAGCCATAACGGCGGCGTTGGAGGCGTTAATAGTGCAAATGCTAGCTCGAGAGCTTCGCCTGCAGTCGGCGCCGCCAATTCCGCAGGTCATACTTCGTCATCCAACGGCGCCAAATCCAAGACGCAGGTCAACTCGAATGGCTATCACCCAACCAATCCTCCAGTCCCTCTCAGCTCGATGCGTAGTGCCCCGCTAGACCTTACATCAGTCGAGAGAAGGGGTCAGCCCACGGCCGGTCGGGAGTCATCTAAGCAAAATAGGTTGTACGGGCTCGAAGAAGCACCAACCTACCGACCAACCGAAGAAGAATGGAAAGATCCGTTTGAATACGTTCGCAAGATTACTCATGAAGCCCGCAAATACGGTATTTGCAAGGTCATCCCTCCCGACTCGTGGAATCCCGATTTCGCGATTGATACCGAGGTGAGTCTATGAATAGCCCAATCGGTACAAGGGGAGCATATTGCAGTGGTTTTCCATCTTATAGCGTCTACGCATCTCGATAGTATCTCGATTTGTACTAATAGTCTACAGAAATTCCATTTTAGGACACGAAAGCAGGAGTTGAATTCAGTCGATGGTCGTGAGTGATCCGTAACAAGATACTCCACTATCCTCGTGGCCTTTGTCGCTAACATGTAGATGCTAGGTACGCGAGCGAATCTAACCTATCTGGATGCCCTTGCAAAATACCATAAGCAGCAAGGAACCAACCTGAATCGATTACCATACGTGGATAAGAAGCCCCTCGACCTATATAAGCTTAAGAAAGCGGTCGAATCTCGTGGGGGTTTTGAAAAAGTCTGCAAGACAAAGAAATGGGCGGAAATTGGCAGAGATCTAGGTTACAGCGGGAAAATAATGTCCTCCCTATCTACGTCTCTCAAGAACTCGTACGATCGATGGCTTACTCCGTACGAGAATTATCTACGCCAAGCAAAACCAGGAGTCTATCAACAGTTGGAGTATGAATATGGCGGCCCGTTAACCCCCAGCCCAGCTCCCAGTCCGATAAAGAGGTCGGCTATGAATACGCCGTCTAGTCTGCGGGCAGAATCGCCTGCTCGGCATGCGAGCGATATTCTCCAACAGAGTCTGAACGTTCCGAAGCAAGAAGTTGACCGCGACACCATTATGGCGGATGCGCCGGCCGTTACTTCGCAACCTTCGTCCGGCGGGTTTACCGCTATCAACTCGGGTGGTTTTACGGCGGTGAATAGCGGGTTTACAAGTGTCAATCGACCTACCCCAACAGATCCCAAAGGCTTCACTCCACCCCCGAAACATCACGGAAGCCCACATCTATCTGCTAAAAATACCCCAGATTTCCGACCGTCCGGACTTGGCCCCGCTACGGCTACGGCCCTAAAGCGTCAACTCAGCTCCGACAGCTTAGATTCGGCAAAAAAGGACAATGGTACAGATAGAGACGACTCAGAGAATGGTAGTAGAAGGAGTAAAAGGCTCAAGAAAGGTACGTATTTTCTTGCAGTAACCCCCTCAACTGTCCTCGGTTTTACCTACTATTCAGATCCTTTCGTATACGTTTTCATTTTATTTCAATTTATTTTATTTTATTACTTTAGGAGTTTAAACTCACTGCCTATATTTTCATGATGATGTTATTCCCTTTGTTACTCCCTATGCTTGCTGCGTTTACCCTTGGTGTTAGTGTCATATGATTCTCTGTGTTGTACTCTCCATTAGTGGGGCCGCAATCGTGCAGGGTCTCAATTATGTGCCTTGCCGTGCAGCAATGCACAACAGGGGCGGAGACCTTATAGTGGCTGTTTTGGTCCTTTGAAGTCGATGATTGGTTCGATCGCTTGTGAAACTAATGCAGGTCGGCCTCTAGAAAACGTCCCTACCGTGGCCGGTTCGCATATGTCAGTATTCCGACCTTCAGCTCCTAGAATACCAGTCTCCCGAGACGAATCGTCAAGTCCTAGCGAGGTAAGAATTATTTTCTTCTACCTTTATGGTGTGCAGTATTTTGTTGACCATCTGTAGAAATGCGAGGTGTGTGGCAAAGGTGACGAGGCGGGTCATATAGCCGTATGCGAATCCTGCGATCACGGATATCACGGTGCTTGTTTAGACCCCCCTATCAAGCATAAACCGGATACCGAGTGGAATTGTCATCGATGTCTCGTCGGCGATGGCCAATTCGGTTTCGAAGAAGGCGGATTGTACTCGCTCAAGCAATTCCAAGAGAAGGCTGCAGATTTCAAACAAGCATACTTCGAGAACCGTATGCCTTACGACCCCGTACTCAAATGCTCAAGACCTGTAACGGAAGATGACGTGGAAAAGGAATTCTGGAGGCTCGTCACCAGCACTGAGGAAACGGTCGAGGTGGAATACGGCGCGGACATTCATTGCACGACCCACGGCTCCGGCTTCCCCACGGCTGAGCGTAACCCGTGCGATCCCTACTCTACGGACCCTTGGAATTTGACCGTCATGCCTTTGCATCCGGAGAGTCTCTTTCGCCACATCAAATCTGACATCTCAGGCATGACTGTTCCGTGGGTCTATGTCGGCATGATATTCTCGACGTTTTGTTGGCATAACGAGGACCACTTTGCTTACTCGATTAACTATCAGCACTTCGGAGCGACCAAGACCTGGTATGGTATTCCAGCCGAGGACACCGAGAAGTTTGAGAATGCTATGAAGGAGGCAGTACCTGAGCTTTTCGAAACGCAGCCGGACCTCTTGTTCCAGCTCGTCACGCTTCTCACTCCCGAGCAGCTTCAGAAGGCGGGCGTCCGCGTTTATGCTCTCGACCAGCGAGCTGGTCAGCTCGTCCTCACGTTTCCTCAAGCTTACCATGCTGGTTTTAATCACGGTTTCAACTTTAACGAGGCCGTAAATTTCGCACCCTCCGATTGGGAGCCGTACGGCCTTGCCGGCGTGGAGCGATTGCAGCAGTTCCGGAGACAGCCGTGCTTCTCCCACGACGAGCTGTTATGTACGGCAGCAGAGGGTACGAGTTTGGGATTGACGATACAGACCGCGAGGTGGCTCGCGCCGGCCCTCGAGAGGATCCACAAGCGAGAACTCGACCAGCGAAAGGAATTCATCGCAAAGCACCAAGAAGATGGTCACGGGTCTTGCGCGCTAATAGAAGAATCCGATGGGCATTGTTCTCTAGCTTTCGAGGTGTCTACCGAAGACGTTCCCGAGGAGGAGTACCAATGTGCTTACTGCAAATGTTATGCTTACCTGTCAAGATTCAAGTGCCTCCAATCCGGCAAAGTCCTATGTATTCAGCACGCCGGGCAGCACGCCTGCTGCGATACCCCCGAATCCGAGCGCTACGCAGGTGACCATCACAAGCTATATTTTCGCAAGACGAACGAGGAACTCGACGAGACGTACCGAAAGGTGGCAGATAAGGCTAACTTGCCGGAAGCGTGGGAGGAGAAGTACGAGAAACTGCTCGATGAGGGGGGGAAGCCAGCGCTAAAAACGCTGCGAGCCCTTCTTAGTGAGGGTGAACGAATACCGTACGACCTCCCCTCCTTGCCAGCACTCAGGGAATTCGTTGACCGCTGTAACGAATGGGTCGAAGAGGCGACTAATTATACGGTGCGAAAACAGCAGAACCGCCGTAAAAATGACAAGGTCTGGCAGAGCGGATTACGAAAGTCCGTCGGCAGTTCTTCCCAGGAACAGAGAGAACGCGAGCTCCGTCGAGTCGAAAACATCTACCGCTTGATCGAAGATGCGGAACACATCGGCTTCGACTGCCCCGAGATCCAGCAATTGCAAGAGCGTGCCAACGCCATCAGAAACTTCCAGAAGAATGCCGAGCAATTCTTAGAACGCGGGTGCGGCCAAGAATCTATCGAGGAGCTAATAGAGGAGGGACGCGCGTTTAATGTTGATATGCCGGAGCTCGACAAGCTGTCCGAGATTTTAGAGCAGACGAAGTGGAACGCCAAGGCGAAGTCCAATAGAGGAATGTTCTTAACGCTTAAAGATGTTAGGGAGCTGCTCGAAGAGGGTACGCGATTGGAGATACCCTTATATAATGATAACATGAGGTATTTTGGCGAAAAGTATCAGGCGGGTACGCAATGGGAAACCAAAGCAAAAGAGCTCATCAACGCGGAGGTGGTCCATTATCCACAGCTAGAGGCCCTCTCGAACCAGGTCCAAGTTAATACCCTTCCCGTGACGGCGGAGACTTTAGCCGCCGTCGATCAAATCCTGCACAAACAGCGGGAAGCTCATCGTCAGATTATTGATCTCACGGAGCGGTCGAAGGATCCCGACTACAAGAAGAGGCCGAAGTACGCGGAGGTGGTCGAAATCATGAAGAAGCTCGAAGACCTCAACTCGAAACCGACCGGGACCCTCGATCTCGAAAAGGAGCAGAGACGTCACGAGGACTGGATGCGAAAGGGGAAGAAGCTTTTCGGCAAGACCAATGCGCCACTGCATATCCTGAAGTCGCATATGGACTACGTGCTAGAACGCAACCTGGCCTGTTTCGATATCCGAAACGACACCCCTCGGCTACCAGCTGAACCTGCTTCCAGAGCAGCCAGCGAGGAGAGGGGCGAAGGTAAGATCCAGCGGACCGCATGGGACATCAACGACCCAGCTCTGATAGAAGTATTTTGCATCTGCCGCCGTATCGAGGCCGGCATGATGATCGAATGCGAATTATGTCACGAATGGTACCACGGAAAGTGTCTCAAGATCGCCCGAGGGAAGGTTAAGGAGGATGATAAGTACACCTGTCCTATCTGCGACTGGCGAGTGAAAATTCCTCGGGATGCTGCGCGGCCTAAGCTCGAGGATCTTATCGCTTGGCAAGAAGAGATCCCTAGCCTACCTTTTCAACCCGAAGAAGAAGAGGTGCTGAAAAAGATAATCGACAACGCGCAGAAATTCCGGGACCACATAGCAGCCTTCTGCAACCCGGTCCTCACGACCGCAGCCGAAGTCGGCGATCAAAGATTTTACTTGCGAAAAATCGAAGGCGCCGAAATTCTCCTGTCCTTCGAAACCAACTTCTTCCGACAAGAACTCCATAAATGGAACCCGGTGGCACCCGAGCCGCCTCCCGTGCTGGACGTTTCCAAGAGCACGCGTAAACCGCGACCTACGAAGTTGCAGAAGATGCTAGCGCAGTATGGCGTCGACGATCCCGACGACCTCCCAGAGAACATGAAAAGCAAGGCGAACAGTTTAAAGCGGAAGGCCATGAACGCCGAGGCTGCTGCCAAGGCCGCGGCATCGTCGGGCAATAATAGCCTTGCCCCTCCGAATGCGACTAGTCCATCCTCGCACTCTTTTGCTCCCGGCGCCTACTTTTCTCGGAATTCGCAACCGTCTACTCCAGCCCACGCGCATCCGCAGCAACGATCCAACTCGGCGTCGTCTAGCCGGCCGGAGTCGTCGCTTCGTCTTGACGGTATGGACGTGAATAGTGCCGCAGGTTTACATCCGGATTTGTTCCTATCCACCGGCAGCGGTACTGGTCCTCAGCTAATCGCACCGGATTCGTCTCTAACACTAGAGGAACGTCTACAGCATGGGCAAGATGACGGGTTTAACCTACACACGGAGGCCGGTGTGGACAAGGCCCTCGAATATCTACGTCGCACCGAGACCGGGCGTAAGCGGGCCGAGCAGCTCTTCGGGTCCGAAGTATGGAGTCATAACCGCGATCATGCATTTTCTAGCAGACAAAATATCGGCCAGGGTCAACAGGAAGATGATAAAGACGTCGACAAGATGTTCTTGGATCTTACCAATGCGGATGACGACGAGGACGCTAAGAAGGAGAGGCAACGCGAAAGGGAGCGATTGAGCGTCACGGCTGAGAGTTTCGAAGCGGAGCGAAACGCGCTGGACATGGAAGACTCCGACTAAACCAAACCAGACGATTACTTACCTACGTACGAGGAGTATCCCTTTGATATCAGATTCCGGGTGTCTACCAATAGGGCGATACTTTTGACCCTGACACATTATGCATAAAATTTCCCTACGGCGTATCGGAAAGCATTTATTTGTGCCATATTCGTTATTAGCATACGAGGGGAGCCTGTGCGTTATCAGATATAGAGGCGTTGTTGCGGTTTGAGTCGCATACGAAGATTCCTCTTTCCTCATGTACCATTAGAGGATTTTAGGGGTTTAAAAAGCCCGACTACACACACTATTGCATTAGATAGGCGTTGCGTTTTAGGTCTTGGTCCGGTATACCACAGGCACACAGTTTCAACGGAAAGGAGTCGGAATGGAGGACCGATACCTTGCTTAGCTAGGCATATGGCTATTTGTTTTAAAATTTGGCATCTGCATGGATCGTTTTGTTTTGTTTTGATCGTGACTTGTCTGTTGGTCTGGTCATACTTTGTAAGGGTAGTGTTATGTTGCCTCAATTACTGACGTGGCCCAGTCGTGTTACCCTTAAGCCAAGAAACGTGAATAATCAGTCGAGTATTTGTGTAACTTTATATGAGCTGTGTAGATGATCCGGACTAAGTGAGCTTCATGAATGGAATACACCTGACTTATCCCTTGATCACTCATTTTAATAATAACTCGTCACGGCTCTTTTCATCCTTTCCATCATGAATCCGTATCTGCTAGAGGGATGATATTTATAGCTCAAGTCAACAACTCTTGATGACCTTTGCCTCATCTCAATAGTTCCCTCACTCACGCTGATTATCCCACTATAATCATGTTGTAAAGGTGAGTTATGTAGTCATGAACTACCATCATGTCTTGTAGACTGGTGAATGCGATACTCCAAATGTCGACTTGTAAACAATCCGTAACTTGACTTGTAAACAGGTCAGTCCTGTAAGAACAAGGTAGTCATGATGCAGCAAGATGTCTACTATATAAGTTCGGATGCGCCTGTTGGTTCATCCTAAAGCGAACCCATCTATTCCATTCACAATACAGTTCTTCATTCAGTATCTATGATACGGGATTAAAACAGCTGATCAAGTCTAAATATCAAGCCATAATCCATCATACGTCGTCGAGCCCAAGTAAAGCTATGGCAGACGTAAATAATACCTGGGAAAACACAAACTTCATGTTCCTCCTCAGTGAGGACTGTTCAGGTATAACCTCGGCCTGCGATAAACTCGGCAACTTGCTGGAGATCTGCGACGAGACGTGCGACGAGGTAAAAGAGAAAACCTTGGCAAATTTCACGCCTATCACTATTCCTCCTCTCTGTGTTACTATCGGCTTCCCAAACCAAGGCATAGCACACTACCTCGGAAGTAAACCGGGCGGCCAGAGATTCCTCGCTCTTGTTTGCACTCTAGTGACCGCGTTTAATCTGTCCGAGTGCGCACAGGTGCTAGTAAATCTGATGGGACGTCATCTCAAGTTTGGAGAGATACCATGTCCCACAGCTGAACAGCTATACCCGCTACTTAACACTGTCGAGGCGAGATGTAACCTATCCAACTTTGCCAGCTATATCGTAGACTATGAGATAATATTATCTCACGAGCTTCGAAAACGATACCACGGTGCCGCATTTCCAGGCCGCCTAGCCAAGACCCCCGACACGAATACTGTGGCCAAACTAACGGAGTTATTGATACTCAAACGAACTGGGGGTCCTAACGATGACAAACCGAAGGCAATAACAATCCAAGCAGGCCGTTGCGTACCTTGGATCGTAGCCTTTCTACGCTGGTGGCTTCGCAAAGAGCCCATGGTCTATATAGGGGAAGGCCAATCCCCACAATACGAGAAGCTCATACAGGGCGAGACGAATATCGGAATAAAACTCGTGCTTCCGAGGCAGAAGGATGCTCCAGAACCCATCAGAATCAGAGCCATCTACTCGGAATCACACTGGGAAGACTGGAATTTCCACCAAGGCCGCGCGGAGCACTACAACGGTCTCGTCCCGATGCGCACATACTTCCGCCTCATGCTAAACGCCCTCAAACTAGATCAAGGGCAGGCCAACGAGGCAGCTGTAGAAGTCATTCCTTACGCACTCTCCACGGCACGAAAAGGCCTAACAATGTGCTCCGAGGGATGCGTATCCCGTAGTCGCTGGGGTGCACCATGTGCTACGACCACAGACATCGCCGGCGCAAAGTCTAAGCTCCGGCAGGAATCGCGAGACGAAGACGAAGAAAAAGAGGGAATATTGGCGAGCGAAGCGCTGAAGATCAGCTCAGGTCGCTTTGAACCGTTCCCGGAACGCACCGATATCAACAATATCCTACAACTCGTTGGCGGCTGCGAAGGAAAGCACATGCAAGACCTACGAAGCAGACAAACGGGGTTACCACTCTGGGGACATAAGGAGGCAGCCGCCTTCTTAGAACAGGCGAGGCACGAGGGCGAGCGCAAAGATTGGCAGGCAGGCTTCCGTTCGCAATTCCCCCTGGCCCAACCTGGTCCCACGACTATCTTCATCGAGCAGATAGCACATATCGTCGCGACCATCCTGGCACTATCATTATTTCAAAACTCCGAGGAGCTCATGGTCCGGCCAGACCCGTTTATCTGGCACAATGCCGAGTTTGCGCCAAGCACGGTGATCTCGGCCATCTGTCGTATCTCTAGAGCACAGACGGCATGTTGCGACGTGACGGAGTGGCATCGCGTGTGCAGGAAGCTGGCCGGAGAACCGGAGGGACGACCGGAAATCGAGCGGCGGAACGCGATTATATCTTGCGGTGCCGGTCAGGTCGTATGGCCGGCGATTACGCTCGACTGGAAGTTACCTGTAAACGACGAGAGTTACCTACGACTTGGCTGGTGCCGAGGCAAGATTTTCAATCATCACGGCTACAGATTGTACCGTAGCATCGTGGCCATGAACTCGCGCGTTACGCCGGCCTTAGCGTCCCGAAGCGTGCCGGTGATCCCACCTAGACTTACACCACCGTCCAACAACACGTCAGGGGTTAAGCAGACAACAACACAGTACGGATTTAACCTGCAGCTTCACCCTCTAGACAATCAAGTCTTGGAATGTTGTCTGCTTAGGTGCTTCGAACACGAAGGCAACAGGATGACATTCGCCGCTCTCGATCCAACCGGCGTCCTAAAAGTCCTGGCCTCTGCAGAGCGAATCGAGTCATGTCCTCACGACGAACATGCGTCAGCATCAGTAAACGTCGTTACCAACAACACAAATGCTCTAGGTGGTGGTGGTGACGGTGACGGTAACGCGGCCGCCGCCGTACCATTCCCAGACGTGTATCTGTGCACCCCCGAAGACGCGCTCCCCTGGCTGCGGGACTGGGCGCGCAGGGCAGACGTTCAGCAAGTGGCGCGACAGGGTCTGAGCGAGATACTGACACGCGTGCAGGGTGCGGAGGGACCGCCTGGTGCCGTAGCGGTGATCCCGACTGCAGCTGACGACATGCTGCGGATTTTTACTTTGGCGAAGCCTGTCGGGGCGCATGTTGCTATTAGGGGACACGCGTGTCTGGCTTGTTGTGTGAAGTTTTGCAAGGAATTTGGGTTCAGCGTGCTTGTGCTATAGTGTTTGACAACACGTATCATGACTTATGTATAGGGTTCGTCTATGTGAGATTGAGGGGATATTAAGGTCCAGGATAAACATGAGCGATGTGTACTTGTTGGTCTTATGACAGTATTATTTAACGTGGATAAGCTATGGAATACAGGGTATCGAATATCAGAGATAGCCACGGGCTCTTTATATCGGAATCAACCTAGGGTTTATTGGCTCCCGCAGCAGAGAGATGAAGGATATGAGCTATAGCTCGATGAATTGCTAGAAGCCGTGATGAAGGAGGGTCAACCGTCCTAGTAGGTGTGAGATAGAGTCTTCGAGCCACGGGGAGAAGACCCTGAAGTAGCCAAGGCGGCAAAAGAGAATCGACCTGGTAGGTATGGGGTTGCTCCGTAGGTTCGAAGTATATCTGAAAACTTGGTATTTCAGCACCGAAAAGGGGAGTTTAAGTAGTACAAGGTAAGAAAACGTTATCCAAGAGATAATCCGCAAATCTGAGCAGAGCTGAGCGGAGCTCTTCCTCGAAGTCTTTATCGCGAAAATCTATATCGTCTCCATTCTTCGTAGCTTCAAGATGGTCAAGGATGTGATAGAACCTGCGTCTAGCTTCGACGCGTTCATCTGGAGTTAGTTGTAGTTCGGTAGAAAGATTAAGATTTCCCTCAAGGGCGGCCATCGAGTCGTGGTGATGATGATATACTTAGTCATTTAGTCACCCGAAGCCGTATGGATTACCTGGATGACTTGAGAATATCTAGTCTTGAACTGTTCGAGACAAGTGTATGAGATAGAATGTTGTTGATTGGGTGATGTTTTTAGTTATGCCCCTGACCAGTAAGGGGTTTAGGCACCCCGCTTATTCTTTAATACGCTGTATTGCATAGCATACTCAACTAAGCCTTCGAGTAGAGACAGCTTAGTGGCAGTTATAGCGGTTATGTATATATGGTGTATATGGTAGTTGGAATTATTATAATTAATTAGGTACCGTACGTACTTATTGTCGCTATCATCTATATGAGAATCTGAATTTGCTATCTTGGGTGTCCAATCTAATCCACAATGCAGCCTAAGAAAACGAAAATAATAAAGTAAAACCCCCTTCGCTATGATTCGCCAGAAAACATACCCAATGGATAATACCACGAATACTACCTAATAATACGACCCGGCGGAGATCTTGGTAACAGGATTGCTGTAGGATCCTACCGCTCAGAAACTCCAGGGCGAGGCTTGATACGCCGCGGAGAATTTCGGGCCTGAAGACATACCATGTCCCTGTCGAGGCTGAGCGTTTGAAGGATACCCGGCCCCCCAATGCAGCTGGTTATGCTGTCCTTCCATCTGTCCATGGTTGTAGGGGTGCGGATAGCCAGACATCGAATGTCCTTCCGCGATTCCGCCATACTGGGCCATTGAAGCCATCGGGACACTTTGCTGATTATGTTCTCCTTGGAGTGCTTGGAGAAACATAGCGTTTTGTTGATTGCCCGACCCCGTGCCAAACTGGAGCATATCCATGGAGTCGTCCCAGCGCTGTGCTCCTGGGCTACGTCTCTTTCTGGGCTTGAAGCTTTCGACGCTGCCCTGTCTTGAGTTGCTTGACGTGCTGGACTCTGTAAAGACGAAGGACATATCTTCTGGACTGGACGCGTTGGTCGTGTCTGATAGCGGTACTGAGAATCTCTGGAGCTTGGCTTGTGCTAACTCCTCCTCGAGTTCCGCAATCCTGGCCTGGGAAAGCTCCAAATCCTTGCTTTTCGTCTTGGCAGCTGTACGGCGTCGCTTGCCTAGGCTGGAGAGCTCGCCTTGTAGCCGGGCGTTATGCGTGCGTACCGACTGAAGCTCTTGATGGGCGGATTCGACATTACCCTTCAGATCGTTTATCTCATTCTTGACATCCTTAAGCAGGCCAAGCAACTCGGAGTTAACCTTCTGCAGCTCCTCGTTCCGCTTCTGGAGCTTCTCTAGATTGTCGGGGGCTGCAGTAGAGGTTGTAGTAGAGTTTGCAGTCGAGTTTAAGACATCCGCCATTCCGGGGACGGAGTAATCGAAGTCAAAGTCCAGAACTTGATTCATGATGAATGTCAAAAAGTTTTTTTTTTTTTTTTTTATCTATCCCAACCAGTACGTCAGCTGATTAGGTCGACAATCATGTTATTGATCGATTGACTTACAGGTCGGGGTCGCTAAACTGTCCTAGGAAACCGAGAACGATTATAAGTAATACGATGTTAATAGGCTGAGTCGAGTAAAGACGAAAGTGTCCTAGTAAGCCTTGTATTATTTATAAGCGTTCTGTAAAGTCAGAAGAGATACCAAAAGTCGAAGAAGGATTGTATGTTTTGGAATGTTTTCGGAATACAATTTGGACTCGAAAAGTTGGGATGAATTTGGGGGAGGGATGTTTATATCCTCTTTCGAGGTCTGTAGAATCAGTGGCAAGCTCGGACACGCCAGCTGCACCGTAAAGGTCCTCGTTGTAAGGAAATGTTGTTTGCTTAAAACTAGCAGAGCTAGTAGATAGATAGGATACAACGTTATTGGTTAGCGTTTAGAAAATATAGAAAATACTGACGTGGATGGTTGTCCTGATTGGATATGTTAAAATAGTTTGGTTTATCAAGATATATCCGGGTGTATGGTCTTGAAGATAATGAGTTGTATGTTTGAGCAGTGGTCAATCAACATGGGCATGCTGCACTTAAACTGTCTACCTAGTGTCTGTCTAGTGGTTGACATGACGATGAAAACATTTATATATTTCCAGAAAAGGCCTAAGCTTATCTATCGTCATGAGTAATGCAATTGAAAACTTTTCTCTCGGTTTTGCTTTCCCCTCAAGGTTCCTCACATCTGTACTTTCTCGTTCCTTAGTGGTCAACCTAAAGCTGTTTATCTCTTAGTACAGTCACGCATTGAACATTCACCGGGGTTGCCTTCTATTCACTTGCGCAGTGCCTACAGTTTTAACACTGTCTCGTTTATCTAACAGGTCATGTAGGTTTTATTAGGTATTTCCTAACAACCCTTACAATGACTGGATAGCAAATGGGGTATCGAAGGAAACGAAACAAAATAGCCTAAGAAAATAAAAGCATAGGCAGCTAGCAGAATCAAGGACTCGTTACTTTTAACAAGCCAACTCAGGGAAAACGAGGATTCAACAATCAATGCCTCAATCATAAAGGAGGAGTTTTAATAGAGCAATATTTGCATTACGATGAACATGATACTAGGGGGCAATACATACTTAAATATGATACAAAGTATCCCGAGGTCAGCGGAGGCAACTAAAAATGGTCTATAATGAATGTAGCTTCTGTGGGATGCTGCAAATACGAGAAATACATTGATGGGAATGTTGATGATGATTAAAAAGTCAATATATATTATGGTCACAAGCTAGATAGGTAGGTAGTTATAGCAGACAAATCCACGGTACTTAAGACGATTAGATTGCCCCCTTCAAGGAGACGGAGCTATAGGTGCGCTTGATAGACCTTATTGATAGGAGAGCTGGTGTAGTACGGACGTTGTAATTTAGACGCAAGGGTATTACAAGGGTATCACAAGACCGTATTACATCCATCACAACCCTGCAGTGTTCTAGAATAGGCAACGAATAGAGCATAATAAGAATCTGATTGGTCGCCTTAAGGAATAGTAGTGTCCGGACTTCGGTAGAACCAATAGCAAATGTGCCCCCTAAATGATCAGATGGCAGACTATAAAGGGGCGGACTATACTAATACTATTACGCGAGCTAATTCTCGGTATATATCTACGTGGGAGATGGGAATAAATAAGTACGGCAAACGAAAATCACTTCACAAAACCTTCATATAGGAAGCATGGGACAAAAGACGAAAATTATGCACCTCAAAAATATATTTGAATTTAAATCGAACTAATCGTAAATACAAGAATATAACCTCCGAACCAAGCTACTTATATAAGCATATATATCGTACACATATACTTATGACATCCTCTCGTCATCGTCCCGACCACTCATCCTATAGGCTAAAGCAAGAGCTTAAGCCGTGTTGACGCACTGGTAGTAGTACGGGTTCCACGACTTGCAAGAACCCGTGGCGCAAGCAGTAGGGCCGGCGAAGTTGCTGCCACCGCACTGGCCATACAGGCTCTGCGCGCTAACAGCACCAGTCGTGGCCGCGGAAGTAACAACGGCGGTGGTAGCAAGGGTAGTGGAAGCAAGGGTAGTGGAAGATGCTACGCGGGTTGACGTGGCGAGGGTTGTGGGAGCAGTACAGGCGCCACCGGTAGAGGTAGAGGCGGCAGCGGTAGAAGTCTTCTGCGAGCTAGGGGTGGCAGTAGAGGCGGCTGCGGTAGAGGTCTTCTGCGAGCTAGCGGCGGCAGTGGTCTGCGCGGTGGAGGTCTGGGCAGCAGTCGTGGTGGCAGCGGAGGCGCTAGTAGCGGTGGCGGAGGAACCGCTTCCAACAGTCGCGGTTCCGGTAGCGGTGATAGCAGACGAGGACTGAGCGACGGAAGACGAGGCGCCAGCAATTAGGGTAGGACCGGGGATGGTGTAGGTAAGACTGGTGACGTAGATGTTGACGAGAATGCCAGGGTCGGTAGCGGAGTACAGCTCGGTACCCAAGACACCATCAGGTACTTCGGTGCCATCACCAGTAATCTCGAGGTTGAAGCATTGAGGATAGGCCTGAGCGCCGTCTGCGTTTTCTGCCGAGTGAAGCGCGATGGTTTCGTGACGGAGGACGTAGTTTCCGGCCTTAATGTTGGAAGGGATCTGGACGAGCCAGGTGTTGTTATTCTTGATCAGCTCGTCAGAGCCCCAGAAACCGTTCGTCGCCGAGTAGTCGATAAGGCCAACCTCGTCAATCTTGAAGAATTTAAGGGTTGTCTTGTCGACGCTCTCGCAGGAGCCATCGCAAGGCGCGAGGTAGTCGAGCATGGGACCCTTATGGGAATCCGGCCAGGTGTTCCAGGTGATGCTGATGCTGTCGCCAGCCTTGACCTGAGCGTGGCCTCCTGCCGGAGTGGCCGACTTGTGGCAGATGATGTCGGCAGCACCGAAGCTGTCAGGCGCGACGTAACCATTGTCGGTCTGAGAGGTAGTCCAGCCGACGACGGTGGGAGGGGTTTGCTCGTAAGGGAAGACGGTCGGGTCGTACCCCTGGTAGAAGAGTCCGTCGATGACGACGTGGTCGACGTGGCCGTGAGCGGCGACGCTGGCAGCCGACACGAGGGCCGCGACAACGGGAGAGATTCTTGAGATACCCATTTTGGCTGGTTGCGATAGTCGATGCAATACAACGTAGCGAGCGAAAGGTAGTAAAGATGTATCGATTAAGATAGCTGTTCTCACCGGGAGGTAGAAAGGAATGGCTAGTCAAAAGATAGACAATAAAGAATGGCTGGAGGAATTAACTTCACAAACTGATGGCGATGATGAAAAAAAAAGAGCTGAGGAGATGGTATCTCGACTCATGTTATATAGAGAGCCTCGAGGGCAACTCTTGTCGTGTCGTCGTATATCCATGTCTACGATCATATAACTTGCAGTCCTATAAGATCCACTGATACTGGGGCCCCCTTTAAGGTGCCGAAGGAATCAAATTGTTCTATGTAGGATCCGACACACGCTGATGGTCTGGACAATTCGAGCGGGCGTAAGACCCGATCTTGATTGGCGCGCTAGGCTCATAATGGGGGGCTACCCCCCTACATACCATCGTGGCCTACGTCGTCTGAAGTTGCTTACCAGCCGGGGTGGCATGCACTCGCAATACCGGTGAACCGGCTTTTCGGTGCGGTGGGACCTACACCAACCAACGTCATGTCATGCCTTGGTGGTTAATGCGACGTTTGGGTTAGCGATAGTCTATAGAGATGACCTGACAGTAGAACTTGGTATCAATACGGAAAAGTTACTTAGAAGGTTACTTAGTGATTGGCGAACAGTTGCTGGTTTCAGTTTAATCAGCCTCAGTCTCATATGAAAAAGAGGTAAATGCCTCTTAGTAGATTGTGTAGAAAGCCAGACTCGAATTATGGGGTCGTATGGGGTCGGACTAGTGGGAACAACGTCCCCAGCGCGGCTCAGGCCGTAATTAAATTAAAAGGTCAAGGCGGATGTGTTCTTGGCCCAACCACACCACCGGTAGCCGCCCTTTGGATCCACGATGGCGTGACACCAGGACAACCCGGTAGGGCCGCGGCGGCAAGTCTGCCCTCATTTGTGGGATTTCATTTTGACGAGCCGCCCTTTGGTATACTATGGTTGCTGAAAGCTTGTATGAGCTGCTGAATTGGTATTCAGGTGTTCTGACAATATGGCGATTCTCATGTAGAAGTTGATGCGATGCAACTCTAAAAGTGGTTTATAGAGCTTGATGTCTCGTCACCAACACCGAAAGGAACTTTCCGTAGCAAATTTAGTGGACAATCCATTTTATCATACGTATACCATGGTATGACGTGGCTATAAAATGAAGCGTAAAGCTTTGATCATGCATACCTCCCTATGCATGATCAAGCTTTTCAAGATGGTGGATTAGGTAGGTCCGGTTCGAGTTGCCGTCGTTGCGAAAATGCTCCATAAAAAAAGAGCTTAGCTGAGATTCGCACCGCTCAGCGCAAATCAGCGGGGGATCAACTCGGGACGAGGAGCAGAGGGCAATCGCAGGGCTGGAAATCATTGGTATCCACTCCGAGCCCCTGCGTCGATCTCAGACGATCCACATCGCCGTTTCGGATGACCGTAAACGGCAGTGGTCCCGGTTGGTTTCACATCATAGCGCAAGATCGTAAAAGATAGGGGAATACCTTCTAGAAAAACTGCAAGATTCTTTTCTGAAACTCTACCGATATTATGAACAGGGTGTAGTGTAAATTGCTTACCGCGAATGCTCCAAAGCGGGGTGGGTCATCTAAGGGTCATCTAATCTTGAACAACATGATAGATGATAACTAGGTGGTATGTTCTATTTGTTCTTTTTACCCCCGAGGAATAGGAGATATCATTTTAACTCCGCCGATCATTTCACTATACGTTGTATAATAATCCTTACTTAGTATAAGCAACGTATATCGTATAATGACTTGTTGGACTAGTCGGATTAGTTGATAATCCGTCCCGCACGAGTATATAGATGCGGCTTTCTTCAAGCCATATCTATCTCGAACCTACTTAGAAGATAGACATCATTATGCAAGAGATCATTCGTATCATTGCTGCCTCGACCCCCTAATCCGTACGTATAATATGGACTAGACCTTGTTTACCGACATGACTAGGAAATACTTCTGACGAATCCTCATATGCTTAGTTAATAGAATACCGTTCATCAAAGTTGAGTAGATAATATTAAGTTTCCACAATCCAAGAGTGTCTATTTACACGACCATGCGCCACTGATAAAATCAAGTTCGTTACGTTACGTATAAGGGGGAATCATGCCGTATCTCATGAGGCGCTTTTGCTTTAGTTACATCTTTCTTTTTTCCTCGTCCAACATAAAATCATGCCGAGTTTGGAATAGCCTTGGGATGCCGGGTTGGATACCTCAGCTCCGCTCCTGTTCCTGCATTTTTTTTACCGTTGCCAATGAAGCATTATACCAATCGAGCATTATATGCTTTGGAGATTGAGGGATCTGGGTATTTGTTTAGAACTCTCCTTCTCCGCCACCTCCTGCCACTCCGGCCGTCCATAGCCCTACGAGGCCCCACCAACTCACCTTCCACCCCCTCCAGAGCCCATCTAGTCCTTGGCCCCTCTTATACACTACCTCTGCCGTAGTCTTAGACTGCTTCGCTTTCCTACCGCGGGCTGAGGTCTTATTCGGTACGGCGTACACGGCTCTTGAGCCCTCTTCGGTAGCAATCGTATACATCGTACCGAACACTCCATTGTAGTGTCCTGGCGGTACGATCGTCTCCAACTTATCTGTCTGGTCGAGAGCCTCTAGATACGTGTGGTCCGACAGTACCGCCACCTGACCGCGACGTAGAACCGTTTCCAACGGTAGTTTGACGAATAAGGACGCACACGAGGTGCAAAATTTAGCCACGGAGAAAGTCATAGGAGACTGCTCGCGGTCGATTAGGAATTGGGTTCGTAGGACGAGGGGCGTAGATAATGTGAGGAGCGGATGGACAAGAGAGTGAAGAATAGTGGGTGCTAATAGGGACGACGGGCATAGCCACGAAGGTAACGAGCGTAGAGTTGCTACGGTCCGCCGCGGGGTACGTCCGGTGGATGTGACGATCAATCTCGTCCGGACGAGATCGAGAGGGGCTAATATGAGGCCCGTCGCGACGGCTGCGGTTGCGGCAACGCATAACGAAGCCCAAGGGTACGGCGATGCAACATCGACCAACCTGTCGACGTCGTCTTTTAGTCCTAGATCAGGAACGTTTAGCAGCGCGCTGAGAAGACTGCGCGACCAATTCTCTAATAGCGACTGCAACACCGTATAGAGGAATGTGGCGTTTGTTCCTTTCCAGACCCCCCACATCGACTCCTTCGACCATAATTGTGACAGCACGTCAAGTATCGAGTCGGGCCGCTTTAGAGCGAGATGATGGGGGAGGGTTACGGGTCTCGTAGGCGATCTGGCGGGTCCTGCGGGTGACGAATCCCTCCTCTTATTTGACTTTGGCGGTGGTGTAGGTGTATATGGCGTATTAGTCGTAAAATATGAAGAGCCTTCCGGATCAGACTCAGAGTCGCCTTCCTGTAATTATGTCAGTATCGTCACGATAAGAGTTAGACAATAGCCGTAGTAAATTTGTTGTTATACCTCGTCCCATACTGAGCGATTGGGGGCAAGAACATTCGGACTAGAGAGGCTTGGAGTCGAGAGAACCGGGCTGGCAGGCCTCGGGACGGGCTTCGGTGCCGCTTGGGTATTTAACCCTCCGAGGTCATCTTGACTCCTCACTTGCAGGATCGTCTTGGCCGCCTCGAAGGGCTGAGCCATTATTACCGACGTATACTTCCATAGTAGCTCGTCTACTAGACTCTTGACGGATTGTATAGTAGATGGTGATATGTCGTCGAGGTGATCCTTATAGTCTATGTCGGGGAAGATATCGCGAGCTCTGGACGCGTATCTGCTTGATGTCGAAGCTGTCGCATTTCCGTGGGAGAAAGGATTCGGTTGCGACGGGAGACTCTTAGCCTGCTCCCCTATAGAGGGTGGTATATAATAGGGGCGCAGGGGATTTACTCCTTCTCTAGGTGTGGACATTTCGAGTGAGATGGAGCTCTTTTTTCGGGATTATACTGTGAATACCTAATCTTTGTACGAGTGAAGATACAAAGATTATCGTGGGGTGGAGGGACTGAGTTGTCTAGCCGGTATTAGGTAAGCTAGGGGAACCAATGCGAGCATACATAGTAGCCAAGCTTCTGAGGTGGGATTATGCATGCGTGGTACGATTACATAACCCAATAAATTAAGTTGTGTGCCAAACAATCTACGTATTTTTCAACCGAATCTATCTATCGATAAGATAAAGCTTAATCGAACCGAAAAAAGGTTGCTCGGAGTTAAAAAGATGGTCACCGGCCGCTAAAGCTTGTCCCTTGTACTCGGGCCGCCTTCAAGATTTTATCGGAGCTAATTGAATTCGCCTTCCTCTCATTCGTTGGAATGTCGTCGCATCGCATTGCTGAACATCGTGAAGTATCCTAGATCGGTTTTTTTTTTCTTGTTAGATGCAAGCAACTTCCGATTTTTGCTTGTTGGTCCCCCCCAGTAATGCTACAATAAGAGCCTCATCTTGGCAAAGGCAATTATTTAACTAGGACTTTACCTATTAGATCTAAAATCTTGTTCCAATATTTGCGGCTTAAATTTGCGGCTTAAATTCTTTTCGTTCCGTCTTGTCACCGAAACCACCGAGTTCTGGTCGCACCTCTCGGACCTCGTCTCGACACAATGGCGACTCCTCGAACCCTCGTTCGAAGCATACAGAAGCTTCAATTTTCCTCCTCCCAATCTCTATCGCATCTCAGGCGACCTGCTCTTTCTACATATAGCAGGATAATATCTAACACGCCATTAATATGCCATACCCGAGCCAGCGCTTCCATACTCCGACATTTTAGCACATCTCCTCTACGTCAGCATGGGCATATACATCCGCCTAAGCCAGGCGAGGAGTAAGACTTTACTACGAGAGCATAATACCATACGCTAATCTCTGGCTAGACTCTACGTAACGTTTATCGACAAGGAAGGAAATGAGCACAAGATCGCAGTTTCTAAGGGGGACAACCTGCTAGACATTGCGCAAGCGCACGACCTAGAGATGGAGGGGGCATGCGGTGGCTCGTGTGCGTGCTCGACGTGCCATGTTATCGTCTTGGACGAGGATTACTACGAGAAGATGCCCGAGCCCGAAGACGACGAAAATGACATGCTGGATCTGGCATTCGGTTTGACCGAGACAAGCCGACTAGGTTGTCAGGTTGTTATGACTAAGGAACTAGATGGGCTAAGAGTCAAGCTGCCCTCCATGACGAGGAATCTGCAAGCGAGCGATTTCGGCTCGAAATAATGGATATACGATCCGCCAAAGTTAAAGGACAGTTAAAGGCCAGGGATAGACATATTAAAAATCACCGAGTTGTACCAATATGGCGACAGGTAAGGCGTAGTGCACCGGTGTGGTGGTGGTATTACAATTGGCAGCCTGGATAAAGATGGTGAGCCATACGATACGATGTACTATACTCGCAGCAGGATAGCTATAACCGGCTTGGAGATAGGACGAAGCCATAGGACAAAGCCCAACTCTTAGGTCATGCCCAACTATTAATGAGGTTATGTTCATGAAGTACTTTGGTATCATTCCATAAACGGCGGTTCTACGCCCGTATCTCGCAAAACTAAGCTTCTTCCAGCGCGCCCTTCTTCAACTTCCCACCGCCTCCAGCAATCAAATCCAGGAAACCTTGCCGACTCATCTCATTAATCTTCTCCTGGCGCCTCTGAACTCCCACGATGCCCTCCTTTCGCGTATCCCTTTCGGCTTCGGCGGCCCGCTCCTGCGCTTCCCTGACGGCACGGAATAGCATGACGACGCCGCGATGCGCCACCTTCTTCAAGCGCTTCTCCGTCTGCTGAATCTCCTGGGTAGAAGTCTCGGGCTTGCCGTCCTCGTCGACGGCGCCGACTAGTACATCCTTTACGCGCCCCTTCTCCTGCGCCAATCGTTTCTGCTCTCGCAGATGTCGCCGCGCTTTGGCTTCTAGCGCAGTTTCGACGGCGTCCTTGGCTGCTTGGTGGGCCTCGGCGCTGCGCGAAAGGACCGGATCTGCGCGTCTTGTGGTGGATAACTTTGTAGATAGAATTTTGGACATGGATGTTGCAAAGGCGTCGGGATCGTTGCGTTTTGATTTTGATTTCTTGGATTGAGGTCTCGAATCGTCGTCTACGTCTGAACCCTCTTCTTCCGCCTCGTCTTGATCCTCATCATTCTCGTCCTCGTCATCGTCACCTTCTAATTCGGTTTCGGGACTCCTGTCGCGAGCTTCATCTTTAGCGGGATTCCTTTTCCTTTGTGTCGCTGGAGGTTTAGATTTGCGCGCCGCATCGCGATCCGAGTCCGAATCCGAACCTGAATTCGAGTCCGAGTCCGAGTCTGAGCCAGAGGAAATTTCATCTACGGCGACATTGTCGAGGTCTTCATTGTCCGAATCGAGAAGGTTGACGGGTCGGAAGTCGGTGTTGGCGCCCTCTTCTTCCGAATCGCTGTGATACTTGGGGACCTTTCTTTGCTTCTTATTCGGTCTCTGAGATTTGTATTTGGTGTTTGAGTCCTGGTGATTTCGCTTTTTTGAGGTTGGGCCTGCCATTGCGAATGCACGCTTCCTTTTTATATGCAAGTTCTTGGGTGATTTTTGGGTGTATTTGTATGCTGATGTCCAATTGAGGGACAGTCTCGGGGACTAGCTCTCGACTTTTTTTCGAAAACTTCAATTGCAATGTAGTGCCCCACTTAGTAGCTTATTGATAAGATAAGTCTAAGTTGACCGCCTGCCGAAATAATATGAAGTACCAGAGTACGAAGCATCGGCGAATTCTAATTCGCGTCCTGGTAAAGTTTAATCGCGACGATCATTTACTTTTATAAATGGGCATTTCTAAGTCGTCATAATCCCACGTTTGCATCTTCATAAGAAAGACACAAAATGAAGCCATTAATGGGATTGATAATACGAAGACGATTATCTCCAGCCGCAAATTGCCAAGCCGTCGCTAACATCGACATGGATCTTTTGAATATTAAGGAGGCGACCTTGACTTAAAATCCGGACTCAAAATCCGAACTTGACCTTTTCGTCTTCACTCTTCCGGCTATCCAACTAGAGTTTGGCCTCACACTTTCGTTATAATATGCTGCTGTAATGAGTCGCCGCTTACTTTATATAACCATCTCGTCAGAATTGCAAATTAGCATTTGTCCCTCTTTTGTCCAGCAAAGCCTGACAGTTCGGGAGCAGCGAAAACGCTACGAATATACGTACAGGCGTCTTGTAGGCTCTGTCCAATATTACTATCTGTCCGATACATATAAATTGTAATAGAATAAAATCTATTACCAATAACCTTGTGGTATACGGTTTGTTCGACAGGCTCCCACAAATGGCAGGTATCGTAGGCAGCCAAAGCGACAGCACGTGCAATACGCACAACGCCCTGCGCAACATATCCATATCCTCATACGCCTGCGGCGTGACTTTCGGGTTCAAGAGCACCGCGGATCCGCCGCCCGACATGCATTACGGGGTAGTATCTCTAAAAGAATGCTGCGACATGGCGAACCGCCCCCTGATGCGTATACCGGGCAACACGGGCTGCGAGATGCAGTTCTGCGAGCTACCCGAAAGCACAACTTCTACTACCAAAACGGTCTACTACGCATACGCCACGGGGCTCCGGTACCGCCGCCGCGACGCCGCCGCCCTACGTCACAGAAGACGTCAAGATCGGGCCGCCTGGCGACGTCGATAATTGTATGCGCTTCGTCTACGAGCGCGACGTGCCTGAGAGTGTTGCCAAGGACATCGCCTTCGCGAGCAGCTGGTGTATTGTTCGTATGTACGACGACGAGCTACCCGATTCTGAGGTATCTGCTGCCGTCACGGCAGCCCCGGCGCCTCCAAGCTGGACGACTGCGGCGATGGACCAGTTTGATGTCTACTTCTCGACTAAAAGTGCTGCTGAGGCGAGCGCGACTGCGGCTCCTAAGTCAAGCGATGGGCCTAAGCGGTATGCCGAACAGAGTACGTCAACGGGAGTCAAGATATGGGCGGTTGTCGCGTTGGCGACGCTTGGCCTTGTTGCTGCATTATGATCTTGAATTTGGCAGACGCACGTATATACCCTCATTTAGTACATATAATATCCATGACTGTAATTATCTTAGTATTTTCAATGTTGGTGCTTAAATACTTAGCATTGGGACTATCATGACCTTCCTCTGATCTATTTATACCCGTCTAAACTTTCAAAATGTTATCAGCTTAGATCAAGACCTACTTATCGTCATAATTATTGATAATATGCGGGGCGGGAATTCCTCCCTTGGAGATACTTAAACAGGCAGTTCAATACGCGGAACGTTGCAATCAATTAGACTTGGCTTTTATACAGACCTTACCTGCCTGCAACTTGTTTTTCACCTTGCTAACCAAGTTCCTGGCCATGTAAAAGTCGATGATGCAGCTGCGCTCTTTGCACATCTTTATGAATATCAACTTGGCTTCTATCGCCCTCAATTAGTATCGTGTTATACGCGTAAGCCTCGTGACATCAGCGGCGATGAGTCTATCCGCATTTCTTAGCTGTATAGTCCTTGCCGCAGGTATAACGCGCGCCCAGTCCGAAAACGAAACCGGGGAACATCCAGGATGGCCGCGATGGTGCGGAAAAGTGTACGAAGCCGGATATCCGTCTTTCGAGCCAGGCGGCCACACGACAGAGCCAGCTCTCGTAAACCCGGACGGGTCGCCGAACTTGTACGTGCAATTCAAGCCAAGACATAGCATCTACCTAGCCGGCGAGCAAAAGGGATCCTTCGTCGTCAAGGCCGAGCTATCGCCTTGGTTTGGCGAACCGTGGGAGAATTCGACGACGAACGAAAAGTCGGTGGCGGCACCATTTACGGATCTATATTTCTCGATTAGTCTGGCATCCAAAAACGGCGAGGGCGATACGCCACTGGTCGAGGGCAACGTTCCGATTAACGCAACCGGTTCAGGTTTTGATTTCGACCTCTCTGTTTTCGAACCGCGATTGACACCATACGAAGTCGTACTAGCTGGAACTTCACAGCTTGGTAGTCATAACTATACGGCGAACAGCTCGTTTCGATATCTGCCAGATATCGCCTCGGGAGGGAGCGCGACCAAGATCGACAACCTGAACGGCGGTCTATTATTCCGCAACGCGCAGACGGGCGATGTCTTCGTGCCTCTTCTGCCGTACGGATTCTACGGCTTATACAACGGATCCAATAGTACAACCGAGAGCGAAGAGTTCGTTCGCGACTATTCCAGCGGCGGAAAAGGCCTTAATGCTATCATATCCTTAGCGGGATTTGCCGACACCAATCCGGTGTACGACAGCATGGACGCATCCACCATGCGCTTCATGTTCGATCTACGCGGTTCATACAAGAACTTAACAGAGGTCACACAACGGGTGAACACTATTAAGCATCATAGCTCTCTATTTGCTTACTGGACGGCTGATGAGTAAGTCCCCTTGTCGAGTAAATCCCTTGTCGCTTTGGCAAGGAACAGTTTCGTCGGCTTACGCTGAAATCTACTAGACCCGACGGTTGGCAAGTTCCTTTCGATGTTGCGCCTGCGGCTCGGGATCTCATCCACGATCTAGACCCGTATCATCCAGTAGCAGTGACTCTCAACTGCCAAGACTACTACTTTAGAGAGTACTCGGCCGGCGACATTCTAATGCAAGATCCATATCCCATCGCGATCAATAGTACCTTCTCCAAGTGGGGTACAGCATGTAATACGACCCTGGGGGACTGTGGGTGTGATAACTGCGCAGGTAACCCGCAGGATGTCTCGCAACGCCTCGACGGCCTCATCCAATACGAACGCTGGCTGGGCCGGTGGCCGCTACCCAAGTTCCACAACCCGCAAGCTTTTCACGGAGAGGACTACTGGGCCCGCGATCCGACGCCTGCTGAAGCCTTCGTCATGAACGCGCTGGCATTCAACCGAGGCGCCACCGGTATCTTCGCCTGGACGTGGCCCACCAGCCAGGAATTATTCGATGCGCACTCGAAGATGGCTGCGGCGGTTACCAATGCTCCCGCGAGGGACTTCCTCCTCGGTGGTCAGCCGGATGGTACTATTCGCATCGATAACCAGGAGCTGCTTGATATAAGCTATTGGGTACGGGAAACCCAAATCATGATCAGCGTGGTAAACGGGGGGTATAGCGACATGGACGGGCCGGTCTCGATAACGCCACCAAAACCCGGCAAGCGTGTCGCGGATGTACCGTTTGGAGACCAATCCTGGAACTTGGTGGACGGTCGATTGATAACTGACAAGCTGCCTGCTATGTCGACAAGCCTTGTCATTATTGATTATTGATACAAAGCAAGAGTACTCAAAAGCAATAGCAATACCACGCACATGGATAACATCCTGGTCAAAGTAGCCAATGAACATATCGCCTTTGAAATAGTGATATGCAGGATATTATTGGTCCTCCTTCAGCCTGCTGCTCTGTCTGTCTGTCTGTGTTACACTCGTGCTATCACAGATGCCGGTATGTAAGAGTAACGCCAGCAGCAAGTACCGGCTAGGGCAGGATATGACGAGAGAATTATATAACAAGGGAATGAAATGCCGTCGACGTCATTTCTACTCTATTCTTTGTTCCTACGTGAGGTAGATATATAGTTTATGCGTGCCCGATACACTATAGCCCTGAAATAATCATCCTTACTCGACTAGTTCGCTATGGATTACTTACGCGCCATCTCTTCGTACGGCCTTGGCCTGTGGGATCAAGGTAGTCTATCCCCAGTCGCCGCCCTCGGGATATCCCTAGGCGTACTGTTCCACCTTACTATCGCGCAGATGGAAGAGATAGAACGTTTTATGTACACTCTTATGGGAGCTATACCACTTCTTATGCTCGGCATCGTTTCTATTTCTATGTTTCTGGGGTCTTCCCTTTTGGGTGCCTTCACCAGATTATGCATTTTGGCAACTACTTTCAACGCGGGCCTCTTTTCAAGCATGATCATCTACAGAATTTTCTTTCATCGATTGAGAAGATTTCCCGGGCCCTTCGATGTCAAGATCTCCCTTTTTTTCTCTGTGCTCAGGGTTGCGAAAGAAGCCAAGTACCATGACGACCTTGCCAATATGCATGAGCAGTATGGCGATTTTATTCGTACAGGTATCTAATATAGTCGTCTTCTCAAATACTAAGCACCAAGCTAATCGCGCTACTATAGGACCGCGGCAGCTTTGTATAGTTCGAGATTCGGCAATCCCAATTATATACGGCCCTAATGCAAACTGCCACAAGCCGATTGCGTACATGGGTGCCAGCCCTGATTCCAAAAAAGCATCCCTCCACGGCTCACATGACCCCGATGATCATAGGAAAAGGCATAGGGCTTGGGATAAAGGATTTTCGATCAAAGGTATTCGATACGCCACCTATTTATGAATGATTATCAAGATAACTAAGCTCTGAATCGCAGCATTACAAACCTACGAGCCTCGAATTAGAACGTTAGTTACTAAGCTCGTCCATCAAATCTCGCGTAAAGATGTGATAGATGCGACAGCTTGGTCCATGTACCTCACTTTCGACGTCATGGGCGAAGTTGGATTCGGGAAAGACTTCGGCTGCGTCTCAGACGGGATAACTCACCCCGCAATTCAGGGCATTCGCGATCATATGCACATTATAGGTGTCATAGGCCGTGTTCCCTGGTTTTTGAACATTATCGGGCATATTCCAGGCGCGTCAAAGGCATACCGACCCTTCTTTAGTTATTGTCAATCTGAAGTCGACAAGAAACGGGCGGTAAGTCATCCAAAAAGGGACTCGCAGCAGTGCTCATATGTTACCAGAGTATCGATCCCGAGAAATATCCTCAAGATATCATGACGTGGCTACTAAAAGCTGTCATCGAAAAGGACGTTTCCGCTTCGCCAACGGAAAAGTCGCTTTCCGAGGACGCCAGAACACTTATAGTTGCAGGAAGCGAGACGAGCGCTACGGTCTTAGCGAACACTCTATTTTACTTGGCCAAATACCCTCACGTCTTAAAGAAGCTGCAAGCTCAGATCGACGACGTCATGCCAACTCCGGCGGACTGGACGTACGAAAAGGTGAAATCGATTACGTACCTGGACAACGTCATCGACGAGACCCAGCGTCTAAAGCCCGCTTTACTTACCGGAGGATACCGACGGACGCCACCGGAGGGCGTTCAAATCGACGAGCAGTTCATCCCGGGAGACGTATCCGTCATCGTGCCCACACAGCTAATCCAGACGCATCCGCGTTACTGGAAGCAGAGTAGGGACTTTATACCAGAACGATTCGGAGAGCGGAGTGCCGAGATGGGAACCAAAGAAGCGCCCTACATGCCTTTCAGCCTCGGTAAGTACCTAAGGCTCCAGATTATACAAGTTTCCTTGGTTAACTATTGAAATATTATAGGGACGTACAGCTGCCCTGGTAAGAACCTGGCCATAATGACCTTGCGGATCGCCATCTCCAGCCTTGCGCAGCACTTCGATATCACATTCGCGGCTGGCGAGACGGGAGAAATCTTCGATAGAGAAGTGAAAGATACATTTACTAGTTACCTGAAACCTTTGAATCTAAAGTTCTCACCTAGAAAGTGAAGCATTTAGAATATCGGGAGGTTGTAGCTGTTGTGCTCAGATAGGAGCATAGTGTTAATGCTTTGAAGATTACAATAGCAATGTCTATGTTTTCATACTTTGACGGGAGGCTATGGCGGTGACGCGGGGCCAACTTTCAATTGTTACGTTTCGTACAGGATCTTGGACGGCACTGTCAACGGCTGTGGAAAGGCTTATCAGTAAGGGGCAACGGTATTATGCGTGGTATCAAGAGTCACTGAAGAGTTAGGATATCGTGCAAGTAATTTAGTATTGTATGGCTAGGAGGGTAAGCTCTAGGTAGCTATCTAGTGAGTGTATAAATAGGGTAGCATAGCTAGCCCTGCATCCATCCCTAATATAATTCGTAATCATACAGAAAAAAGCTTCCTCACTTCTCCGCCGTCATAGCTGTCGGTATGATTCACCTTGCCTAGAGCTTCTCGAATCCTAGCCTGGTAGCGGGCGCCGTCTCGGATGCGAGTCAGGTTTGCAATCGTGGGCCGAATATATCCCCCTTTCTGCTGCTTCCTTCTGCTGCTTCCAAAGGGGAATTAAATCCCTTTCCATAACTTCACCTTCCCCGAACTTAGCCGTCATGTGGTTAGGTCCGTGCAACGAGAAGTTTATAGCCGGCCTATCACTTAAGTCGGCCATATCGATAAGGCGGCCACGTTTAGAATGGCGCTTGATGCTGTCGTCCATCGCCACCACCAAGCGCCCGGAAAAACCGCTCTCAGCGGCTTTTTCCAGGTCTTGGACGGCGCGCTTCTTCTGAACAACAACAGCGCCATCTACGGCAGCGTTGCGATAACCCTCAATATACCCACTTGATGTTGTTTTTGGTTCTTGTCGGAGGCATCAACCATTTTCATGGCTTTCGCAAGGTGGTTGATATTTTTTTTTCCACTGTGCGATACCGTATTCTTCTCCGTCCAAGCTTGCAGTAATGCAGTGAGTGGTAAGAGTGCAACTACCCGCCTCGTAGATGGCCTTAATAAACCTGAATTCTGCTGTGTCCCGGATAAGCAGTAGGCGGTTGGTTAGATGTATATCCTGGATAAGTAGTGGGCTGAGCAAAGATATTCGAGCATTAGTACGGATGCGGTAGCGTTAGTGTTTGTCAGACATACCTGATTAAGTCGTTTGTTGCCGCTTCTTCAGTTAGGTATTGGTGCGCATGTTTGAAATGTCCGCTTCTGACTTTGGATGGTTAATGTCAAGTGTTAATCATTGGATGTTAGGTGTTAGGTGTAGTTTAGTTAGGTGTAGTTTAAAGTGTTGAAGCGTTGAGCATTAGATATTAAGTGTTGGTATTGATGCTTGGGATGAAAAGTTATGAGGGTGGGGAAGAGCAAGGAAAATATGAATTTGAGGATCTAGCGGCTGGCCTTTATACCTTAGGTACCTCTTTAGATTGTATCGGACCTTCTTTAAGAGTAGAGTTGTGGCAGTTGCTGCCATACGTAATGTTGCTTGTGCTAACCCCCCGTCAACAACACGTACCTTCTCGTCCATTTAAATCATCATCGTGATTACCTTCAAATATGCGCACTGACACATTACATTAGTATGTACATGTACCTAATGTATTAGCAGGTGCTCCCGTTCTCCCTAATCTAGCACGATCCGAGATTTTATTATAGGAGCACTCGGGGGCCAGTCTTAGACAATTTTAGGCTTGTACTTTTCGTTTTAGTAGTTGCGGTTACGTTGGGGAATACCTTGTCCTGTACGATTCCATTAGAGGTGCCATTCTGTTGAGACTATAATGTGCACCATATATTCTATTATATGTTCATTGAATCTACACCTAATATTTGAACTATAATATTTGAACTAAAATGCCGTGTAGCACAACAAGTTGTGCTAATTGGAAAGTTTTGCCGGCGAAACTTTCTAATTAAATACGTTGAAAACCAAAGCCGATGGTTTCGGTTTTGGATTCCGAGTATAGCGCAAAGCAAAATATTGAGGCTATCGTGAGTTTGGGGGTACGTACTCTATCTCTACTTCCGACTATATTATATCACACTTAGCTCTAGTGTACTTTTTATACCTACCCCTATTACCCGCGTGTACGGCTTAGACGACCCCGGAGACCTTCCGTAGATATAGAGTTAGGATATCGTGCAAGTATGACTAGTAGAGGAAGTTCTGGGTTGCTATCTAATGAGTGTATAGGTACCTAGGGTAGCATGCAGCACTCTACACCAAAAAGTGCACAGTACAATAAATTCAACATTCATGATATCGCCCTCGTAAACTTTGCATAGCCACTACCTACATTTGAATGGCGTCTGCAAGAGTAACCTGGGCCGTCATTCCCATTTGGTCTTTTCTGGCAAACCATTTAGCTTCTTACTCAAGACACGTCATAGGGAAGATGTCCGTGTTGCGGCTGTAGTAGGTATTGTTGCACTGTCAGAAACTAAGTTCCTTTTTTTTTTTTTTTGGAAGGCGCATTTCAGACCTGGGTACTTCTAGCATCATGACAGGGCTGTGTTGGTACGTTGAATATCCGTGCACCAGGTAAACTCGCGGCTTCCTCTTGCCTGCTGGTTGCTCGAGGTATTATCTTTCCTTGACCGTACAGTACGCCCCCTGAAATAATGTTATTCAGCGGACCCCTAGAGCTACTTCGCTAAGATTTTGAAGTATATATTTATTATTACCTTAGGAGGTCGTTATAATTTTTTAAAAACGTTATTTCGCAATATTTTATGTTAAAATTTACGAAAACGCATGTACTCGTAAGCTCGCGCATGCGTTTTCGTAAAGTTTATATCGTGCACGTTCGAAAAACTAACATTACTTCAGGGGGTGTAGTGTAGTTCCCTAGTACCCTCCATTACGGCATTAGGTTTGTGCCTTCCATTTGAATTAATCTGAAGGTTTCTGAAGGTTCCCCGCCTTCGGCAGAATCCTCAGGATCCTCAGCAGTAATTATAAATAACATGCATCTCCCGTCCAAGTTCTTCAACTTCAAGATCTAAACTACAACATCAACCTCACTACAACACTCAACACTAAACTACACTACACCTACACTACCTTACAGCTCATACCTTTATCACCTTATAACCCCTTCAATAACTACACTTCATCCACAGTCAACAATACTCGCACCTTAAGTCCAACGTCCCGCGCGAGGACGTGGTGTTTTATACGACGTACCTTCCCGAGGACTATCGAAGCCTGCCGGATTGCGAGCCGTCTGGATTAATGAGCAAAGATGCTACCGTAAACGCCAGGATGCACGACGGCCGTACGAATCTGATGTTGATCTGGCTAGGAAGGACAGAACCTCGACATCTCCCAGAATTCTGGATAGCCTACTACAAGGCTATGGCGCAGGCACAGTCTTCACTCAAGAAAACAAGACAGCAAAACGCACAGAAAGCCAGAGATGCAAAAGCAAAGAAAACAGCAGCGACAACGCAGAAAGCTCTAGTCACCGAAATTTCTTCATCCGAGGATGAAGACCCTATTCAAAACCCCCTTATCTCTTGCTTGCGAGTCTCCCAAACCTGGAATCCTTTTCCATATATAACACTTGCGACACCTATTTCCCAATAAACGCGCGGTTTCCAACCGTCAAACACATCAGGGTGGTGGGATACTCACGGCCCGTCTAGATGTGTATAACATTTGCCTCGGCTATTACAGGCCAAAAATACCCATTCAACAAGCTGATCCCTCAGCCCATACGATGACGGCACCAACCATTCTAAAGCACTTGGTACGCCTTGACAAAAAACGGCGTATACCTCGGGCATGCCGTGGACTCTCCTACGCTTGGTGCAGCAGTGGCCGTCTGAGGCGGTCAACTCTATGCCGGTAAGGAGAGTCCCGAATGCAAAAGCCGCCGTATCAACCTTCGCGCGACTTATCGGGCTCGGCTGCGTCGTACCATCCGGCGTGGGATATAAGCCGACGGCCAAAGGAATCCAAATGCTGGACCTAAGGCGTGGGATCGAAAATCTAGACCTCCAAAAGCCGCTTGCCTGCTAGCGTCGGCTGGACCTCGCGCGGAGCAGGAGCAGCTCAGGCCTAACGTGATGCGGGTCGTCATCCGGCTGGCAGCTCTTCTGCATACGGGCATAGACAGGGTCTGCCGCAAGCTGGACAATGCTAGCCTGACGCCGCACCTAGACGAGGTCCAGAAGATGTGCAGAGGTATCGGCGCAGCTCTGGTTCGCAAAGGAGCCCTGTGGATCGCCCTCGGCCTGTTTCAAGAGAAAGTCCACAGTGGGAAACATGCGCTGATGGTGTACCTAATCGACAACACCTTCCAGGTGCTCTATTCGACTCCGTGGCTTATGCTCAACACGGCCGCTATGTACAAGGCGCGAGAAACCACGCTTTTACTCGAAAAGTATTTCCAGGTGGCCCCGTTTAGAGACGGCCAAGAGCTGAGCGCGACAGGGCTCACGGACGAAGAAGTCATCTTTATCGAACGTGAGCTCTTGTCGGCTTTCAGATACAACCTCGTAACTCTCCCCAGGGACGTACGATCGCGGCCATTCGACGTCGCCCCCTTGTCAAACCTCGGCATCAGCCACAAGGACAGCCACAAGGACAGCCACAAGGATATCATCGGTGTCGATGAGGTGAGGAAAGAGTACGAAAAGAGCGGCTGCCTTGCCATGTATACCGACCTGGAAGCCAAGGGCAACGAGTACGTCGCCAAGAATGTCATTGTCTAACGGCCTCTTTAATCAACATCTACAATACGCTAACACTACATTACCTAACGTAAACTTACTCTAACTTTCTCAACATCGACATATCCATACCATCTTTTTTTCGCCTACAAGCCATTAATAATACGAATAAGATGGAATGGAAAGTTACCGACGAACCCTCGAGCTGGAGCGAGAGAAACGCGCATATCAGCGGTTGCTGGCAGCTCGACCTGGTTTCCCACGGGACGTGTGGGAGTGGGAGCGTATGCTGAAGGCGGCCAGCGACGGGGTGCAAAGGGTCCTTTTTAACAATAAGGAACCTCCCTGCGTTAGCCGGTCATACTTCCGCTACGTAGCCTGCCAGAGGAGGCGCGCTGTAACTAATAATGAATTGTATTAGGGATAGATGAATTAAGGATAGATGAATTATGGATAGATGAATTGCATTAGGAATGTACGACTATATAATATTGTATCGTCGCGTGCAGGAACCTAATGTATGTAGCCATGAGAGCCGGTGACTGCTTGCTAAAGCATCGGTTTAGGGTGTTGCATTAGAGCTGAACGGCATACGAGCTGTATTGGCTTCTAATATTCCCAGTAAGGGTTAAAGGAGGCTCTATGTTAAAGAGCATTGATATCCGGGCTACCCTCCTTTGAACCTGGGTTCGACCAATCAGATTCAAGGATTTTATCAATTCAATCTTTCATTGCCGTATACACCTAACGCACTACACACTTAGATAACTTTACAAACAACAATTTAAACATTACCATTGGTATCATTGTAACAGATCTAGCCTTATCTCTTTGAGACCCAAACTAGGGTCAGTAAACTAGCGCCGTTCGCTACCAGCCGTTTTTATACAGATCTAAGTGACATGGTTTGATGAATGGCCAGCTCGAAGGTTGACTTTAAAGTTATGCAATTTTGATGGAGAAAGCAGATAAATCAGCTGGTAGCGAACGGCGCTATGTAGTTACTGACCCTAGTTTGGGTCTCAAAGAGATAGGCTTATCCACAAGGTTAGGACTTAGAACACCTCGGATACACAGTTTAAATGCTATCACGAGTACTACGCAAGCAATTCGTTCAATTATAAGTTTACCGTTACGTTAGAAGCCCCGTTTACGGAGCGGTAGGTTGATAGTGGGATAATTGTTATATTAAGGCTATGTCTAGAAGGGTTTCAGCTTCGTTTCTCTTCCCCTTCCCCTTCCCCTTTCTCTTCCTCTCACTCCAAATCCGAGTCCGAGTCCGAGTCCGACTCGTCCGACTCGTCCGAGTACTGGGACGCTGTGCCGCCTAAAATGAAACGGCGAGCCGAGGCTGCAGCCTCTAGTTCCGGCTTATAATCTAGAAAATTAGCCAAGAATTCATCCCTTCTAGGGCCGAGCAAGGGCATGTAGGACGGTGCTGGACCCGCAGGTTTATAATACGGCTCGGAGGCTTCCATGCCAACCGTGCCAACCGGGCCAACCGGACAAGATTCTTCAACGGGAAGCATGCGGGCTGTTTTACAGTTGATATCGAACTCTCTAACGGTAGCACCAGAGAAATCGGTGTAGCTGGTTATCTTGGTGATGCCGATAGGGAAGGGGATGGCGGTAGCGGGTGCAGGGGCGGCACGAGCAGGAGCCGGATCCTCGACCTGGGCCTCGAGCGGCCAGTCTGGAGACTCGGTCTCCTCAAGCCGCGCGTAGTTCCTGACCACAGCGTCAAAGGAGTAGGTGAGGGGGTCCGACCCCAGTTGGAAGACTGACGCGCCTTGGCTAAAGTCGTAGGAGGCGATAGCCTCCTCCGAAAGCTTTACGCTGAAGGATCGCGTCAGCGGGTACCGTAAAGGTCGCATGTTCGGGTAGAAAGTTGCCAGGTGCACCCAGTTAAACCGTTGGGAGCGGATGGGAGGGAGACCAGCGCGAGAATCGACCAGGAATCCGAAGTGAACGGAATCCGGCAATCCCTTTAGCGTCGGGCATTCGTCGTAACCGTGCTCCTTTGTGTTGTGAAGCGCACAACCGGAGACGAAGCCGTCCTCATCCACGGGGCCAGGGCATTTGACCAATTGGTGGCCCCGCTTGTTGCAGTTTCCACAGACGGACGCGGGAGAGAAGGACGGGGCACCAGCGGGTGCGGCGAAGCTGAGTTGCTCCAGAGAGGGGGGGTTCTGGCCTGTACGACCATTGCCACCCTCGCTCTCGGGAGCATTAGTCATTTCCGCGTCCTTCGCGCTGCCGGAAGCGGCAGCTTGAGCAGCAGCTTGGCGCTCAAGCTCCTCGCGTTCCTCGCGCGCGCGCCTGCGCTGGCTTTTATTCTTCCTAGTCTTCTTCTTCTTCTCGGCTAGGGGCGCAGGGGCAGGGGCGGAGAGAGCTTTGAGCTGCTGCTGCTGCTCTCGCTCTCGCTTCTCTCGCGCATCTTGCTCCCGCTCCTCCTGCTGCGCTATCTCCCACTCTTGCGGTCCCTCCTCCACCTCCTCGACCGGCTCTTCGCTTACCTCGCCAATAGGTCCTGTAAGATAGGACTCTAAACGGGAGCTGTCTCGGATGCGAGTCAGGGTTGCAATCGTGCGAGGAATGTATCCTCCGTTCTGCTGCCTCCAACGGGAGATTAGATCTGTACCGTTAATTTCACCGGGCTCAAACATAGCCGTCATGTGGCCAGATCCGTGCGACGAGAAGTTTATGGCCGACCTATTACTAAAGTCGGTTATATCGATAAGGCGGCGACGTTTAAAATGACTTTCGACGTTGTTCTCCGTTGTCGTCACTGAATGCCTGGAGAAACCGCTCGCGACGGCTTCGTCCAAGTCTTGGGTGACGCGCTTCTTTTGAATAACGACGGCGCCATCTACGGGGCCATTGGCCTCTCGCTTCTGCTGCGTAATAAAGTTATCTATGGCGGCGGCTTGGTTCTCACGCTTCTTCTTCTGCGCGACGGAGATCTGACCTGCCTTTCGAGACGCGATGATCTCGTCCAAGGATTGGTCGATCTTCGAAGGCTTCGAAGATGCCTGCGAGGCGTCGCGCGCGTTAACGCTTGACTGCCCCGAGCTAGAGGGTCTATTCACGTTCGAATCTGCCATGTTGATGATGATGATGATGATGGATGATGGATGGTGACGATGGTGATGATGATAGTGGTGATGGCAGACCAGAATGCGTAGAATGTTGTTGATGAAAGAGGAGAGAATTTGGAATTTCGAACGAGGGAAAAAACATTTATTTTGCAGAGGGCGGTGGGGTGCATCTGCCGCCGGCGGGGTTGGTGATTCACTCACTAGGGAAACCGTGCAGGTAGGTACCTAGGAGGTACTTAAGTACAGCTTCATGCTTAACGCTCTGTGGATCCCTAGCAACAGTGACTCGGGCACTCATTGTAATGAGGCAGTCGCTGCCTGCGTCTGTACCCATATATAAACAATAGCTAGATCCTAATCCTGTAATCCTAACAATAACCAAACTAGAGGTTACCCCCCGGGCAACACAAAAGCCTAAGGTTTACACCGCACCATGTTTCTATACTATTTTTATTATTTTTATAATTATTATTAGGTATATTAGTAACCTACCCCCTATTAAACTAGAGGGCACTCCTACAACAGCCCGAATTTACTGCTATTACACGGCTGGACAATACTCTCAATACCCTCGAGACCTAAGTAATAAAGAAGCTTTAAACCGATACATAAACTTATTTCCTTCGGTATGATATGCTGCCTGCGTGTCCAATGGCGCGAGGCGCGAGGTTGGTCTGAGTGGTTTTCTTTGATGTGGTTAGTCGGGAGGAGATATCTGGGAACGGAGGCAAGCGTGGAGGATGAAGAAGTCTTTAGGGAACTCAAGTCGGAGTTGAATTGGCAGCACAGCACCGTCTCAGTGTAAGAGATGATCCATTGTACCTTACACGATTGCATCTAGACGTAATTTATTATCTCTGCTTCGAACGTGGTTGATAAATACAAATCCGAATCGGCTAGAGACGGTGGAGGCCAAGTTAAATAGAGCCTACCCTGGACTACCCCTGCCAAGACATATCAAAATGTGGAGAATGATATCCAATTGGTGCGCAGCTATAGAGCGAACCCCGGATTATGGCAGGTCCAACCCAGAAGAGATAAGGGATCCACTACTTTATTTCGACTACCCTCCTTCTCCTTCTTCTTCTTCTTCTTCTTCTTCTTCCTCCTTTTCTTCGGTACCCAATTCCGCATGTATCACACAAGGTGGCACAGCGAGAATTGGAACTAAATCGCCGTCTGAAGGACTACGAGAAGCACGAGACAGATCCTACAAGAGAGCGGCTAGTTGGAGACCTCCTCGCCACTCGAGACGGCTCGGGAGGTCCGGTAGGCGACGTCGGACTCACTCAGGGATCGTGGGCCCCGAGTCTTGGATAGCCGCTACGGCATCCCAGTCTTGGCGCATAATTAATTAAAGGCTAATGCGCCCTGGATTCGGCTCGAAATTTGCCCCTTGCGCCTTTGCGATACCAAGGCGCAAGAAAACGTTACCACCTAAAGTTTGAGAAGCATTATTTTGCCTTCTATTTAGTTTGGAATTTTTCCCTTGCGCCTTTCGATATTGAGGTAAATTATGTCAGGGTAGCTACAGGGGTCTATCTACTACTATAAGAGGCGCGAGCCAGGCGTTACTAGTTCAATACTGGTCTACCTGTACATTCTGTATGACTAACCTCACCAGGCATTAACTCTGACAAATTACGAGGTCTCGGATGAGTCTATTAAGGCGCATTGTTACTCCTTGCGCTGGAAGAGACGCAGCAAAATTAGATATCTAGGAACCAGCAGTCAGGGCACCCATGAGCGAAATTACCAGAGCCCGGTTTCACCGTCAGGGCCGAGGAACAATTTACTGGCCTGGATCAGATCATCGAAGCGGGATTAGGATTACTACGAAGGCGCAAGCGGCGGCTTAGGTCCCCAAAAAAGGCATTGCATTCTGACTACGGACTATCGCGTCTAGATATCTAAGGGGGGTCATGATTACGTGGCGCGTCAATTATGTATTGATAGCTATATAGGTATGTGAGGTATTTCACAATTGGTTGTACATTTCAAAAGAGAATATGATGGAATGGTGACGGAGTCATAGCAGCTCTTAGACTTTGTAATCAATCTCCATAGAATCAATCTCCATAGAATCAATCTCCATAGGATCGTCTGGGATGAAGCTGTGGCGGCGCTCTTCATTCTTGCGAGCGATATCAGCCACACGCGTACGGGCGGACCGCCTGCTGATAGGGATGGCGGGGTCTCCATTGTTCACGAAGTCGGTCAATTTCCTCGCCTTCTCTTCCATAGAGATGTTCCCCCCAAGAATCTTCGACGAAACCTCGTCAGCTAAGCGGGCCATCTCTCGGTGATGAGCGGCGCAGAGGCGAGCCATCTGCTCAGACTCCTGACCAGCCTGGAGGATCTGTAGGCGGCTCTCCTCCTCTGCTTTGCTCCTCTCGGCTACAGAGGTCTGATACATCTTATAACCCTGCGTGGTGGCTAATAAGATTGCCTTTTCAATCTCTCTTACTAGATGTAGAATGCTGATATCTTCCTCGTAAGCCTTCGCGGCGGCCATGCAGAGCGTGTTCCAAGCTCGTACAAAACGCAACTGGACGCCTGTGGAAGTAGCGTCGACGCCTGCGCGTAGGCGCATGAAGAGGGTCGTAGGGCGGAGAATATCTCCGACCCTACAAAACACCATGCCTTCAGGGCCGCACAGCTCGTCGGACAGCTCGACCAGGAGACGCTCCAGCTCGTCGGGGCCGGCGAGGACCTTAGCGATATCTCGGGAGGCGGGGATGGTGATCGAGAAAGGCTCTACGCCTTCCTCGGCCTCTTCTCCGTCCGCGATATACCGCCAGAAATATGCCAGGGGAGCGATATCCGTCGGCTTGACGCCCTCCGGAACCACTCGCCCTTGAACCTCGGAGTCCTTAGTAGAGTCGCGCCCATAGGTCTGCTCGTACCAATACTCCATATATGCCAAGCTGAAAGGCTCGGCATGCGCCTCGGGCATTTTCTCGAGGTATTCAAACTCCTCTTGCTGCTTCCTCAAACCCCTTTTCAGGGCGGCCCGGCAAGCTACGTAGCGGACGTACGACCGGCTAACGCAGGGAGGTTCCTTTTCTTTGAAAAGGAGCCTTTGCGCCACGTCGCTGGCCGCCTTCAGCATACGCTCCCACACGTCCCGTGGGAAGCCAGGTCGAGCTTCCAGCAACCGCTGGTATGCGCGTTCCTCTCGCTCCAGATCGGAGCTCGAGGGTTCGTCAGTAACTTTCCATTCCATCTTGTTCGTATCGGTTGATTTTTGGTGGAAACGAAGATGGCGTGGATGCGTTGTTGTTGAGGGAAAAGAAAGAAGAAAAGAGAAATTCAAAATGTTGTGTTTTCGTGCGCAGCCTAGAACAGCAGACAGCAGCCCGGCACCACGGCCCCACAGCAACACAGCACCTAACCTACCTACAACCTCACGGCGTGCATGAATGTAGGTACCTCGTGTGCCTTTTGTAACTTCTATTTATGGTCTCTAATAGGAGGTACCCAGGTAGGTAGGTACGCTTCACAATGCTTGCCTCGCTGCCTTATATATGTGCCCTGTAATAGAGAACCAACCTTTTTGCATGTCTATGCCTGTACTGACCTGTCAAACAAGACCTGAATAACGATCACCTCATCTTAACTAGGTAGGTTTTACTCATGTACTGTATAAGTGATGCCACTGATAAGGGACTTACGAGGTCTACTTTATTTAATTACCTTAGGTACCTAGGTATCCTGGATAAACCGTAAGATTCACCCCTTCGTCCTGATTTTGTCCAGGGGCCTCCCACGATCCTCGTTGATATTGGTGTTTCCCGTCGAGGGTTGAAAAAGTCCACATGATAAAGATCAGTATAAGCAACTGGATTTAACGTGGCAATCTCACGTTGTCGCGTATCTAGCCTCATAGACTTAGCTCATTGTATTTTGAAATTAACTATCTATAACACGCTATTATGTATTTAGGTCTTTAATACCCGCATATGACTGATTATATCCTACGTGTAAAGCATGTAGTTTGCGTAGTTTTACGATGACCTCCGGGCTAGGTCTACGGTACCGTCGGTGCGTCCGGGTAAGCCTCAAATGTTACTGTGTCGACGTTGTGGGAGGGAGGAGAAGAGGTAAAGGACGGCGTGGGTGACGATAACTTTTAAGAGTTCTGCACGTTCGGCTGCCATATGCGAGCGCTCAGAAGGTACATACGCCCACAGCGCTATTAGTACACAACTAGAGGACAAATTTAGGTTATGAAATTCCGTTGGGTAACATAAATATGTAGATTGCAGTGCAGCAATTAATCGGGATGGTGCCCCTAGGCGCCTCGGAGTCCTGGGAGTAAAAACGGGGTGGTTTAGTTGGAAGCACCGGGCTTCCTACCCCTTTGGGGACTTGCCATTTTCAGGTTTTTCGCGGAGGGGGCCTGTTCGAACCGGCGGATAACGGGCTCCAGCCGACTTTTTGCACTTTTTATCCTCCTGTTGGCAGGTGGCCCACGTTATCATCGTGAATCACGGTGATAGCATCAAGGGAAGGAACGTGGTCCCGTAATCTTTCTAGATTTAACAACGCTTCCGCAATACAAGACCAGTTCCACCACACCTTTTTTATTTTCCTCATTTTCTATATAGATTTCGTAACTCCTTGCCTCGTGATCACACAATATGATTAATGCGTATGTGTTTGTCGGGGATCCACGTCACCTAATTAGGGTTACAGTTGTGGGCAGTTGGCTACAGTCATGAGCCACTGGAGCAATCATTGAGGCAGTCACGATTGAGGCAGTCACAATCGAGGCATCTAAGGAAGGAACGAGGCCCCAGGGCCAATTATATAAAGAAACAGGGTCCCGTAGTCCTCTTAGATTTAGCAACGCACTCTTTTAGCAACGCACTCGCAATACAAGACCAGTTCCACAAGAATTATATAAAATAAAAACTCGTAACTATTCAAAATCATCAAACTTTCAACTTCATCTACACCCGTCTTCTACTATCTACCATCCGGTGCCTATAACCTGATCGATATCATGGCGTTGGACGAACATAAGGTCGCGGAAGGCCTGAAAGACCTTCGAACCATTTACCCCACGGACGAATTCTCACAGGACTACATGCTAAGAGTCCAAGTCCCTACGCTGTACAATCCAAAGAACGTCGCCGGTATCCCCGAGGGAGACCAAGTCGACTCGACGGGTTTGGACGCGCTTCTAATGGTGATTCGTCGCATCATCAGTCAGTTGCCCATGGAATATCGCGATACGAAGGACGAGGCCATGGGATGGCGGGAGCAGGCCAACCCGCTGCGCCGCCTCGCGATGGCCGACCTCGTTTCGACCGACAAAGATATCCTTCAAGCTGCTAAGTACCATGCTCTGAAAGCCTTCTATCCAGGAGGCTCGCTGGAAGGCAAGGACTTGTCTTTCCAGGCGCTCGCGGAGCATAAACTCATGCAGGAAACCTTTTGGCAGCTGGATCCTTTCCTCCTATTCAACCCGTACACCACTTTCAAGTTGAACGGGGTGTGGGAAGTCGGGACGTTAAAGATTAATGACAGCCTATCCGAAGACAGTCTTATAACGTTTAAGACTGGTAGCCTCGGCGAACAGATCGCAAAGAAGTTCGGGACTTTCATGACCGACGACGGCATAGTGTTCACTAAGCAGGCCAACCTACCAACGATCCTGCGAGTCCAATACGACGTCAGCGCGGCCGACCCTAAGAAATTCCAGGACCTTCGCAAGATCGTCGTGGATATGCGACGCCTCGAGAGGAGACCTGACGGTATATGGAAATTTACAGAGCCCGGCGCAGCCTTGAAGACGTACCGTCTGATAGCCGAGGTCTGCCTGTCCAGCTCTGCCGATGCCTCGGACACGATCAGGATGTATGATGCGGAAGGAGAGGTGATTCCTATTCCCACCACTTTCCCGAATCATCAGAGAGAGCCGCTGGGCAAAGAGAACGCTCGCTATATGCTTTACTACTGCTATGGCTTGAAGGATATTCCCGGCGAGGAGTCCTACTCGGAGATACTGCCTCCCTTCGATGAAGAGAAAGCAGATCTACTGCAAAACATCCTCGACCGCACTACGACCAAGTCTCATTAGTCGACGCAGGCTTCTAACCTCTTCTCAAAGCAGCTTGTATTTGGGCGAGAAGGCGGAGAAGTTGTCGACTCTATTTACTCGCATGGGTATGTTCATGGAGGAAGGGATGTCTAGGTAGTCTTGGTGTAGATGCCAGCCTTACTGCACTTAGTTTCGTACGCAGCAAGTAATGCTTCAATTCAACTCACTCTGCCTCTAATCTCTCGTTGACCCTTCTAAGCAAGTAAGACCGTGATGCTGAAATGCTATTTCTGCCCCAAATTAAGATAAAAATTATGTTTTAAAGATGCTAGTATAACTATACTTAACAAAGACTCCCCGGGCTCTTTTCCTACGTGTCTGTGTATTGGTCGGCCGTCGAGACGCATCGGCAAGTCTCTAAAGGGAGTGAACTGGCGCTTTAGAAGAATCTTAGTATTGCGAACGATGTCTCGGAAGTTATCTGCAGTATACCAGCGATCAAGACTGACCATTTCCAAAAAGTCCAAGGCGTGGCCTAAGGACTCGATGCTTACAAGATGTACCCCGTGTGCCTTACAATTATTTCCGAGAACGCTAATTTCATGTATTTGCGCCTGGCTTACGAGTACTCTGTCGTGTAGACCCGTAGTAACCAAGGCTCGGTTGTATACGATGTCCATGGATTGCACGCCAAGCTGTTGCTCTCTCTTGTGCTCCTCGGGGCTCTCCTCTTTGGGTTGCGGGAGACATTCTTGGTCTTTTCTAAATATACGGCTAAGAGAAGTAAATGTGTTACGAACTCCTCGCTTTGTGCGCCAATACACGTGCATAGATGAGAGGCCTCCGTGGAATTTTACTTGTCGTTTCACAGACTTCGTGTTACTCGGACCGTCCTTGACCAGCCTTTGAGGTGTTCCTATTCTTCGATATAGATTCATTCTTGTATTGAGATGTCTCCTAGGGTTAGCAGAGCTTGCAAGTCTTCGATGTACAATACGGGCAAGTGACGTCCAATGCCTATTAGCATGAAGGGTATATAGGTACGGACAGGGATTAAGAAGACGATAGGATCCAATAGTACGGATAACATTTTGGTCACGATCCGAGAGGCAACTAGCCGAGCGCGGGTAGTTATGGCCGTCACGGAATATTTGAGTCGGCGACTAGCAAGATTGCTAATGATTGACAATGAAGGCATACGGAATACGTCTTGAAGGGAGATTTTACATTCATGGCTGAATAGTGGCTGATAAGGCTGTCTTAGATATGGCATATAAGACAATTGGGCTTCTCGAATCTCGCCGAGTTTGGTCATTATATTATTTTTTTCAGACAATATATTCAGCAAGTCAAGTCGTAGTATCAAGTTCTTATAAGTCCGTTTCATCCGAAAGATATATGACGCCGGGAACTCGATGTTGGGATCACTTAGACATCGTGACTTAGCCTTCACAATAAAACACGGTTCGAAAGCTTTGAACCGGTTTAAGTAATATAGTTGGTTAACTATACATTCATGTATAGCTAACTCTAAGCCCGATAAGAAGATGTCAAATTGATTTTGTTTAGGTAATTAAGTCGAATGATTAGGTTGCAACCTATCGGCTTTCTTGGAAATGTTGAAGAAGACATACTATGTAAAGCTATTGTTTAGAATTAACAAGAACCTTCATTCTTATCAAAATTGGACACCGTAATCTTTTCTCGGCGATAACTGATATATGAATATTTGACGAATGAGAATGGAAGCAATGACGTCGAAGCCCAACACGCAATTCACATGACTTGCTACCTGGACCGATCCCCCCGCGCTGCTGCAAAGTCAGCAGCAAAAACTCTAAGTAAACGCGAGGAGCTCCCCGCGCTCGGACCAACATGCTTAAGTCGGCAGCTATGCTAACCCAGTTCAGTTGCAGAGTGAGCTCACTGGCAAGTGCTGTGCCTGCAACAGGATTACCTATGCCCCCTCCAGCTCCACACACCGACGGCCGACGGACCAATAAGCACCCACACTTTTGTGAGCCGGCCTTCCATTTCTCCCCCATCATTCGATTGTAAGAAATTGGTTTTTTTTTTTTTTTGCGCTTGAGTCCAAAGAAAGCGGCCACCAAATCATATCGCGCAACGCAAACCTGTGCTTAATCCCATCTCGCAACCATCCTCTTCTATTTTCTTATTTGTTTTAAACCGACGACAAAAAAGCTACCCGACGCACAACCACGCTAATAATTCTTTCTTCGTCCTTATCGTCATCGTACCCGACCAGCAACTTCCGGTCTCCTCTTTTTTTTTCTTCTCTTTTTCCCCCGGTCTCCCCTCTAATAGAAAAGAAAATTATGTCGTCCATGTCGCTCCTCAGAATCGCCTCGCGGGGCCCCTCCAAGACCTTCTTCCGCGCAAACCGACCCGTCGCTCCCACTCGGTCTACCGCGTCCTTCGTTCCGGGTCTGATTGCCGGCTCGAGCCTCAACTTCAGCACTACCGTGTCCCGAAAATCCGCTGCGCATCACGAGGAGACGTTTGAGGAATTTACCGCTAGGTAAGGACTTCGCCTTTTTTTAAAAAGAAAAAAAAAGCAGGAATCAGGTCGGCTCGATGGCTCTGCATAAATATATATAAGAGCAAGCTTCATTCATATCCAATTGAGGTCAATTGGCGACATGTTGAAGCATCTATGACGTTCAATTGGTTATAAGATGGGGTTGTGGGAGCTTGAATATCGCTCAATTGGTCATTAAGCGACCTGCGACCTGATCAGATAACAAATTCAGACCTAATAGCTAACCCGAGTTTCCTCCGCGCAGATACGAGAACGAATTTGAGAAGGTGCAAGATGTTTTCGAGTTACAGGTTCGTCAATTTCGAGTCACAGCTTCCAAACAGCTTCCTTCCGTTCTTCCATCATCGCAGCTTCTTTACCTCGGATACCTGCTTTCGGACACCTCAACTGGGTTGACCCACTATCCCCACACTTTGGCCCATAATCTCCCATCACGCATCACGACGTCAGCATATTATAAAAAACGATTCAAGGCCGGATTACTATGTAGTAGGAAGAATTGATTATGCTAACATAGGTCTAACTATAGCGTAACCTGAACAACGCCTTCGCCTACGATCTCGTCCCCTCTCCCTCCGTAGTTGAGGCCGCACTCCGCGCCGCCCGGAGAGTCAACGACTTCCCCACTGCCGTGCGCATCTTCGAAGGCATCAAGGCCAAGGTCGAGAACAAGGACCAGTACCAGCAATACCTTGACGAGCTAAAGCCCCTGCGCGAAGAACTCGGTGTCGTCCTAAAGGAGGACCTGTACCCCGAGGTGGGCAAATAGACGACTCCACCCTCCTGATCTCGCTACAAGTGAAAAGGGCGAGACAGGCAGCACGAAGAAAATGCATAGGTGTATGGGCTGGTGTATAGCGGGGAGCGGGAGCTAGCTTGGAAGACAGGCAGGGAAGCGAAGATGGAGTTAAGGGGGGAAGCAAAAGAGAGAGCTGATCCGGCATCATATCGCGTCTCGGATCTGGTTTGTTTCCCGCCTGCATGTGTATATGTCTACTACTTACTACCTTTACCACTTATTACTTACAACACTACCACTACTATTCCGCCCGACAGCAACAGACGAAACTAGACACCGAAAAAAAAAACCCATCTCTCTCGGGGCTTAGAGAAAAGTAGTTTAAAAAAGATGAAGCATTGCAGAAGCTGGTCGCATTTTTGTGAGGTGTTACACATTTGGACTGAGGGTTTGTAGAGGCGAGAGGCTCACTTTCTTACGCCCGTTGTGCTATGCTATGCTATAAAAGCCCATGCCGTATAAGCTATAGCTATATATGTACTAACCCAGACTTAACATCCTTTTTCAACCAACTAACTATTCCGATATTCTATTCTCGTATCTAGCCCGTACCCTAGAAAGAAAACTGCCGGGGAGAGGGTATACGACCTGCCGACTAATACCGCTGATGTGAGCAGTTCTGTTACACCGCAGAGGATTAATCGTAAGATGTAAAAGATGTAGTTAAAGGTGAAAAGGGGCAAGTTTTCGTGTCTACGTGCCTATGGGGATGAGGGGGGTTGAGGGTAAGGTATACGTGATAAGCTTGCCTACGGGTACCTAACCTAGCTCTTATAGGACGGTAACGATAGGGGCTGAATACCTTAGATATCTAGGTAACTAAGTCATAGCAGCACATCCGCAATGCCTTAGGTTACGTGCTTTACGATATCGTTGCTTTACCTAGGTAACATACCAAGTCGCGTTCACTATTATAGCATGCATTAAGCATTCTTACGGCTTCGTCCAACGATTGGAATAAATCTTTCCTTCTCATATTGTCGTCGAAGAACAAAAATCGTAAGACCAAGAATGATTTCTCGCCATCGCAACGCAACGCAAACCATGTATTCACCTATACTCTGCAAATATGCACCATCTGCCTCCCGTCTGTCCCCTATCGTTCATCGTCATACAAAACAACAGCAGTAGTAATAATAGCAAGTAACAGCAGTAACAGCAGTAACAGCGATCCTAGTATTCCTAGGCTTGGGAGTCCTTCTATCTAACTAAATCAATCGACCATGTGTGCTCCGCCGAGACAGAAACGAACGGAAAAGGGGGAATTTGAAGACCCTCCGCCCCGACAAAATCTTTAGTACAAATAAATACAAATGCATTGCTGTCCTCCCGCTTACCGGGTGCAAAATCGAAAAAGTGAGAGAAAAGGGAGTAAGGATAAAATATGTCCCTCATTCCTTTCTGTTGTTCCAATGCCCAAGGAGGGGTCGTGATGAGGCCACTTTGAGATATATGAAGACGAGTCGTTGGACTTTAAACACCCTCTGACCCCGATCAGAACCTGGACTCTCGCAGATGGAAAGCTCGACTATTTGGAACCGGAGTACCAATTCCGCCTCCCGCCTCGAAGATTCCCGTCGCCGGAGCAGGACTAGTACCGCGACTGCTAGAGCTACCCTTAGTAGTGCGACCGCCGTTGCGAGGACTATTAACGCCAAAGGCGCTCAGCCGCGGGCTTCGAGGAACGCTACTCTGTCTCGTACCCCTTCGGTTTTCCTTCAGCATTCGCAGCTCGTCCCGGAGTCGGATGAGCTCCAGATCCCGGTCGCGAACGATGCTCTTTTGCTCGTTAAGTAGTCGTAGAAGTTCCTTGCTCTCGCTCTCCGCATAAATCTGGTTTATTTGAACCATGTTATCGTCGGCCTTACGATGGAGCTCTTCGACTCGTTGCTCGAGCGCGCGGTTCTCGGTCTGGAGCTCCGCGGCTCTCTGAGATGCATCCTGGTAGGCATTCTTGGCATATTCCAACTCGTTGTTAGCTAATGCAGCCTTCTTTTCTAAGATTTGCACCTTGATTTTAGACTCTTCGAGCTCTTTCTCCAGTCGTGCCATCTTGGCGACCTCGGGATTTGCAGACTTAAGAAGAGATTCGTGCGTTGCAGATAATCGCTTTTCCTGCTCTGCAAATTTCTCTTTTAGATCGTCGAGTTCTCTCCGTTTAGAATCGAGACTTGCGCTGGCCGCTAGGGCTTCCTCCTTGGCCTTGTAGTACTCGTCTTCGTAGGTTCCACGGTCCTTTAGAGAATTCATATACTTCTCTTGTACCAACCTGACGGTGGAAGCATAGTTATCGACCTCTTTCTTGGATCGATCGCTAAGCTGGCGGAATTGCTTTTCTCGCATCTGGCTCTCGCGCAGCTTGGCTTTGAGGCTTGTGACCTACTTGGCATTAGTCCAAAATTTATAATATCCGCCGATAGAATAAAACCGACCTTAGCTGATAATTTCTCTAACTTGCCCACCGAAACCGACAGCATCGCCTTCGGCGATTCGTCCACCGTGTCATCTCCGATAAGACCTTTCAGCGAGTCGCTGATGTGACTCACGTGAGTTACAACTGTAGGTTGTGATACTCTGGGGCGCTTAGAGGAAATATCATCATCTTCGCCCTATTTATTGTATTAGTATTTTAGGTACCCGCAATGCAAATCGCAGGAGGCTAGCTTACCTCGTGAGACCTCTTCCGGCTACCGGGAAGTTGGTCGGTTCCGAAAGGCCCTAAAACGGACTGTGATACTTGCGATTGAGAGCTGGCAGCGTGCAAATCCTCGAACACATCCTCCGGCACCTCATAAGGTTCCCAATAGAAATCGTCGTCGTCCGGATCTTGTATATACTTGCAGAAAGTCTCGGCTGCCAAGTGAAATTTAACAATTAGAGAGTCGTCAACGTCTTCTATGTACCGCATTGCTCTAACCAGCGCGAGCACAAGGACGTTTTTCCGCTCCAGTGGTTCTAGGTTCTCCGAGACACGCATATTGAGGTGTTGAATGGAACATATATTCGTTAGAACCATCAATATAGAACGCTCTCGGACCCTTTGTGGGAGCAGCTCAGGCCGATACGTATGATCGTATGCTATCACTACGTCGATATCCTCGGGTATTGACGAGGAGTTATCAAGAGTCGACGAGATGGCGACGGTCAGACTATGCTCGGCGCTAGAGGGTCCGACGATCTCTAAGCCGGATCGGATATAACGGTAACCTCTTGTTTCTATAAGGTTACCAAGAAAATCCATGACCTTCCCGGGACGGGACAAGATGAGAACTTTTTTATCCGAATTCTCTTCGGCCAAGTAAACAAGCAACTCGGCAACAAATGCGAATTTCGCATTGGTATTAACGACGTGTTTCGTTAGCTCTGCAGGTGTCATAGTTGTTGTAGTCTCTATAAACGGTGGCAGGTCGCAAATATCGAAAAGACGAGAGAACATCTCGTCAATTTTCGATACTGTTGTAGGATGCGGTGTTTGGTGAGGGGAAACAAGAAATGCAGCGTTATACTCGCGAATAAGCTCCTCGTTGTCGCGAAGAACGTCGTTATATACAGGCCGGCAGGGGTTATAGAACGGAAGCGTAACGAGATATTCGTTAGGTCCGGTGGGTACGTAGGGGAGAAGGCTTCTCGGATAGCCAAGAGGCGTCTCCTCTTCCTCGTGCGGTATAATAAACTCGTCCGGGTCCGGTATCTGTAGACTGGTATGGAGAGCGTCGTGTACCGGCATTGATGGGCTGACATCCATATCATGTTCGATAGATAACGTCAAGGCTGATGGATCCAAGGTTGCAGGCTGCTCTTCTTCGTGGGCGTCATACCCCACTTCAACAGCCACTTCGACAGGGCCACTCTCCTCTAGTCCCAGCTCTGCCTCCTTCTCTTGCTCGACGGGTGTTTGGGTAGTCTCGGGTACCGGCAATTGATGATCAGAAGATGTGTTGTCAGCAGCCGTCTCTAGAGGCGGAACCAGGAAAGATTGAGATGTCAAATTTACTGGAGTCAGGGGACTAATGTCTCGGGAAGCAGGAGCTTGAGCAATTGGTGCTTCCTGAATGTCCGGCTGCGGACCTGCTGAAGAACCTACGTCGGCGCTAGCCGCTCTAGCACGAGCCTCCATTTCCATTTCAACTTTTCGTTCCGGGAACATGTCGTTCAGGGCTTCAAAGTTCTGCTCCCGTATTAATCTCAGCCTCTCACGTGCCGTATACCGGACGGGCTGGTCGGTATCCATATTCGTAGGCGCGGCCGGTGGCTCCGATCCGAACGTAGGTGGTCCAAAACGCATTTCGTCTGCTCCGAAATCTGCGGGTTTCTCGGGAATGGTTTGCGAAAGCTCTGCGCGGCTCGGTTCGATGTCTAATTCAGGTTGCTGGTCTTCCGAGAACGATGTATTCCTAGTATTACCGTCCACTTCGCTTAAAGCTTGGCTTGAATTTTGCGGGTCGCGTTTGTCTTGCGCGTTTCTTCGTACAGTATCAGGTACAGTATCAGGTACAATTGAATCGTCGTAAACAGTAAAGGCTGCCTCGCTGTATGTCGCGAGCCCGCCTTGCTGGCTACTGAGGGGCAGCACGACTTGAGCGGCCTGCGAGCTATTACTTATCGCAGGTGCCTGGTTCTGATCTTGGCTGATACTCGCCGTAGAGATGTGCTCGTCCCAAGCTAACTCGTGAGGCTGAGTAGACGCAAAACTAGTTGGCTGAGACGTTGGAGGAACAACGTCCACGTTGAGACCTTCTTGCGTCAAAAACCTAGGATTTCCTTTACCGATGGTGCTCTGCGAATTGTCGGGCGCAGTCGAACCTACAACGGTCCCGATCAGAAAGGTCGAAGTCGACACGTTTCCCTGGTTTCCAACAAAAGGGCGATCCGGCTGACGCGAAGGAATTTCTGTTGAGTGCCCGAACGATTCCGGATGCTGAAGCCTTTCTTCTTGCTGAGATGCGACAACAGCACGTTCCCGAAGCGGACTTGTCTCAAACGAATTTAAGTGGTCAGGGATACTACTATGCACATCAGAAACTAAAGCGCTATATATTTCCTGAGAATCAGGCACGATCCTCTGTTCTTGGCTCTCAACCTCGGTTTCGCGCACTAGTGCAGCACGGGCATCGGTAAGCTGAGAAGACTGCTGGCTATCCGTTTGTTGCGAATCGGGTGGCACGCGCACGTATTGATCCGCGGGAAATGTTGGGTCGCGAGGCAGACGTATCACTATGCGAGATTTGTAGGGTTTTGGATCACCTTGGGTATCGTCGGATGGGTGGTTATGCGAGTTGTCGTGGTCCAGCTCGCTCTGTCGCTCTGCCAGCTCTTTATAATGCCCAAGGTCATGGCCCGCACTCCTGGGGAATGCCGACGGGGTTTCTGTTAGTTTAAGCTTTAGCTTAGGTAGTTTTGACGCGTGTTCCTCGCTAAGCCCTGACTCATACAAAGATGAATGTTCCAAAGGGCGCTTCTTAGCACCTTGGTGATGCCGATTAGATGTTGAGACGGAACCGCTCTCGCGAGCATTAAACTCTTGCATAGAGGGTTCAATGTCTCCGATAACTACATCAAGTTTCCCCTGGGTGTACTTGGATCTAGCTTTCCTAACCATCCAATCATTGATCGCAAGGGATGTTACGTTTTGTTTGGGTTCCTATGCTGATTTAGCTTTTGTACCGATAAAACAGGATGGCGCGAAGAGCGCATGTGGGAACACAAAGACTTACCCACGATGGCACGTGTGGGTTCCCAGTCTCGTCGGTGCCCTCCCAATCGACCAGGTAATATGTCTTCCCTCGCTCGAACTTCTCGTCAATAATATCCCGAATCGCAAACCAGCCGTTTTTGACTTCGCGCTTATTTTCGCTTTTACTTTGGGCGGTAGCATGCGTTAGCTTCTTCTTCTTTTTCTTCTTAGCAGATACCGATGGTTCTCGGGCTCGGGATCGTAGGCGCTGTGGTTGATGGTGTTGTCGGTGGTGGTGGTGATGGTGGTCTTTATCTAATATATGTGATTCGGGCGATTCCGCGCTCATCGACGGCAATTTCCCTTGCGAACAGTCTGAATAAAAACCATATCCATAATTAGTGTCATTTAATAAGAGAAACTCGTTGACCCCAATAGCTATGCGATAATGCTGGTCTCACCAAGGTAATTGTCCTTGGCCATGAGGAGCTTGGATCCTGTCAAGGTGTTAGACGGAGTGTTACGACAGCCGTGCGACGAGGCTCGATAAGTAAAGTACATACCACGGCCGAGCGCGGCTTGGCAGGGTCCCTGGTTGGGCAGGGGTAACTAACTCCCGCTGTGGCACTCCTTGTAAACGCCCTGTGGCTAAGTGCTGAAACTTCTAGCATCTAACTTTATTGCCTTTATTGCCCACGGAAGGTAATACCTCGACTTACACCAGATTTAAAAAGCCGATGATCTCAAAAGAAGGTGACAAATCGGTTCAATAAATTAGTAGGTATCGAGAAGTAAATAAGCTTAATTATATGATGAGATTTGTGATTTGTGATATGTAAAATAGGTAAACGAAATCATAAGGGAAGAAGGGATTAGCTTAAGCGTGATGCGCTGTGTGATACCTGTATTCAAATGTACAGATTGAGGGATGTATGAAGTAGGTACCTCAAAACTTGTGGTTTGCACTTTCCAAACCTTATAATCCTTTAGGTATAAACGACTGTCTCAGAAATGACGTGGCGTCAATAGTAGTCCCGTACGTAATTGCTATTGGCTAGCTGCCGACTTTACCTCTTAAGCCTAGGCCAAGACCTTATAGGCACATATGACATACACTAAATACCTTAGGTTAGGCAGGCATTCATCCCTGGGACCTTACAGCAATATGAGTTACCTAATATATATACTATCACTAAGAGGCAGTTGCTGGATTGTAATACAAGTAGCTCTTAGGATGATATATAAATTGATACCAAAGGAACTAATTGCTTACCTTAGTACCTACTCAGGTAAGTGAATAGATATGGTTGGCAAACAAAGCAAGATATCACAGAAGTCATGGTACCCTAGGCGACTACAGGGCATGGTACATACGGCGGCGACCCGGCAGCCTGCCTGGTAAAATGATCTATATCATTACACAAAGTCCTACGCTAGAAAGACCGTGAGACTTTTTGGAAAACTATTATGTTAGTGGAAACTGATAGAATATAGGCTCTATGACCACGCCAAAGGCTAAATACTTCATAAGACAAGCTGAATAAATTTACATACCGCCAGAAGTCAGATATATAACGCAACCCTCGTGTCCAGTCCCTAACCAAGTAATACACAAATATCAAAAACCGCTAAACAGGAGTCGCCTCCAACAGAGAATAATAGTAAACATAATATCCAAACAGAAAGACGGGTATAAGTCATTCCATCTACTTTTCCCTCTTCCACCCCCAACCCATATCCAAAACCTAGCCCAAAATAGCTTAGTACCTTTAACGCCTCTCCCTTTCCTGCAACTCATACATGAACCCTAACCGGGCCTCGCGATCAAGTAAATGGTACAGTCCGTATTCCTAATACAATAGTTTCCCACTATTAACCAGCTCTGAAAAGGTATCGACAGGCTCCTGGAATTTATACTCTTCCCCACGCATCACACGGTCAACCTCCTCGCGGACAAACGGATAAACGTCCTTCCAAGCATTACGTCCCATCCAGCAGTCAAGATGTCCATAATCAGGGACCACGCGGCGACGGTACTGGATACCACTCGCGTGTTCGTTAGTGAACGTATCGGTGAGGACCTCGTAAGTTCGCTCCGTGGATTCGGGGGTCAGGACAGCGTTGTCGCGACCGACGAACAACATGATAGGAATACCCTTCAGCCTACGGATATTATCCGGTGTGTCTAGTCGCTCGAATAAAGGGGCGTTACTCATCACGCCTCCTTCGTAGCCCTGTTTCATCAACATGTGTAAGAGCGTCATGCTGATGCCTCCGAAGAACCGGTCGATCTGCCGGTGGGTCGCCTCGTTAAGGTTGCGGTGGTTCCAGCATCGGCCCAATGCCAACGTGATACGGTGGCAGCTTGCGTTGTTGCAGAGCTCCTTACGCTCGTCCGGCATGAGGCGCAGTAACTCGTTAAGGCTTCTCTGGATCAAGGAGTCGTTTACGGTCGTGCCGAAGTTGAACCAATCGCCTGACAATAATCGGTACACCGTGTCGGCCGGAATGGGCAATGCCATGATCTTGATCATATTCAGAGTATTCCATTTCGGATTCATGAATACTTGGCTGCAAGTTATCCCCTTAATCCATTTGGCGGGGATTGTGCCGTCGAGCAGGCCGGCTGAGAACGCTACGCTACCCATGCAGTGTGCGATAGCATATATGCGTTCCGGTTCCTTACCAACTTCGGTAGTTTCTTCCCGAATCTTCTCTAGACAGGCTTTTAGGTCTAATCGTGCATCGAATGTTGTCCAGTCCTCCTTCGCAACCATCAACATACAGATACGATGAACAGGAACGAACACTCTGTAGCCAGCCCGACGGAAGTAATTAACAGCGTTATAACGAATGGTAGGGAGCGCAAATATTTGATGGTCTACCGAAGCGCCGGGGATCATAATCAAGTTTTTAGGCTCCAATGTTGGGTTCGTGGGCTCCCACCGATATAATCTAGTAACGACGCCGTCAGATGCATGGATCTTGTACGTCTCGGTCGGAGGTGTGTTGTTCACGAAGCCCGTATAGGTCTGCGTTGGATACTGCAAGGGCGTAAGCGGTGCTAGGAGAAGCGACATGGACTTCCGAGTGAAAAAGGTTAGGAAGTTGGCTGCGCTTAAGGCCTTCTTGAAAATACTGCTGCCCGTAGGAGTGAGGGTTAAAACTTCGGAAAGGAAATCCTCTGCTCGGATACTCATAATTCCCTTAGCAACGATTTCCCCCAGAAGTCCGCATTCATCCGCATCCGCACACTTTCGTTTCGATTCTGAGATCGGCTCGGTGATAGTGACATATAGAGTACTAGTCGATTTCCAGAAATGTATCGGCGACAGCGCGACGGATGAATCGACTACTTTATAACCATGGAAATGGAGCCACCTGCCATTTATACCCCGCATGTCGAAGTCGTACGTCAAGTTTCGAGTCCCAGGTGCTTTTCGGTCCAACAAGAACAAATTGAAATCACCTCGTTGCACCATGAACGGGGACCCCTCGAGGGTAGGACAGACGAAAGTGCCGGTTAAAGTTGCTTTATGACTAGGATCGTGTATAATCGACCTGATGTTAAAGGACTGCACGCTAAGAAAGAATCGCGCCGTTTCGCTTAAGGACTTGGCAGTCCTAGCTGCCAGCTCGTACGTGCCTATGTTGTCCCGTTTAAGGCCCTTGTCTCGATGGATGTATCCAGTCATGACTTCTGTAAAACCAAACCCGGATTCGTTCATGCGTCGAGCGGATATGATCGCTTTCGTCGCACTATTTAGTTTAGCCGTCTCTTGTGTTTCTTCGACCTGTTCTTTCCAGCCTCTCTTTCCACGGTGGTGTTGGTGTTCAGGAGCACCAAAGAGATCAAGGACTTTATTCTGCGTCATATCGATTGTGAGTCCTCTCTCTTTGACATAATGGTCCACAGACCGTTCGGCCAGAGCAGTGATAGTCGCGAATGGGTTTGCGCCGAGGGCAGTTGGGATAACTGCAGCGTCTGTGACGATGAGGCCAGGATAGGTCTCCGCGCCGGAGCCTTTGAAGACCTCGCCCCTATGATTTGTAACGCCAGTCGAACCAGTCCCGTCGCGAGCCATACAAGCACCACTGAAGATTGTTAGCATCTGGAATTCTACAAAATAATTCCAAATAACTCACCCGATCGGATGAACTGTAACTTGCTGCTCACCCAGTAGAGCATACCAGGGGTTTTGAACAAACGTTCCCCCAACAGCTCTCGTGGCCTTCTCTAACACGCGGTTCAGGGTCTTGACGTGGTCGCTACGGCCAACGCCTACGAATTCGAGGACTGGCTTGTCATCTTTTAGAGTTAGGTATGCTTGGTTACCTAGCTTGTGTTAATAACAAACTCCGCTGGGAAGTAATGGGCGACAAACTCACTGTCGTGGGACATAATCAAGTATACTTGTGTCCTCTCGATTGCGCCTTTACGGAAATATGGCCCGAGGAACGCGCTTCCCACGCGAGCGAGATTTGCCTTTACTTTGCCAACGAGACCTTCATCAGTCGGCTCAACGCTGCCAGGCAAGAGCTCAAGCATAGCCTGTAGGAAGGGCGCAAAAGCTGATGGTATGGATCCTTCCTCGATAACATAACCATCTAAAGGATTGTCGTGACCTTCTCTGTTGTCGATGATACCGGTGATGCAAGGTCCTATGGGATGAGAAGGAGATGGGGAAGCTTTCCCCATTCCGTTCACCTCATAATCCGTATTGTACCTATAGACAGTTAGAAAGAACTCACGTGGAACTGTAACAAGGTTACCTACCCAAACCCTAGGATATCTCCGTTGCCGCTCATGTTCTGGCCTACTTTATCACTCAGTTCAAGTCCCATATCTTTACTCCTAAGGAGGATCTCAGTTGTGCCGATGGTTCCGGCGCCGAGAAACACAGCTTTCCTTGCATGAACCCACATAAGGTCGCCATGCAGATTTGCTTTGAAGTGACCGCGATTTCGCCCGTGCCAAGCGAAATAGACGATATACCCGGATTGGCCTTCGGGTGCTTCAGTTATGTATCGTACTTCGGCCTCGCAGAACATATCAGCACCCCAGTTCCACGCGTCAGCTAGGTACGTAACGAGCGTGGTGTTCTTTGAACCGTCATTTAAGCCAGTAGCATCTTGTCCAGTAAGTGCTGACGGAAACATTTCCACACCACAACTATTTGGTCCATTGCGGAATCGCGTCGTCTGTTTCACACGTCGAAACTTATCTGTCATGTTCAAATGCTTTGCCTGCTTCTCTAGGAGGTCAAGCTTTGGCAGTTTCGGCCAGTCGTCGGGGTACGCTTCTGGCTCTAAGACATCTGCTGCTCTCTTATAATCTGGTTGGTCATCTCATCAGCTTCCGATATTTCATTTTTAGTAGGGGTAGCCAAGGATGTTATGGCACGGAGGGCAACCCTCTATAAAATACAGGGGTCTTACATTCAGTCAAAGAGTCGGGGTCTTCCCTAATTTCCTTCGGCCACGCATCCTGTTGTAGTGTGTCTTTGTCCGCTTCCAAATATACATTGGCATTTATCAAGCTAGTCCCACCAAGACCTACATTGCGGTTAACATAACGCTCTGTATTTTAGCTCTCCTATGCGGTCACTTACCATTGCAAACAACTGCGTTCTGACAGTTGCCGAATATCAAGTGGTACATGCCGGTAGGATCGCCACCGTTGACAACCTTCTTAGGCAACCAACCGGGGGTAAGCTCGCCGGAGTAATGGACCTGCTCAAGAGCATCACCTGTGCTAACCGGATACTCTCCGGGCCAGCGTTCCTTACCGCGCTCTAGGAGACAGACCGATTGACCAGCGCGAGCCATGCGGGACGCCGCCACGCCACCACCATAGCCAGAGCCGATGACAACACAGTCGTATGAGTGGCGCATAAGCTCTACGGGTTTGGATATGCGAGGGAACC